AAAGAGACTCAAGAGTGTAAAGTAATTTTGATATACAAGGGTATACACAGTATGCAACAATCACATGAGGAGGAGGTATTTTTCGTACCGGAACGGATGTTTTTTTTTTATTTTACTTGCATTTATTCTCTTCATCTCACAATATCAACAAAAATAATATGAAAAGAAATGGAAATTTGGTGTATATTTTGCATTGTGCAATATTGTGTGAGTAATTTGCCACAATTTACCTTAATAAATCTCTCAGTGTTGGTTTTGTCTTTGCAGGAGTTCACTTGAGCACTGTCCAAGGTTGTTCTTAATTATATTTTGCCCACGAAATTGCCAACATGAAAAATCTGATATAAGTTTTGAGGCACGAACAGTGAGCAGCGACTCTATAAAAGATTTCTGCGGCACAATCCTTGATGGTGACAAGTGGGGTAGGAGAAGTTTTGACGTAGAAAAATTAAAGTGCTCCATATGGGCACTTTTTGGAGAGTTTTTTTCCCACATAAGGTGCCTTTCTCGTATAAGGAAAGTATATGTATCGTAGTTGCGAAAGTGGCTCTCGGGGCGGCTGATGTGGGAGGCAGAGAGTTGTAGATCAATCTAATGGGTTGTCTTCGGAGGTTTCTACCTCAATTAACCTTGCCTGAGTCGATCAATTTCAGGTGAAATGTGCCACGAATTAGTGTAAATGTGTTTTTAATTGTTCAATAAGACGTTACGACTATCTTCCAATTTTTCACCCATGCTCACACAGCCTTGCTCTTCTTTCCGGGTGGCTTTCAGATGTTGTTGTACCTCAAAGAGTGAGTGAGAGACATTTTCTTGCAACAATCCCAAAGTGTAATAATTCACCAAGTATTTCGGAAGCATGGCAATTAGCTGGGCCACTCTTTTTTCCGTTGGTGTACGTGTATGTGGAGTGATTTTTCAATGATTTATTAGGTGGCTGCCTCTGTGGAATGTTGATGCAAAAATGCCAAAAATGTGGGCGATATTGCACAGGAAATATCGTCGGGAAAGTTCACAATGATTTATTCGGGGGTGGAGTGTCTTTGGTGTGAGAGAGAGGATGTGTTGCAAGTTGCTCTACATTTGTGGCATTTCAGTTTTGCCAACATCTCAATGATTTTCACATACTTTTTCCTCCGTTTGTGTACATGAGAATCCTGGAAAAACAAGCTCCAATCAATTTTCTTCCATCTGGCGTCGTCGTCAACAGTGTTGTGCTCAGGCGTTTGGAATGCAAGTGAAAAGTTTGATGTATGCGCGCGCTCTTGAGGGAAAAGTGCGGAAGATGTGGTGATTTATTTGTGAGATGCAACATTGTAAAATTGAATGGTGAAACAACTTGTTGAGCTTGGTAATTTTTCGAGATATGTTTGAAGACATAACACTTGATTGAACACATTCTACAAGGTGCAATTTTATGCTATGGATGCAATCAAAGGAAATGCGATTTATTTTTATGTGATATTTGTGATAATTTACTGTATTTTTTATGCTTTATTTGTCCCACTGAGGGGGGAAGCCTTGCTGATGATTAGAACATTGACAAAGTTTCATCCACTGTGCAATTATGAGAGACTTTATAGATTGGAATAAATTGCGATACTTTAGCTGAAAATCCAATTAGGTTGGTGGGATAAGTGCGATATAATACCGGCGATTGTTGCGCTAAATTTAATGGGAAAAGGTGTGATGGTAATGACATGAAAATTGGATGGAAAATATCCTGAGAAATCGTGATTATTTGTCGATTTTCCTTCTAACAATTGCATTTTCGTTTAGACTACAACGCTTAGCTGTGTTCCTCTTTCGAAATGGACTCATTTGTGAGGTGTACTTCCCATGTGGAGTGTATGCATTTTATTGCATTATGCCAGCAAAGTGCTATCGCGCGTGCCTTCTGCAGATGGAAATTACTACTTTATCGATGCAATTTGTGATATTAAAATCATAATTATCCATCATTAGTGTCAACTGGGGCAAAATTGTGCTGAATATGAGATTTTTAGTGGATTGCCTGTGAAGGCACCACCGTGACTCTGTTTCTCACCCGATTACTAGACTGCACAGGTATCATTTCCATACAATATAGCGCAGACATATGCCTGGAAACACTCTTAATTTCCATCAGAGTGCTGATCATGGGATTTATATTTGTGGAATATTTCTTTCTCATCCACTTAATATCAATTAAAAGTGAGCAATTGAAACACACTTGATGGAAAGTTCAATGAAATTGTTTCTTCTTCTCCAATTACCAGTGTGTCTCTTGGAATATTTACAATTGAAAGGAGGCTGCTTTTCTTTCTTTTTTTCCATCTGCCGCACTTTTTTCTCTCCCCTTGCACACACTGCATTTAATTCCACTCTCACATGTCTTAGAGGAAAGGTGAAAAAAAAAATTCATATATTTTTCTTTCACTCGAAAAAGTTGACTGTGATGGGTGGAAAAGAAATTGTGGGAATGCAGTTCCATTGAGGTTGAATATTGAATTTTTATTTTTAATTGTATTCATCGTCTTGGCTTTTCTGCAAATTTCAATAACGAAGATTCTACTTTACTCGTGCACACGAGATATCATTTTTAATTAAGTGATTAATTTGTTGTAAGATCTCGTGTTGTGTGTGTGTTTGTGCCGACAATGGAGACTTTTTCTTTGGCATTCCTTCTCGTGGACTCGACATGAGGAGTGAAAGATATGTGAAATTTCAAGGTGAAATGCCTAGAAGGTGGGAAAAGTGGCAGAGAGATATTGAAGTGTCTGGAGTCAATTTTCACGATATTCTCATAATCATCTCATAGTAATTTATCGTTATTAGTCCGCTCGACGTGTAAGGCATTCGAGAACTCCCTATCCAATTCCTTTTGGCCATCCAGGATGTTATTGTAGATTAAGATTTGGTATTCAGCATCTGTGCGTCGTGGCGGAATTAGATGAGAAAATGTGTGAAGAAGGAAAGTGTCTCAGGAGAGATGCAAAATACCATTGAATTTCAGTATGATGATGGTTTTGGATTAAAGTTTTGCCGTTATTATAGCTTATTTTGAGTATGTCTGGGGACACAAGTGGCAAATGAATATTAACACTCTGGCTATGAACAGGAGAGTTTTGCGCTTGAAACTGTCAGTATTGGATGATAATTACAAACATTGAGCATATGAATGTTCAACACACACACACATCTTGCAAAACCACCGTGCTTGCTTAGGGCAGATTTTGGACTTAGCAGAAGAGGTGAACTTTTGCAAATCACTCACACTGTAGGTAAACATTGTATTTATTTTTTCCTCCTCAAAGTGGTGGAAAATGGAGCTTAATTGAATTATTCTAGGGCTGTCAATCTGTTCTGCTTCATTAAACATCAAGTCAGTTGAACTGAGACCGCACTGTTGTAAAACTGTCCATCTGGAGTGTGAGATGTATAATGAAAGTTGATTGTTGGTGATTGGAAAGTGACCAAAGATGTGACAATCTCAATTTTCGATGTGCAAAATTCTCAGATTTAATCAATGTTAAAACATGAGAGGTGAAACAGTGCTGATGAGAATATCTGAGACGAGATATTTTTTGAAAGTTATATGCAGCTAATTTGAAATTTCGTTCGAAAATGAATTCCATCGCTTTCATTTTCATTTTATTCCTGTCGACAAATTTTTTCCACTCTTATCTCTTCATCAGGCATCGATTAATGTTAATGCACATGGAAATTGTGTTGATTTTATACACTTTAATTAGTAAAATGTTGTGCATCTTTTTACCTCATCTCTCAGGTGTCTCTCTCTCTCTCTTGGCCATTCGCCAAAGTGGTTCATCTGACATTTTTTACTGGCTGGGGAGATGTTTGTAGATGAATGGATCGAAAGGGAATTGTGAAGTGTATCGTGCAATGGTGATCGGCAAGAGACCTTTCACTCTTTGTGAAGGAAAAGTGCCGCGTGCTGGATGCAATTGGACTGCTGTTGTGTCTCATAGACTCTTTTTTTGGCCTTTTCATTGCAGCATTACGCATTTCCAAGAGCCTCCTCTCATCCATGTCTTCGCTCTGTGTAGTGTGTAAATTTATCTCATAGTTGAGAACAGTGACGATGCCGAGAGGCGATGATGAAACATTACATAAAATTGATTTAACGTGTAATACTCGAGAGATGGTATTCTTGGCAAAGAGAAAATGCTATTAGACAGACAATTAATATAGGTATTTTGTATTTGTAACATTTTCGATGATTGCATAAATAATTTGTACATAATGTTCCGTGGCAATTGTTGCGATTCCTCCCAAAAATCATAACACCCAACAGAGAGACCTTTTTCGCCACAATTCCCCCCGTATAGTGGAGTCCAATCAAAGAGATATGCTAATGGATGTGTATTCACCAAACAATTTACTTTTAATTGCTGCCACAGATGTCTGAAGTGGCCACGAATTGTATATCACGATTTTTTGGTGGGCACACGATTCTCTAAAGTTGCATATTTAGTGCATTTCTCAGATTGTTAGATTGTTGGCAATTTAGCGTGGAGGAACACGTGTCTCGTGCTGTTGATTTATAAGCTTGACTTCAGTGACTTTTGACTTAAAGTCGTCCCTTCAGTGAGGTTTTCCCATCTCGTCCACAAAATCTTGACAAAGTGATTTTCAATGCTGCTTAGCGAGGCAAATCCCTCTCATTCATTCACTCATGGAAGATTTTATCCGGAAATTGATTGGAAATATTTATTATTCTCCTATTTCACCTTAATTATTGGTTTGAGGAATTCTTTTGAGTGCAACTTTCTTAGCTGTCAAGTGATCCCTTTGTTTTGACTTCACAGCTTATTTATATTCTCTATACTCACTGGGTTGCTTTTTTGCATTGCTTTTCCATGGGATTTATTGTGTTGACTTTGTGACGGTGAAAGCTGAACTTTTTGAATTGTTCACAAAATATGTTTTAGTTTGCCGACTTTTGGGCGAATTTTCTTGTGTTTATGCATAAGATAAAACGAACTTTTTCAGCGACCGCTCATGTTTTTATTCATAATCTCTTAATCACTTCTTTGTGGGCATATAAAAAAATCTTATACAGTATATTTACAAGGAATTTGTATCTTAAATTAACACCTTAGATGAGATTTAATGAGCCAAATTACTTGTACTTCTTCTCTGCTTCTGTTCATCTTTCTGCTGCATTTTATTTTATAACATGTAATGATGGTGGAAGAAATGATTTTTTCAAAGAAAAGTGATTGGATGGCACTGCTCTAGATATTTTTTTTTCTTCATCTTCATCCTCAGCTCTCCTAAAAAATTGTGGTGGGGCCCTTTTTTTATACTTGGCAAAATCTTTTAATTAACCCGCTAATTGATGCTGGGTAGAGTGAAGTGTGGGGCAAAGAAGGTGGAGACGGTTGTATCTCAGCTGTTTGAGTGCAATTGTCGGTGTGATGATGCAATTAATTGAAAATATCATCAATCAGTTGCTTTGTAATGATTCGATGTGGTCGCGTTGGGTTGACTTTGGGTGTTTGATAGAGGCGCGCATTGATGGAGTAGAGGCGGGGTGAGAGATCACAGCGTACGTTAAACCACCAGTCACAGACGAAAACTGCTTGGGAGAATTGTGTTCCATTCGGGCAGAGGAAACTCGCTTGCCGTCCATCAATGTCACAATAATGCCATCCTATTGAGTGTTGAGGAGTAAAAGATCAAATTAGTATGCAGTCGATATGGTTAAAGTTTGTGCGGTCCACTGTAATGCGCAAAGGTAGCCAACGAGGCTCTAATTGAACTAATGGGCTTATGAGTTGAGTCAATATATCAAGACAATGGGATTGATTCATAACAGTCGAATCAGTTGATTGCAAGCTTCTGAATGCACAGAAAAATGAAAAGGTAAATTGTATAATAATATCGGGAAATGCTCATTGATTTTCTCATTATCACATTTCATAATAATGTAGTTGAGATTTTAAATTCAGCAATGAAATGATTTAAAACTTTGGCATAAAAATTTTTTTTTACCTCAGTGTGTCCATTAAATTAATTCTAATGGCCATAATGTGGGTATTTAATTGAAATTGAAAATTTGTTTTAATTCTTGTCAGAAAAATATATACATATGCACTCATTTGAAACTTTCAAAGGCATACATAAATGTTACTTTAGCTAAAGATAATAAGTCGTGACTCTTCATTGTAAAATTGTCTAAATGAAATTTCACTAATTGTGCATAAATTTTATTAAAAGTGGTAGGTAAAGTCTTAATAGCAAAACTGTGGATGACATCTACTCTCTCAATGACTGAAGGAATAACAAGAATAGTGGCCATATCGTAATTGGTATCTTGTGAACTCTTCTGTGTAAACTTGTAAAGTCTCATGAAACGGGGCACGCTCGCCGTGCTATTGTGAGTTAACTTGGGCAAACAATTCACAAAACCACGCTGGCGTCTGCATTAATAGAGGTTGTGGAGATGAACAAAGATGAGATTAATTGCATGTGTCGAATGAGGTGGAAGACGCGAAGTTCACCTTGACATCTTGTATCCATATCGGCGAAGAAGCCCGGATATGGTTGGTCGTCACAGTAGAAGTTCGTGTAGGGGATTGCCGAGAGGATGGGATAGTCAGTGCCGGGACGACCTGTGAAAGTAAATCAATTTTGCATGAGAATGTTGTCGCACGAGCAAGGTTTCTGGGGCACTCACCGGGAATGGATCTGCCCAGCTCGAGGTATTCGCGAACGGATGGCGAGAGGAAGCCTGGTGGGATGTCTACGGGTTGCTGGTCATCTCGGGGCTCTTCGAGGTTCTGCTTGGGCTCTGGACGATATTCCGTAATCGATGGTGCTCGAGGGCGTTTGGCTCTCTTTGATCTCACGGACTCCTTGGAATCTGTAGGGGATAAAAAAGAGTCCTCAATGTTAGATCTTGGGCACTTCATGAGTATCTAATTAGCATTCTAAGACACTGTGGATGTCGATTTCTCTTTTATTATTTAATACAATTAATTGTTTGTAGCCATGAAAATGTTGATCTAGTGATTTTGTTACACGTTCTCCTTGACGTCTTAGCATTTTCAATATATGAAATACACATTTAATGTAAAGAATTCTTCTGACCTTCTCATCATCTTCGCCATTAATGTTGCCGTTGCGGCGTTGGATAAAATTTTTGCCATCTTAGCATTATAAAACACTCTTCACTATTTATATGGGAGTTGTTTTATGGCCATCATAAATGTGGCACCGGAATTGAAAGGCAAGAAAAAAGACCTTTAGCATTAAACAGAAGTTGAAGAAGATTTAACAAGTTGATATGGAGTGGAAATTGAATGATAAATCACGCACTTTCGATTCTTTGTGATCGGGGATAATGTGTAATTACTTAATTGCACACATCAAAGGAAACCCACCAGCTGTAGTTAAGGTTGAAGCACACATAATGTGGTAGCGTAAGACGCATGCAAGAGAAAGATTTAATTTTTACCTGCTGCTGACAATATCGGATTTTATTGATTTGAGCATGTCCGCGAGGGACATAAAAAAAGACCAGTGTGAACGACGACGGAGCATTATGAATTGGATTAATTTACAGTCATGTCCTCTGGTGTGGAATCATTTACAACGGTGGTGGTGGGCCTGAAGGTGTGCTTGCGAGGGAGATTATGAAATTCAATTAACAAATCATTTGTATATTGGCGGTTAAATCACGCAGGTATCGAATTAACGCATCAATTTATCAAATACTTGTCCCAATTGACATTGTGCTGATGATTTAATTACTTGTGGTATCTTCTTATGTGACATAAATAATTCATAATCAGGCATTGCGTATTCCCTCGACGGGGTGGCAGGGGGGTAAAAATGTGTGTGCGAATGCACACTGTGTTCGTTCATCTCACAATTTCCATATCGTTGCCACGGTGATACTTAATACCATACGACGTGAAGTATGCATAAGTCAAAATATACGATGATTTGTCGAGCATCTTGCATTATTGGCACAGCGAATGGATGTAATTGCAAATGAGATTGATTTTGCAATGGCAATTGATTGTGGAGCGATTTAGTTGGAAAGAATCACATTTCACGCCTATTTTATTGCCATCATCTTTTGAAATTGACTATATATTGATCTGACTGTCTTGTTTGATTTATTGGGTTGCTCTATAAAAAGTGGTCGCTTTTTCTACCAAGATTTGAATTTATATGCCTTTAGTGATCTGATCCCCTTCACAATTGTCACACACACGACGGAGGGTGCTTGGGAATACTTTCGAAAGTGTCCCTAATCCCAATGCTTATTGAATGTGAAGTAAGAGAAAAAGAGCACAATATTTATGATACAACCAGAGAAATTAAAATATCTTTAAAGTAATTTCTTGTACAGCATCTTGCGTCTGCAGCAGCTTTTTACTACAGTTGTCTGATTCAATTGACTGGTTGCTGAAGGATAATGTTCAGTACTCATGTGTGTGCATGAGTAAGAAATCCATCAAAAGTAACGCATCTCGAAAGCTCTTATAAGATACAATTATAAAATTCTCCACAAACATGTAGTGCAAGATGGTAAAGTCTTCTTGAACTCCTTGTATTTTTTTTTCTCTCTCTCATGTCGGGTGGTTATTGGCAAGAGTGGAAAATGTTACAGTACACAAACAACATGTTGGAGATGCTTTGAAAATTGTGAGTCTAAGAAGGAATTCAATAAATTTGTAATTATCTGCCTTTCAATTAATTTGAAATGGTGTAAAATAGTTTTACAACACAATTCCTCAAGTGTTCTCATTCCCCTTTTTCACCAGTTGTTGTGTGTGATTGACATGTTGGTTGAGAGGAGGAGATGGAATTGTGTGATTGGGTGAGGAGTCTTTTTATTAAAACTATATGGAGGAGAAGTGAAAATACATGCTGCATTTGGAAACTCGAGAACTTTTTGAGTGCATCGCCCAGTCATAATAAATTGACTCGAATTTAATTTGTAAACCATTGAATCTTGTGTGCTGTATTCTATTGTATTTAGGGCAACTGGTGTTGCTGGCTGAAGAATGAGTGGTTTGTTGTTGTTGTGGAAAAAAGACATGATCTCAATTTTTGCGCTCGTGACTTCCAGACACCCAATAGATTGAAGGCATGAAATGCTCAGATGGGAGCAATGAAATGTTGAAATGTATCATTATAATCGAATTCACGAGATAGACCTACATGGGTATTAAATATTAAAAAATTGCCTCGCAATTATCACCTTCTTCAAATGGAAGCACACTTCTCGCATAGTGTGAAGTATATGACATGAACGAATAAATCTTACAATCTATCTTTTTTTCTCATCGTTCACTATGGCCACACGGGCTAAAATTGATACATGCTTATGGTGTTCAATCATTAGTATGAGTTAATCGGCATTTTAAAAATTCTTTCTCCCGAGCAACATTTTCTTAAATGGACAATATATTAAAACAAAATCCAGATGTCGTGTGAACAATCTCCTGAAACAGATCTAATGATTTTATTTATCACACGCTTCGGGGGAATTATTTCCTTGCAATTTACAACCACCACAATTGCAATGCATTTTTTTATAGTTGGTATTTTGTGCTGAAATGTTGGTATTTTCGAGGTAAACCAAAATAGGTGGTTAAAATGTTCAGTTAAAATTGATTTTTCAGTACCTAATTGAGGCTTAAATTGAAAGCACTTTTTTTGGGGGGGTTTTGGGACAATTATTATGATAGACGTTCCTGTGCAATAAACAGTAGTTGGCAAATGTAAATCCGGAGAGAGTGGTGTTAATTTAAAATTGCATTATTTATGCACTGTGAAAAAATGTGTGTATGTTGATGAGGTGACACATATTTTACTAAAATATAACAAACTGTCAAATATGACGAGTTCCTTCGTCGAGGAATTTGAAATGACTAGTTAAATCATAGTAATGCATTTCAATTAGTTTCCCACAGTGTCAACTAGAGGCGGAAAAAAATGTAGGCGTGTATTTCTTTTTCGTCACGAAATGAAATTGAAAATATTTAAATACTCACATCAATTTGTTGAAAATAACATTTTCCACGTCTTTTCTGGCATTCATTAATGGTTAACAATTAAAATGTCGTACAATAAATTGTGCGAGTGAAATTTAAATTTACCTTAATTCCATTTTCATTTTGAATACTTTAATTGCGCGGCGGAATGTTTTTGTCCCGTTTTGTGGAGAATTAAAACTCCTACTGGCGTTGAATTGTGTGTTATATGTATAAAAGCAGAGAGGAGAGATGATTGGAATTCCGTACTTTTTTGTCCTTCCACACGCTCTTTTTCTCCTTCAATTTATGGTAATCGTGCAATGGTTGGCCAGAGGAAAATGATGAAATGTACTGAGAATTTATGATTAGTGATCATCTTTTTGTCATGTGTAGTACATTTTCTCTTGTCTTCCCCCGTCTCAGTGCGCCGTTTCAAAATCATAATGCCGCACCATCAATTAGTTCAGCGAAAGAATCGTGGTTTTCAATGCGCGCGCGGGATTAATGGATTTTAAATATTTGATCTCTGTGATCGATAAATTGGTTAAATTAAATTGAGAACAAGAGAGGGAAGTCTTTTTAAAAAATATGGGTGCATATTGAAGTGAGAGGCTTGTGTGGCGGTGGAAAAAAGCGCCGTACGCCACTTGGTTTGCAATTATTGCGTCCAATTTCTTCACTTTTATTCATATGTGATACTGGGCACAACACTAAGCCTGATCGCCAACTTCATCGATGACATGGGAAATGTGCTCGCGACTGTTGGCGCGATCACGAATTTGGAGCAATGCTAGAGTCCGTGTGCAATTTCATATCCAGTGTTGTACACACCTCTGTTTGGGACTGAGCGCGAGCCGTGGTCTGCAATCGAATAATAAAGAGGCGGTGTGGCCCATGGAGAGAAAGAATCTCTCAGGAGACGTGCACTCAGAGGAAAGTTTTCATGCAATTTGAACATTTTTTCCATGAAACTTGTTTATCTTTTAATTTGCATACACAACAAGTTTATCTCAGAACAATTGATGATGACAAAGAGGTGTAAATATCAAATAGAATTCATGTCCATTCCGTAATGTTTCTGAGTGCAAAAATCCTACAAGCGGCATCAATTCGCATGTACAAAGATCAGAGAGTCGGCAGTTGAGAGTCAGAAAGATTGATCTCACCTCCTCCGTCACAGTGAACAAACCATTGTACATATTGCGAAATCCCAATCAATGATTTATATCGATTATTTTTCAACTCTATGTGTATACATTTTATTGTTGTGGCTAGCAACTGTCTCACTTTGTGGGTTTTATTTATTTTGTTCCACTAATTTGCTCCTTCTTTTATTATTATTCGAGAAAATGTAATGGACATCAAATTGAGAGAGAGCGAAAAAAGTATGCAGAAGCTCTTAAAATTATGTATAGAAAATTGAGAGAACTGCAAATTTCCTCTCGAAGGCTTTTACAGTCTCGTTTTATTGGCAAATTTGATTGATCTCTTTGGTTTCAGTGTGAATTTCATTAGGTGAATCCACACGAGAGACAAAAAAAAGACACAGAGTGAATTTGCGATGAGATGTTTTTTGTGCAGAGCTTCACAAATTGGTCTCTTCTAATTTATTGAAGCTCATTAGGATGGAAATAATGGAGAATTTTTTTGTACCAAAGCCACCCTGTCACACAGTGAATGCGATGAAATTCGCAATTGGGGACTTAATTTGGCATATTCCATTGGCATTCGCGCATTGATTCTATGGGGAAATTGGTGTTTGCAGTTGACTCTTTAATCCCTTGTTGGGTATATGAAACTCGATTGCAAAAGAGAACCCCCTTTTACTGTGGAATATGGAGGCGCATTAAATGCCTATGAGAATTAACATGATGTTTTTACACTGCCTGTATTGACTATTGAAACATTATGGGTATAATTGTGAAAAATTTATAGGGAGGATTTTGTTGGCGAAGAAGTCACTTTTTATTCTTAACAATTCCTTTCTTATGCTCAATCATGTGTACTAAAACTTTCTGTAACGCAACATGTGTTACAGATTAGTGCATACAACAGTAAGTAACTAACCTTTCCATTAGTATTCTAAGCAAGAAGCTGTGACCTTACAATTCCTATAACGAGTGTATGAGGCACAAAGTACGAATTGGTGAGTGGGCTGCGGAGGTTTTGTTGTGCATTAGACGTGCTCTGTTGCCTCAGGAGGCTTCTGAGAGCGTGGTCTTGTGTATCTCTCTCACAGTCTTGGGAGGCCCCCTAATGTTTTCGGTCAAAAGGAGGCATGCCGTGAAATGGAAAATGATCTGTGGCGTGTGCACTCAAAATACAATGAGATCTCTTGTGCGTTTTCTGGTGGTGATCACTTTCCTCTTTGACTCTAAAAATCTCTCGTGGTGATTTAATTGATCGCGCAATCTGTGTGGCGTCTTGGTGTGTCTCAAGGGAAACTTTCGTGTCCCAGCTTCTTTTTCAGGCGCATTTCATGCCTTTTCACATCTCACATACCACACCCACGTTGTATATGTTTTTAAATGCAACAGTGCAATTTAAGAGCGTCGTTTTTTGAACAATCCCAGGGAAGCCTAAAATGTATATATTGGAGTTTCTGCCATGGAAAATTGCATATGGAAATGTTTATTCGTGTGGTGTTTATTGTCACTTTTTCGATATGTCTTTTGTTGGATCACCATTGGCATGGCATAGCACAATGGATGTGCTTTTTCCATTGACTGGGAATAACAATAGGGTCAGAAAGAAGGTGTGCAGCAGGCAAAGTGCATTTTTGGTCTTATAGTCTCCCATAGAGAGGAAAAAATGCATCTTCACTCTCACGGGTGGGACATTTTTGCGTGGTGTGTGAGAGTGTATTTACAAAATAATGTCACTCATTGTTGATATTTTGTAAATAAAATTAAAAATGCATTAAGATGCTTTTGAAGTCAAGGCCTCCAATTTTGTTAATTCTCATCTACATATGATGTCACCTACGAAACAACTCCCAAGCTTCATTTAATGTCTCTGCATGATGTAATTGTTTGAGCGACGGTGTGTCTATGAAATATTAATCATAATTTTTTTTTCCTCTATGCGTGTGTATTTCCACTCTTGGGAGGTGTGTAAAAAGAAGCGAGACAGAATGTGAAACAATTAATTTATGTGTGAGATTAGAATGGGTATACTATATGATAAAAAGCCAGTATAGGTATGTGTGTCTGTCTTTTATTTAAATATAATTTATCGATATGGAATGGAACTTGAAAATGGTGTTTTTCACCTCCATTATCTGCGCAAAGGTTGGCATACGCTGGGCAGAAAAAAAGTCATATCAACCATAGCTGTGTGATTTTATTGCATTTTTTCCCGCGTGATTCCATGCAATTCGCATCAAATAAGTGATTTATCTGGTGAACTGCCAGAGACGGTTGAAAGAAGTGCCACAAGTTACTTTTTCTCATCATGTGGAAATGCGTGATATTAAGTAATTTATTTAATGCCTCAACCACTTATCCGTCTCTCTTTCCTTGATCATCCGATATCACTCTGTTTGTAATTCAGCTTTCAGTGAGCTTTTGAGCTGTTGAGGCACGGAGTCACGATGGATAAATTAATTTAAACTATGTGTCAATGATCGAGTGCAGTTGAATACTAATGTCAGATGCGGACGTGAAGAATTGTTCTGCGCTAGGCTGTGACAGTATGGCAAATATGTGAGATAAATCATTTGGGAAAATGGTAAAGTTATGCTATTGAGTATTAAATAAAAAAGAGTCCAAGGAAAAAATTGATTATGTTTTCATGATATGAGTATTAAAAAAGCATAAATGTCAGATTTTACACACTAAATGTCAAACGAATGTGGAATAAACGTCAGATGGATAGATATAAGCGTCAAATTTTAGGCGTATTTCTAAGGTTGTTCAAATAAATTAAACCATTTATAATCATCTTCATCATTAGTTGAGTTTATTTACAAAAAGCCAACAATAAACTGACTTCTCCGTGCAAAAGCAATTAAGATCTAAATTACTATTTAAATATCGCACTATCATCTTGAGAGATCTTCATGCTCTTATGATTCTGAAGAGAATTATGCAAGAGAATACTATTATATTTTACAAAGTGACTGTCCCTTGAAAATTTCTCTTTCATCCATTTATTCACTTGTTGATTGGGAGGGAAAGAAAAAGGTAGAGAGAAGGAGATTGCAAGGCACACAGGGTCTTCCCATTTATGTAACATTTTCAACTAAGTAAATTAACTAATTTCCCAGTTACCATCGGAGGAGAATTAATTTATATCTTATATTTGCAAATAAGTCACACATTTTAAGTGAGGCGCGCGATGTTCAAAAGGCCGAGTGAAAAGGCATCAAGATGACTCTCGCTTGCACTTCTCCGCCTTCCTGTTTCATTAGATAGCAAGTGAAGGTGGAAGATATTCCAATTATTGCCATTTACACACATTTCCTGCCATTCAACTTTAATCCTCGTCAGAGATCTCACGGGTGGTTCAAAGTTGACTAAGGCTCGAGACTTCGTCTCGTGGCAGAAACAATTGATCGAAAACGTTGCAAGGTGACGTGAGGGTTAATATGCAAAGAAGCCGCGGTGGTATATGGAAAGTTTTCACATGTCTTAGCACCTCTTCATCTGAGGTTGTGCGCTTCAAAGACTCAAAGCGACTAATGACAATGTTGACGATTTCAACCTTGCGCCAGCCGCACTTTTTCTCCATCTTATGTGATTGAGTATGAAGAATTACATGAACGTGTGCTGGATGCGGATAAATCAGACATAAGTCGGCTGTTTAAACTTACAAATACATCAATGTAAATTTAAAAGACGTTTAATTTGAATCACCTTGATGGATCTTTTTTCTTTCTGAAAAGAAAAAAAATGGATGGGAAACAAAGGAGAAAAATGCGCGTGGTGTGGGGAGGGGGAGCTTGAAGAAATTAGATTAATGATCACTCATGGGACGACGGTAGAAATGTGGAACGAGGATGAAAGTGTCGCTTTTGCCCTTCCTTGTTTGCTCAAGGAGTCACTCCACATTTTCTAGCGAAAGCCATGCTACAATGGAGATTATGTGGAGCTGGAGCGGCACGTGAACGCCTTTGCCTTTTATCATGGTGTTGTCATGTTGAGTCGCGCTGGTGTATTACGTGATTTCAAATGCCGGGAGTTACTCGACAATCGACACACTTAAGGGGTCAATAAATAATGTATAGAATAAGAGAGAGAATTTAGGAGGTAAATTGGTGGGTAATTTAGCGAAATAGTGAATTAGATTGTGAGCACTCTCGTTAGTCAATTTTCATGTGAAAGAGAGATAGAGAAAAGAGGGCTTTCAAGTCAGGCCTCAGCCTGAGATGACTTGAAAATTCCTCTGACCTTTGACATCAACTCGGAATGTGTCTGTGTGTTGCAATGCATTAAATGGGATTTTATAGTGGTCAACGAGTTTTCCCTCAATGTCTCTCTTGCGTTCACTTTCTTGACTTGAAGAAATTGTGAAAAGTCTGTGTGTGTGTGTGTGTGTTTTTTTTTTCATTAGCCCGTCTCTTTAGTGCTTTCGAAAGCCCTTTTTCACGTGCACTCACGTGCCGAAACTTCCCCACCCACCAGGTTTACCTGTGGCTCTCTTTGAAGATGATCAAGCGGTATGGACAAAGACGGGACAAATGATATGCAAAGTGAATTGAAGTTGTGCAAGAAAGATCGCACGGTTAGGAGAACAAACGATGTAATAGACATAAAAATAAATTGCTCGATTCATGCTATTTTTTTTCCAAACCTTGCTAGTCTGGAATGTTTCATCTTCCTTAAGTGTGGAGAGGCACAAAGGGAAAAAAGGAGAACAGGGTGCTTCCATTTGCCAGTGAAAATCTATTACACTTTTGATTGGAATAATTTTCAATCTCAACACTCCCATAAATTTATCTTTTTTTTCTGATTGAAAATGCTAATCGATATAAATTTTATGCAAAAACATAGTCAGTTGGAATATGGCACACGCTGAATTGATAGATTGTTAAATAATCCATCAGTTTTGTATTCAACTTCCATCAATATTGAGTGTCTTTCGTACAAAACAGTGACTTAACGTTGTTAGCAACATTATAGATCACCCTGTATTTTTTGCATTCATTGTCCGGGTATTTTTTCGGGGAGAACATATGTGTAAATAATGAGATTTCCATGCAAAATGACTTTGGGAGTCGCGAAGCGTGAAGAAATAAGCATAAATATTATGGCTTTTGTGTGCCTCCTGTTGATGTGATTGTGCGTGAGGGCGACAGTTGATTACCTGTGGTCAGTACGCTGTATCCAAAGATGCACAGAGCAATTAGTGAGACACGGAAAATCATTATGGCTGTCGAGGTGATTGTGTCACACAAATTACGGTGGATCTGCTGTGATGTGAAGATGCAACTTCCAAGGATTGTTGAGTGGTTTTATCCAGTTGGTGGGTTAGAGTCACTTGGCACAAATTCTGAGTTCCAATTGCTAGGTCGACGTGGGATTGTAAGATTGTGGGGGAGAGAGAGAGAGAGAGGGTTTAGAGAGGATGATTGGGATAATGACGACCTATGTTTGAACTGTGTAATACATAATGCCCCGAAGAGGCATGAAATAACACGAAAAAGAAGAATTCAAAAAATCACACTTTTTCAATGCACTTTGAAACAAATGTCTTTGCGAAGAAATCCTCCGAATTGTGTCACTCTTCTGGTTTTTTTTTTGATTGAAGATGCAAACTATAAAGAAGTGTTGAGAGCGCGAGCTCCAGACTCGGTGTGCTTTTTGCCGCCGCCTTAGAGTGTAACTCACCTCACACTGGTTGATCTTACAATATTGAGATTGCTTGAGTCGCCTCTAAGCTTCGCGAGTTGCAACTAGTAAGCACATGTGAGAGGCACGAATTGGCAGCTCCTCTCTTTTTTCCTCTTATTTGCAGCTCAACACAACAAAACTTGGGTGCGGGAGAGCGCTGCAAGAGAGAATTTGCAGTGTTTGAGGCCCACAACTGGGAAAAAATTAAAGAGAGACCCAAAGCAGCGCTGAACAAAAGTTTTCGATCTCGAAAGCATTGGGGGTGGGGTGGGGAGCAGAGAGTGTGGCGCGAAAAGAGGGGCATCTAGGCTTGGACACTTTTCATGCCAGTAATAACTGAGAGCAAGAGTCGCATTTCATAGCTAGATCACGCCTCAATGAGAACCACGGTTGAGATAGATGATGATTTTTTGTCAATCTTAAGAACACAACTGTGCTTAGATTCTCGCCAAAAGATGATCTTCTAGTCGAGATGGAACTCTATTCTTGCTGTGGCGAGAAGAACATTTTTTCATCATAAAACCAATGAATGCAAGTCTTTGGTGAAATATCGAAATCAGTCCTCAATTCATAGACAATCGAGCAGTCTGCAGAGGCTATTCAGCCATCTGTTCACCTAATAAAAGCGATCGCGTGCTTGACTTCTTTGCTGGTCACACCTGGGGAGCAGCAATTGAGGAGAGTCTGTGATGTCTGAAATCAAATGCACTGAATGCGAAAATGTTATCTCAGCAGAGACTGTCGCAAAAGACATCTTGTTTGGGTTGATATGAGTAAGGCTGAAGAGTTGACCTCAGCCAGTTGCAAGTCCTCTTTGGTGATTAACAACTCGCACGGCAAAATGAGATCTCTCAATTCTGGTTGAATGGAAAATGCGGGGAGAAATTTCGTTGTGTTGTGTGGCCGATTGAAAAAGGAATTTTATTGAACTTTTATCACCTCTTTTGATGGGCGTGTTATTTTATTAACTCTCAATTAAATTCCTGTGGATTTCGTATGTTTTTTTCCCCCCTACTAAGAGACTTGAGGAGGGTTTAATCTTTAGCTTTGCGTTGATGAAATGGAGGTTTCACCCATTATCTTTGGCATAAGAAACGCGTATTTTCAATTAATCTGACCAGAAGATAAGCATTTTGACCAAATACAGGCACGTTTAATCTTGTAATTGAGTAGCAAAATTGCATTCTTAGCTTTAAACATGCAATATAATTAGTTGATGTAATTCCCACCCACTTGCAAGTTGTAAAGTGCGTGAATTAAGACTCCCTCTGTGATCGTTGAAACAACTCCTGATCACTTTCAATTAATTACTATTTGATAATGATGTGAAGTTAATTTGTTGCAATGTAATTGTGACAATTTAAATTATTGTTGCTGAATTTCACGAAATGACGGGCGGAGGCAGCAAAATTGTATTGAATACTTCTTGCTGGGTTCGCGGATCAATGAGATTTATTTGCAAGTGTGATCTGAAGGGTACAGCACGCAATGTGATATATTGTGTGGTTTATGATTTCTACAATAAATAATTTTCAAAAGCAAATTATATCTCACAGTTTAGTTGGAACATGTCTTTTGTCTACAATGGAGGGCAATATAATTGAAAATGAGTCTAATTCAGTGATTTATCTATCACTTCAGACATGCGACTCGACACTGCAGACGGAAAAGGTGTACGCCCAAAAGGCTATTGATGACATTTCCAACTACTTCATCGATATGCACAGCTCGCTGCAGGTTGCAGAGCAGAGACTGGTGAAAATAGTGAAGGATCATTACAGGGACAACCACATGAAGATACAGATGTGTCAGGAGAATCTCAAGACGAACAAGGGTCAGATTGAGGTGGGTTTTAATGAAGGAGAAAGAGGAAGAAAAGATCGTTTCTCTATTTTTTTGTTTCTATCCTTGCAGGCCTACATGGACAAGTTGAAGCACTACTCTCGAAGTGCACCGTATAATCTGGATCTGGAGAGTCTCTTGCAACAGATCAGTGTGTTTACCAAGGAATTGCCGTGCGACTTGACCGTTTTCCAATCATCTCATAACCCCATTACGTAAGTGCCTAATCACAGTATAGTCGATGGAGAGAAGAAGAAAAAAATTAGTGTGCATTTCAAAACTCACACTCAATTTGATGACACTAAAGAGTGACTCTTCATCAGCTGATGAGTTGTTAATTAATGGTGGGAAAGTATTGATTACAATTGTACTACAATTTACTTTTCAGATTCGAGAGACCAATGGAACCGCTACGAGGCTTGATGGAATGCATTCGTGTGCAGTGGAATGAAGAGATTTTGTTGACATTGGGACGATGTGAGAATATATCCTCACCACCTCATTTTCTGCCCAGTTCCAACACCTCAATGATGGAACAGACGAACATGTACAGAAGTCCCATTGTTCATTCTCAGGGAAACTCCAAGATTTCTCCAGTTTTGTCCCCAGTGCTTCAAGTGGACAAGAAGTTGAAGCTGAACGAAGAACTTCGTACAAATTCACCACGTGAATCACCACAACTGAATCGTATTGTGGAACAGATGGATATTGATCAGCCAAATGAGAAGCATCGAAAGCACTCTGGTGACCGAAAGAAGTCCAGAGATGCAAAGTCTTCTCGAGTACAAAAGGTCATTCCGAAGATAAGTCTTTTGCCAAAGATTGAAACAACGACGGGATATGTGAGTCATATCAAGAATCCCCAGGAGATCTACATTCAGGACATTAGCTTTGTCACGAATCTCGACCATTTCATTGGAATGTGCAACGATGTGGCGAAGAATCAGGTGAAGCCAGAGGACATTGTTACGGATGAGATGTATCTCATGAATGACTCGGAGGCGACAAATCCAGCCAAGTGGTATCGGGCTGTGGTGAAGGGACGCAGCGAGAAGAGGACATACGACGTGCAGTTGATTGATTTTGGAAATACGAAGAGTGTGGACAAGAGTAAGATTCGCACATGTCCGGATGTGCTGAAGAATCAACCACGCGGAGCTGCTCACTGTTGTCTGTACAATTTGCATCCGCGCCATGGAAAGTGGACGGACGAGGTGAATTGTCTGATCACTGAAATGGTGATGTCGGAGAGTGTCATGAAGATGACACTGGGTATTCAGAGTGAGATTCACGTGGTGGATTTGGTTGTGATGAAGAATCTCAAGCCATTGTCAATTCGTGACACGCTGCTCAGTGTCAATCTGGCTCGTGAAATCCCGTCAATGGATCCGCAGATGACTCAGCTGATAAACGAGCTGAGGACGAATATTGTAAGATGCCTTTTCACACAGTTTTTTTGGGAAACTCTGCTTACCAAATCTTTCTGTTCTTTTCAGCAACGAGGACAAAATGCCAGACCCAAGTTCTTCGCGCCTTCGGCCACTGTGGGAATATACTTCTCGCCCAAAGTCATCCATGTGGAGTCACCGATGGAATTTTATGTAATGAAGGTGAGTTTGCAAGAGTATGGGGTATACAATTAATCATCTAAATACCTGATCATGGTAATTTTTATGCGACTAATGATCACGTATCGAGGGTTATAAAGTGCTCACGGTGTCGCTAAACGAGACGGAGAAATTACCTGAACTGTGATATGTTGAGAAATATTAGCAATCTTCACTCCTTGACAGACTTTCACCCAGGCATGCACAGGGTTGTTTGTTGAATTTGCAAATGAAAACTACTTGCTATATTCGCTTAGGACATTTAATTCTCTTGTGAACTACAAGATCTCAAAGTGTTATGAACTTTGCGACTTCCTTGTTAGTAAAATTGGAGGATACCGTTCCAATTTTGTTTGATAACCCTGTGAAATCTGCAATATTGCGTGATCATGAGTGCCTCTCATGAGTTGTCTTGATGATAAAATTTTGCGTGCGCGACTGCGAGGAGGAAATTGAAGATTGCTTTTTCAAAGATCAAATGAGTAATAAAAATATTTCGTGATTTAGTAGTGGAATTTATTTGCTTAAATTCTTCTGCCACACGACGAGATATTCAAATTGCTTTATAGTATGCGCCTCGACCATAATAGAGTGGAAAAAAGCAACAAGATAATGAGTACGAGAAAGATTCGACAATAATGCCTGAGATGGTTTATATTGGCAATCGCGGAAATTTTCAGAGACCAATCTTCACCTTGAGAGCTTTTGAAAAATTTGCATAAAGAGGGGAAAAGTGGTGTAAAATTCTTGAATGTCGTGATAGAGGTTTCGATCACGACATGATCAATCTTCTTTGAGAGTGATCTTTGGCCACAGTGAAGGACAATTTTTTCAACATTGCTCTCATTTGTCCCACACAGCACACGGATATCCATCTGTATGAGCAGCAGAAGCTAGCAATGGACCACTACTATGAGAATCAGACTCGAGAGCGTATCTATGCACCAGAGATTGGCGCGCCAGTGGCCATTTCCATCAACGATCACTGGTTCCGTGGTGAGGTGACGGAGGTGAGAGGGCCGCTTCAGGTGGAGGTGCAGCTGGTGGATGTTGGCACGAAGCACTTGGTGAACTTAAGGAGTCTCAGGATGCTCATTTCTGACTTCTTGAAGAATCTCCCCAAGGGTGTGATTGCATGCTCTCTTGCTCACATCTCACTTTGTTCTCGCTATGAATATCAGTGGCCAGCGGAAGCTACTGAGAAATTCTCTGCTTTGATTGCCAGCGACAATATTGAACTGTTTGTCCACAGTGAGAACTCCAATCGAAAGGACATGTACAATGTGACCTTGTACAGTGTGCGCAAAGACAAGAACATTTGCATCAATGCTCAACTTGTTCAGATGGAGTATGCTATTTCCACGGGATCGGAAAGTGTTCAGGTGAATTGTGGAATTTACCTTGCTTCTAAACTGGACACTAATCCAAATATTTCCCTCTCTTTATCACTTCCAGGTTGAGTTTGAGAAAGTCACTGATGATGATAGTGAGATTGAACCGACCTCATCACATGGAGACGGCAAGAACAAATCTGTGGAAAATGCGAAGAAATCTCATCGTTTAAATGCAAGGATCCTCAATGTTATCTCTCCTGAGGAATTCTATGTGCTCAATTTGACGTACATGGCGGGATTTGATCGGGTTCAGCAGATCATTGAGAAGCAGATGACTGGATATGTGTGTCCAGAGAAAATGCTGACGTGGAAGGAGGGAGATGTGTGCTTCGTGAAGACAGATACTGCAGCTGATCGCATTTGTGAGTGGCGTCGAGCAAGGGTGAAGCGTCAGGAACATGCCAAGGGTGGTTGTGTGGTGTTCTTGCTGGATTCGGGAATTGATAAGTTCGTGAAGATGAGCGACATGGCGCAGGTGGAGGACAAGGACGCGTGGGGAGCATGCCCAGGAGCTATTCGGTGTCATTTGTCAAATGTTGAGCCCACGGCTGGAAAGACGTTGTGGCCATCATCGGCAATTGATAAATTCAAGAAGTACTGCACATCGAAGAAGTACGAAGGATATGCCGTGACGATGATGGGACCGTTTGTGAATGGATCGGTGCCAGTGGTTCTGTGGGGGCGTGTCGAGGAGGAAGATCCGCTGCAGCCGACAATTGTCAGGTGGAAGAATCTGAATGAGTCTCTGGTGAAGCATGGCTATGCTCATCTTGCGCAGAAATTTCCCAAAACTTTTGACAATGAATTGATTGAGACGGAGATGGCGAAGCGGAGTGAGGAGTTTGAGCAATTCATTGAGAATCTCAATGCAATGACCAGGGAGAGTGTTCAGCCGGTGGTGCAGGAAAGGGATCCGCTGCAGAATGAATTGTCGGCGAAGATAACAAATGTGTTGGAATGGAAGCCGGCTGAACCATGGACGGATACCTTGTTTGTTGGTGTTTCCACGTATGTGGACAACAATGGAATTATCCATATGTACAATGTCCAGAATCGTGCAAGACTGGACACAATGCGTTTGATTGCAAATCAAGTCCTGCACGAGACATATCCATCGCCTGTGGAGCAATTCTGGTCGAAGAATCAGCCATGCATGGCACAATTCAGTTTGGATAATCACTATTACAGGGGAATTGTGAGGAAAGTGGATAAGGAGAAGTCTCAGTGTCTCGTGCAGTTCGTTGACTATGGGAACATTGAGGAGTGTCCATTTAAGATCATGAGAAAGACTCTTCTGTTCGGCAACATTCCAATACAATCCTATAGATTCAGGTTTGCCAATATTGTTCCAATGAAGAGTGATGAGCCGTGGCCAGTTGAGGTCCTGGACAAGATTCATGCCTACACGGTGGGCAATGACTGCACTGTGACACTGATTGGGACTCCTGAGGAGACTGGCGTCGCTGGTAGAATCTACGATATGACAAGTCTCAGGCTGGGAAGTGTTGATATGGTGAAGTTCTTGATTGAGAATGAGATGGCTATTCCTGCTAACCAGAAGATTGCGGTGAAGGAGAGAAAACAATTGGAGTGCGCTGAACCAGAGGAGAAGCGAAAGAAAGAGCAGGAGAAGGAGCCGGAGATGAAGTTGGACTCGCTCAGCAAGTATCAAGAGTACTTCAAACAGAAGGAGCTGAAGGAGCTTCTGGAGGATGACAAACATTCATCGGCGGAGTCCGATGAGATTGTGAGCAGCAGTGAGTCTGAATCATCAGGTCCGGAGGATGATGATCAGATGGAGACAGTTTCCTTTGGCGATTTCAATCCCGATTACGTTTCAACTGAGATTCCTGAACCCGCTGTGTTCACTACTCTCGTTGTGAACAGAGATTGCGAGGGTTTCTACGGCACCACCACGGAAGTCATTTCAGCACTGGATCTGTACATCTATCCAGATTTAGCGGGTCATGAGAAGATGCACAAGGACATGGACAAGTGCCTTCAGGATGCGGCTCCTTGTTATCCTGCTGTAACCAAAGTGACAGCCTTGACTGTGCCTTATCTTGTGCGCTATGACGAGGATAGTCGCTGGTATCGCGGACTTGTGCTGGACGATGGGAATATCGAGGATGAGTATTCGGTGAAATTTGTTGACTATCTCAACACTGAACATGTGAAGATCACTGATATAAAACCGCTGCACGAGAATCTCCAGGTTGTTCCTTTGAGGAATCTTCGCGTGAAACTCGCGGATGTTAAGGTGAATCAGCGCTACAGGAACGATGATGTGGAGAAGGAACTGAGGAAGCTGTTGCACAAGAAGAGGGTGTATGTGAAGATCGTGAATAGAGATCAGCCGCTCTCTGTGCAAATTTACGGTGACAAAGAAGCCAAAGTGGTGATTTACGAGTCACTCATCAACAAGAAGTTCTACTTGCGCCAGCCAAAAATTTGAAATTAACTACTTTTTCTACACATTTGACTTAACAACGAATATCCCAAAAATGAATTACGAAAGGGACCAAAAAACTACTGAAATAAGACTTAATTACCAATTTTCTTCATCATTATTTTCTACTTATTCTATGAAAAAACATTAAAGAGAAATAAACTCAATGTGAAGTATTTTCGTATTTATAAGTTTTATTAGCATGTTGGATTACAGGAAATCCTCTCAGCGTTGAGTGCTCTTCGCAATCTGCTCCTTGAGCACCAGAATGCTGTTTCGCTGCTCCGGCGGCAACATTGCAATCTGCTCGTCCGAGAGCTGGAGGACTTGCATGATGAGGGCCGCCTTCTCGTGATCGCTGGCGTCACTAGGGATGCCCCTCACGGCGGCTGCAGCCGCGGCTCCGGCGGGGCCAACCTGGGCTGCCGAGATTCCCGCCACGACGGGAACGTTGACTGAGGGAGGCACCTTGTTGGTGCGTGGATCAATGGGGCGCTGCCGAGGATCTCCGGCGGGGAAAGTGGGTGCCACCTGGCGAGCTGCACGCGGCGTCGGTCCAAAAGCATCCGGCACAGGTAATGGCTGCCCCAGGGAGCGCATATCCTGGTCCAGGGAGCGCGTGAGTCGCGGATCCACTGAGCGCAGATCGATGTCCTGTCCAAGTGGGGCGGAAAAGTCGTTTCGGCTCATACTCACAGGAGGAACGGGCTGCGGAACAGTCATCTGCTGCTGCTGTTGCTGTTGTTGCTGCTGCTGCAGCTGAATCTGCGTCACCGTCTGGTTGGTGAGCACAGGCGGCATCTGGTTGGGCTTGAACAGCATCGTGGCCGCTGTAGCAGGATCCACAATCCGCATAACCACCTGGGCTTGGAGGAGAGCGTACGCCAGCTGAGGATTCAGCAAGAGCATTTGGCGTGCTTCCGATGGATTGTTTTGAATGCAAGTCTTCATTTGCTTCATCAGCTCGTACATCTGCTCAGGCGGCAGCGATGCCACGGTCTTTGTGATGAGCTCTGGCGCGCTCTCGGGATCACAAGGCTCTCCATAGGGATTCTCCACTTGAGGACCCTGCAGCAGTTGCTGCATCTCCATCCGGGACTTCTCCGTACACGCATTGTCCACTCGTAGTGTTCGTCCACCAATTTCATACCCGTTGAGATTCCTCATGGCACTGAGGGCAGTTTCCTGGTCCTTGTACTCGCAGAAACCATAACCTTTAGGTTTGCCGCTCTCCCTGTCAAACACCAGTCTGAAAGAAACGAAAATACGTCAATATCCCCTGTCCGGAAGCAGATAAAACTCTAGCAACTTACTTGAGGGATATTACAGGACCCACTTCACTGAAGATCTCCTTCAGCTTCTCCTCTGTGGCTTCGTACGGGATGTTTCCGACTGTAAACAAAACAGGAAGAATGAAGCTCATCATGTTACTTTCAAAACCACACTATCGTCGCATCTTACCGAAAACCGATCGCATGGATTTGTCCATGATACTCTGATCTGAGTTCTTGTCTCCCATTTTTACAGATTATGTGTGAAATAACAGCAGAATTAAGACTTCTCTCCGGTCTGGAAAATTTGTTGACTGTTCACACGCGCTGCCGTCTCTGAAGTGATTACAGCGTCAGAGTGGTGGTGAAGCGAAGTGTATGTTAAGTTGGCAGCTCTGCTCCACGACGTCAAATGTAAATTGGGGTTGCAAGATTGAATGTGAAAAAATCGTGCAAAACAAGATTTTCTTTCGGAGATTTCTCTGTTATTTTCACTGAAAATCTAGAGAAATCCCGATAAATTGCTACAATGGGACTCTGTAAATGTCCTAAACGACTCGTGACCAATTTGTTTTGCTTCGAACACCGTGTAAATGTGTGTGAAAACTGCATTGTAACGAGTCATCCAAAGGTGGGACATTTTTTGTATATTTCAGCCACTTTTCACTGATTTCCATTATTTTCCATACAGTGCATTGTTCAGTCATATCTCCAGTGGCTCAAGGATAGCGATTACAACTCATCTTGTTCCCTGTGTGGTGAAAATCTCGATGCCGATGATTGTGTTCGACTAATTTGCTTTCGTAAGCAAAGTCTTCCGGAAGGCAAATTGGAATCCGGCTGATGAGAGACTCTCTTGTGTTCTTTGCAGATGTCTTTCATTGGAAGTGCATCAACAGCAGACAGGAGTCCCTGCCGCCCAACACGGCTCCTGGCGGCCACTCGTGTCCCACATGCTCAGAGAAGATCTTTCCTCCTGTTCATCTGGTGTCTCCGGTGGCGGATGTGCTGCGCAGCCGACTGTCGCAGGTGAATTGGGGCCGGAATGAGCTGGGATTGCCGCTTCTGGCTGACGAGAAGAAGGAGCAACGCTCGGGATCGAGCCAAGGGCCATCCGGAGTGACTAGCACGAAGTCGAAGGACAACTGGGATGTCTTCCAAGCGTCTCAGTCGCACTCCGTCCTCAACATAGACACATTCAACGGTAAGATGGTTTTATCAGGAATCGTGGAAGCAATGCTGACAGAATTCTTCTTTCCAGCGAGCAGTAGACGTCCTCTCCTGGCCAGAGAGCCTCCGATTGGGGCCTCGGACAGAGATGAGAACAAATACAAGCGCAGATCGGTTGGTGAACTGGTGAATCGCTGGACAAGGCGTCTCTACAGTCCATCTTCGCGTCCTCCGTGGCGTCGCACGTGGTTCATCTGCCTGGCAGGACTGCTGGTGTTTGTCCTCGTGATCTACGTGATGGCCAAAGTGGGACGCAGTGGCAACAGCGACGGTTTCTTCGACATGGACTTGAATCCCAACATCAAGTACGAATAGGAATCGATGGACATTCCGCGGTCGAGTCAAATATTTTATCGATATATCCTCTGCTCCCCAGCAAAAGTATCCCCCTGAATAATAACACCCTTTATTTCACTTTATTTTATATCAATGTTGATCCTTTAGCACGATTTAGTCGTGTAGAAAATATTGAATAAGAGGGCGAGTGATATAATTGCACAGATCTTTTTTACCACACTTCATCATGGGACGCGCGAAAGGTTGAGTCTGAGAATCCCAGCAGGGGGAAAAAATGGCCAGCGAATGAGGCGATGAGGAAAAGAAGAAGATCATTTTACCCTGAGTCTATCATGAAATGCAAATAAGACCTATCTAAGCAACCGCATCGATAACAAATTCCACTTGCATTTGACTTTCATGAGTTGGAAATGGAAGTCAAGTCTGTGCTGGCTTACCTCAGAGGATTCTCATCTGTCGCCTGTGCTGGAGCTTCTGGATTTTTGGGTGTCATGCTGAGAGATCAGTGGTTGAAGTACGCAGGATGGGCTGGAGTGGCTACTGGAGCCTTGATCATGGTCACCAGGAGAGTGGTAAAGAGAAGAATCTTCACCAGATCCCACGTAATCCTCATCACGGGATGTGATTCTGGACTGGGGTGAGTCGAATGGTCTTTATTCCAAAGAAAATCGGTGGCTTATGGAGATTCCTTGCAGATACAACTTGGCCAGGAAGTGTCACGCCATGAACATGACCGTGATCGCCGGAGTGCTGAATCCCCAATCTCAGGGTGCCAGAAATCTCGCTCAGCTGCCATCGCATGAACTCATTGTCACTCACATTGATCTGCTGCAGCTGGAAACCATCGCCAATGCTCATCGTGTGGTGCGGGAGATTCTGAGTCGCGAGACTGACTCGAAGTTCCTGGGATTGATCAATAATGCAGGAGTGATGGTTTTCGGGGAGTTTGAGTGGCAAACTCCTGACATTTTCCAGCGTCAAGTGCACGTGAATCTACTCGGCACGATGACCATCACTCACGCCTTTCTGTCGCTCCTACGGAAGCATCAGGGCAGGATCATCACGGTCACCAGTCACTGTGGGCATCAGCCACTGCCTGGCTTGGCTCCATATGCCGCATCGAAGGCCGCTCTGGTGTCTTGGACTGACACTCTGCGAACGGAGATGAGGAAGCACTCAGTGGACGTAGTGGAGTTCATTCCGGGCTCCTTCGTGACGGGATCCAACATCGCTGCTGGCCAGAAGGAAGCTGCCCTGTGCATGCGGAAGGCCTTCACGGCAGAACAAGAGGCTCTCTATTTGGACTACTTCAATCGATACAATTCCTACTTGGAGTGCATCGATGGGATGCGGAATTCCCTGGCAGAAAGTCATCCCAGGCTCTTGCGGGAGTTCGAAGAGGCGCTGAGGGTGGAGAAGCCCAAAGCGCGATACAAAGTGGAGCCGTTCAGGTAGAACAATTTGTCTGATGAATATCCTTAGAGATGTGCTCATTTTCCACTTAACGTATACTTCGCGCTCACAGCACCTTGTGCAGTGAGTGAAGTGCAAGGGCGTTGGAATGAGTCTTCAGCTTTGCGCAGAGGCGATATCGTAACCAATGAGGTTTATCCGAGGTGCGATTATTGCTAGTTGAAAACTTATGACCAATGTCCCGCCATACAGTTATGAAATACTAACTGGTATGGCAATTTTTGGAAGCCCCGAAAGGGGCAACTTAAAAACACTCACACAAAAAAGAAGTCTTTCTCTCGGGAAATTTCCTGGTTAGAAATGAACGACTTTCTTTACACAACTGAGAAAGTTTCAGCGAAGAAAAGAGGCTTTTGCCGGGCGTGAAAGGAAAAGCTTAATGTTTTTAACCCTCAAGTGTGCGTTCTAAAGAATGTCTATAAAGTATTTTTACAGTGCAAAAATACCAATTTTTTCTCACTGGCAGTCAATGTGATAAGAAATATGTATTTTCACAAGTGATATATTGCTCAAAGTCTCTCTTTCTTGGTAAAACCTTTTCGATAAATCTGTGAGCAATTGTGTTTGCTTTCTTTTATACTGTGATTCAACTATTTTTATTATGCGTTATCACATGTATCCAGCCAAAGTCAAATTTCCTGCACTTGTGAGAGCTCAATAGCAGATATTTCGTGCGTGACTTGGTGAGTCATCCATCTGGCATTGTGGATTCGTGGGCGAAAAAAGGGTTACATCAATGTAAATGATTTTCTCTTGGACAAAATTCCACGAAATGAGAATTAATTCTCAATAAAAGGCGACATTTGGACGGGCGAATAATCATGTTAAGTGAGCGGAAATGGCGAAAAATCTCCCATGACGATAAAAACACGGACAGAATGGTCGTTGCTCAGTGAATTGATTTTAATTTCTTCTCGTGAAATATTTAAATTCATCCTCAATTAATGTGTTTGTCTCCTCTGGGTGAGAATTTGGCGGGGCGTTTCTAGGAACTTGCTGCAGATTTATTGATTGAATTTCTCTATAAAGTGCTTCTACTTTCGAAACACTTGATCTGAAATTTTTGCCACAGAGAATTTAAAGTAGTGAGATGCTATGAAACATTCAACGTGTCATTGAGATTCTTTAATAGTCTTTCAGAACTTCTCAAATGTACTAAACCAAGTTTTTGTATTTCAATGCTTCTGACGAGAAAGTTCTTGCAATTGAAGTCTTTAATGTCTCTTTGCAGATACTTCGTCTATCATTGGCTGTTTTGGCTGTCGCCGACGGGGCCATTGAGGGATTATTTTGTGGAGAAATTCATGAAAATGCCGCAATTTAGCAAGTGAGATGTTAAGCAAGGTAAAAAGTGGAAGAATCAACAAAATCTATCTGATTCATCATCTGGAATTTAATTCACTTCCGGAGAAGCAGTCTTGCCGCCACTTATTGCCTATTGCTGTCTCTCTCGGCGTCGGTGCTTGTGTTCCGGGCAGAAGAGGAGGAATGAATTCACGAGAGTGCTGGCGTGTTTTTTTGTCGCCGCGTGGAAGGCATGGCACGAAAGGTGGCCTCTTTTCCCCCTTGCAAACTGCCAGCACAATTTTGCCCTGATGATCAAGCGCGGGTTTGTTTGGTGGTAGATTAGCTTTTGGCGCGAAATCGACACGTTGGCTGCGAAAGGACGGGAAACGTCTGAGCCCTGAAGGGAGAAACCCAACAGATTCAGGTGAGTCGTGAACTTGTTTCCTTTGGGTGAGTCACCCACTTTTTCTCTATATCAAACAACACTCCCCAACTATTGCTGATTGCACCTCGTAATTCCGGTGTTTGTTGTTTTGCGTGAATGAAAGAAGAGTGAGAAGAATGTCGTCTTGTGGTGCGATAACGCGGCTGATTCATAGGCTAATTTCACTCCAAAGGCGCCCCTCTGGTCACCACCCACAGGAGAAGTCTTTGGGGGATTGCAAAGTGGCGTCAAAAGACTGTGATTGATACTGACTGATAACAGTCAGTGCAGAGGAAACATGTTTATCAACATTTTACAATATTGAGATTATAATTATGGATAGGTCTTGCAGGTCAAGTTATTATAGTTAATCGTGTCCATAGAGTCAATGAGAGGTAGGATCTGCTGTCTGCTGAGGCCACTGCCAAGGCTTAGATCATTTAAACCTGACTTAGCGTGAATATTTTCCACCTGCTACACAATTCAGCACAGGAATTTAATATGTTTTCATGCCAAATTCATCATAAATAAACTGAAATTGTATATTGTTCTTTGTAACTCGAAAAATTGCCTCGTGCAGATAGAGCAGCTAAGCAAATTTCTCTCAGTGTACGTCAGAGATGATCGCATTTTGGCGGCCTCTTTTCCGTTCTGGCCACGACGGGGATTTTTTCTCCACACTGGCAGACTCTCTTCTCCATCTATGGACTTCCTATGGGCACACGAAGCTACTGTTTGCTCACCTGTGCAATTCTCGCGGCAAATCGCGAAATTCCACCTATTAAAACCGAGCGATGACTTCACTGTTTTTACCGCGAAAAACACATGACGTCACCCTCTTCTCCTCCATTCACGCGATCTGTCGGGACCGTTGGGAGTGTGAGTGAGAGCGACAGAGATGGGAAGAGTTGTCAGCGCCTGAGAAGAAGTATTTTGGCTGAATAGATGAGAATAGGAGAAATTTAGTGGCTCTTGGTTAACATGAGATACTCGAGGAAAGTCTGGGGTGATTATAGAAGATGCGTAATGGTGGAAAAGTGGCGGGAAAATGTGGAAAAGTGCGAGCGAGAGGGGCAATCGCGTGAAGTTGAGCGCATGTGCGACGAGGTTGATGGCGCGTGAGTGTGTGTTGGTGCATGAGTCATCATCGCAAGAGAGTTGTTTGTCAATTCGGCCACCACTTCTTTGTGTCAAAAAACGGAGTTTTTCCAGGGAAAACGAGCCAATTTCTACCTGAATACCGTGAATTTTCCACGTAGTGAGCACGCACGACACGTGAAAGTGTGAAAACAGGCTAATAGAGTGAAGGTGTGGCTGAAATTGTGAAGTGTTGTGAGAGCCAGGAGTTGAGGCCTCACTTGATTGCCACTTTGCTGGACAAATTGCGTCTTTTGTCACGATTTTCACGCTCCCAGAGACGAGGAAAATCAAGGTGAAGAACATGAAATTGGAACCGTGTGATGCTGATATCTCGGGAAGTAGCGACAACAGTCAAAACTCATCCGACATCGTGATACGGCAAGATATTTCGGTGAGTTTTCATCATCTCACACTTTTTCATCCACCTTTCCCTCTGGTCAGAGTCTGGCTAGGAACATGACTCTGCATTTTTCCCGGGTTTCACACGCGGACGCTAATTTTCGCCCACTGTCACACGATTCTCGTTGAGAAATCCATTTATTAGGCTGCAGAGAGATTTCCCCAGAAAACAGGAAGAGGCCAATTGTGAGTGTGAAAAGCACTCAGAAACCGCAGGGATTCACGCAAAAAAAAACGCCCCATTCATTCATCAATCTCATGTGGCAGGTGGCTAGAAACGCCCCAAAGAGGCGCCACACAATTTGACCTCTCAACCACGTCTCGACCTTGACAGGAGAGGCAGGAAATCGCCGAGGAGTGCTTCGAGGGCAACCCAGTGACGAGGGAAGAATCCGCCTGACCTTCACAACTGCCGGCTGTTCTTTGGCCACCCAATTTTCCCCAGAATGGCACGTGTTTGTGGTCAAATGGGGCAATATTTAGCATAAAAATTGCTATTCTCCAATTTTAAACACTCAAAGCGGGTCTTTCATTGAGAGAAAAAGATGCTTTTACTGCAAATCATAAACAAATTTAGAAAAGATTCTCTTGGAGTTCTCAGTTTGAAATACTTACGACTTACGAAACAAAAACACTGTTAACTCTGTTAACTAGTAAACTTTTTATCGCTTTTTTTTAGTCGAAATGTGGGAAAACACAAAAAAGTAATAATTGGAATGTTGGTTTCCCTTAAAGGACTTCTCATAGATTGCTCAATTGGAAATGCATGCGCAAACAGCAGAAACAGGGATCAAGGTTCAAGTAGATTCCCATGCGTACCCCCTTTGCACTCTTCTGCCTCACTTGTATGTTAATCCGTCGCTACTGGAGTGTCTTGAGGTCTCCGCATTTAATTCACTCCATTAAAATCAGGGCCAGCATGTTTTGGTTCAGTAGTTTTTTCATCCGAAGCAAGCACGTCTGGGTGAATTCAATAAAATAAATTACATTATATCGGTTTCGCTGGTGTGTTTATTGGAAAATGTGTAATTCATACCAGTAGATTTGTTGTTGTTTAGCGTTATTTGCTCTCGTGCATGGAAAATTTCCCAATGCATCCGAAGAGTGAGCGTGAATCTGATCTGGGGAGCGATGAGATGGTCAGATTGAAGGGAAATCCCTTCTTGACTGAGCATGACCTTTGGCATTCCAAATTGGACTTTCCTATGAACTTCCAAATGGAATTATGCTTGTATTGCTCTAGATATTTTCCCCATTCCACCCTTGAGGTTGGTTCTGGGAAATTTAAGTGTTCTCTTGTGAAATTTATATGTTTGAGTATTGATTGAGACGTTTTTGGGGATTTCCAGCCGCAGAGGCTCTTTCATAATTGACGAGAGGTGCTTTTAGTGAGATTGCATAAAGAGATTAAATGTGGTTTTGATTGTATAACATATTCGTAATAACTACTTTGCGTGAATTAAGCAAAATTGACGTCGAGAACAAGAAGATTTATTAGAATAACATCTCTGAGTGATAGCATTGAGTTTTATCGTGCTTTGTCGAGTCTCCTAATGCAGACAGTCGTATAGAAGTTAAAGCAGATGCAACCTTGAGAATCTTTGTAAGAAATTCACATTTTTACGAGTATAAAAAAACAATAAAACGAAATACTATAATCTTCCAATCAAAGTGCATTGAGCATTTCAAATTTATCGTGATAATATTGCAAGACCATGTAAAAGGAGAACAAATTGACGACCTCCGCAATACATTTTCCTTGCATAGTTGTAGAGAGGATGGCAAATAAGTATTCCCATTGATTAGAGAGAGGGAGAGTGGCTATTTGTAGAAGAAGTAAATTAAGTGAATTTGTTCCTTGTTAGAATGGCATTTTCTTTATCTCACATCTAATTAAGGAAACAAGATAAAAGTCTCCCATTTTCTTTTTCTCCTCACTGCATATCGCATTAAGAGTCACTTTTATGATCTCTCACCATGTCAGATGTGCTCGTTGATTGATGTAGAGCGTTTCGCGTTGTCGTTCCATTGAATTAAAATTCACATATTCTCATTCTTTCCATCGTTGTCGACAATGGAGACAAATACGAGATACTTGAGAGTGAGATTCCGAAAATTCCTCATTCTGTAATATTTTTGCAATTTAATGCCATCGACTTTGATTGACTGCCTTCGATTGATTTGTGTGTTACAATCAATTGGAAAAATCTTGAGCATTACACACTTTTTTTTCAATCTCTAACAACTCGTCATTTTCTCACTAATCGCCAGTGACGTCAATTGGAACAATAAATTGGTGATTTGTGCACCTTTGGGTCAAGATATAAAGTTGTTGAAATTGCTGGCAATTGATAAATGAAGTGTGATGGCGATTGATTGTGGAGTAAACCTTGTTTATTAATGCTCTTCCCTCGCACTGATAAGGCCGATTGACGCCATCGATTGAGGAGTGAATCCCAATGGTTTACGATCGAGGTGTTGCCCAATCCATTGATGAAACAGAGTTTGTATGTTACCAGGTGTCAGCGAGAGAATCACACCTTAATAAGTTCTTAGATACAATTTTCCCCATGAGAACACTTTAATCAATTCGTTTCGCGATATCAATCAAATCAATGTTTAGAAGATCATCTTCTACCATTGCCTAATCTCTTGTGACCTTGAAGGTGTGAACTCTAGAATTTTCTCATAACTATACACATATCAATTCTCCAGAATTCTCCAACTGTTCATTAAGTTGTGCGCAGTTCTGATATTATACTCTTGTTAAACATCGTGCGCCTGTGATATTACAAATCAAGCGCTATCTGACAATTCGCTGTGTGAATGTGTGGCGGTCGCCCCACCTGAATTGGTGGGGCAGCCTGCAGAATTCACGGTAAAGCTCGCGCGATTCACGCGAAAAACGATGACGTCAAGGGGCAATGAGAAGAACATTCCGCATGGCATCGAGGAGGATGGTGGAATTTCTATGCTTCGCGACATATTCTGAGAAGTCCAGAAGTGATTCTCAGAAGGTTGATGAGATTTCCCAGTGATGCGGAAGGAAGAGAGAAGCAAGCGCGTGTTTGGAAGGATTTTGTGCACTGCTAAAAAACATTGGGAATGTGTGTAGAGAATACACTGTGCATACTTTCCTCACATATGATACGATATTTGCTGCGATGTGTGCTTTTTTACTGCGAGAGTGAAACAGAATGCTGTGATGTGCATGTGTGAGAGGGAGATGAAGTGATGCCATTTGCTCGGCATTGCGATTACACACACAATTGGTGAGCTTAACGCGACGACGACGTATAAAACCCAAGAAATGATGACGCATTCCTTCAGTTATACACAGAACAGCGTAGCGCGAAGTTGGTGAAATTGCCAAACTATAGAGGCATTTCAATTCTTCCCTAAACTTGTAATACATAAAATTTTCAAGTGGTTTTTCCGACGTTGAAATATCCATCTGAGCTGCAAAGTGGATTAAACATACTCAAGGATAAATAGCGGTTCAGTGCGTTGGAGAGAATCCAGAGAAGAGAGAAGGAGTGTGAGTGTCAAGAGGATATTTCTTAAAGAAAGTACGCCGCATAGACCAATGCAAGTGTAATTATTTTGGATTTATTGCTAAAGATTGTGCAATCTATTGGAGTTCTTGGAACACAAACAATTTTGAAGGCGTATTTTTGAAGGCACGAGGAAAGAAGTGTTTTTGTTAATATAGGCAAAGTTGTGTGTGAGGAGTTACATAATTTTCTTGGAGACACTAATCGAATTCAATTGAATTTGGTGTGTGCAATTGACTTTTTGACCTCGTATCTAATACATTATTCACTGGGTGACCGGGAGACTGCTCGTGTGCAGTCAACAATTAAATTTGGAGTGCCTTCGCAAGAGAGGGCATTGATAAGAACTGTGTTTGCCAAGTGAGGAGGAGGAGGACCAGCCAATAAATGACGCTCGACAGTAATATCTTCAACGACGTCTTCCTCTACAGTCCATTCAATAATACGAATGCCCCCCTGACCCCGGTCTCAAAGATGGTGAGTGTCTCTCTGTGAGGTATTGAATTAAAGTCCGTTGCGCGAAATGACAGAAATGGGTGAACAATCACGATGATTTCACTGGGTTGATTTTCTTCACATTGTGTCGCCTTTGATAATGAATTTCAGTGGAAATAGCTTTCTTGGACTCTGACTGATAAGACGAAAGTCTCCATTGTACCCCCAACTCAACACTATCAAACGGCGAAAAGCGCCGGGGAGTGAATTTGTATGTTCTTTTCCTTGTCGTGCAGCTCCGCAAGAAGAGATGATGATAAGGAGAGCAACAAAAAGTCCCTGTTATCTCTTAATTATTTCATGTATAAAGTCTCTCTCTCTCTATTTCACTGTGTTTACTTACGGAAAAAAAAACAATTGTTTGTCTCCGCACTGTTGTAAATTTTTCATACTAAAAAACAACTCCTCAAAGGGTGGAGTGAAAATTGCGATTTTTGCCAGAGATGAATTCCATTGATAACATTTTTGGCAAATATGACATACTTTATCATATGAAGAAATTGTCTGTTTCGCTGTTGTAAGTTCAGCTCTCAAGTATGTCGTCGTCGTATTCTCGAATGTCTTTTTCGCGAGATTCGTGTCTTGTTTGTACTGTGAATTTTTCACGACATCAATAAAAGGTACTATTTGTTCGGAAATTTGTCTGAAATTTTACAAGAGTCGAAGCAGCAGGAATTTATGTGTAGTAAATATTTTTGCTAATTGGTTTCGTAAACAGCAATTTCCCACCTTTGATCGTACAAAACTCTTCGAACAACTTCGCAAAATTCCCAAACATCTTCGGGGGTAATTTGGCGCTTCTTAAATGTAAAAATTAATTAGAAATTTAACAAGAGTGCAACGGAGCCTCAGTAAATAATTTGCCAATCGTAAAATTTCCCCCGAAAAGCTTGCGTTTGCAAGGAACGTCTGGTTTTCTTGTGGGTTTTTCCACACCTTCAGAGAGACAGAGAGTGTGTGCGTCGTTGTATTTGGCTCACTTCTTCCACGCGTTTTTATTGAGGAGAGCGAGAGGGGAATATATAAACAGAAATTTATGCACCTCGTGAGCGCTTAGCTTGTCTTTCACAATGATTACGCGAATTCGTGATATGACGACATTGATCAAAAGTGAACCGGAACTCGCGGCGAGATGAAGACGTACAACCAGTTTCTGTTATTGGAAAACATGCCAAATTTAGTAAATTCACTTGCGAGAGTTTTTGGCAGTGGAAAAAAAATCAACAAAATCAACCTTTCACTTGCATTTTCTTCAAATGAACCAACAAACTTGCGCAATGCCTTTATTGGGAACACGTGCAGCTGCTCAATGGTGCTCTATGGCGTTGCATTTTATCCATTCTCTCAATCTCTTCCATTGAAAAATTGCTTTTGGTTAATGCGAAAAGAGACAATTTCGTATGCAAAATTTGTCCAATATGTGTGTATAGAAGAATTCGTAAAAGGGGGTTCCTTTGTGCTCTATCAACAAGTTTAGGAATACACGCAATTTTCTATACAATTACTAATTTAAATTTTGACAAACACGATGGGAGAGTGAAAAAGCTGTAGAGGGAAGCGAAGACGACGGTGTGTACAAGAGTTCTTTTTGAGTTCTTCTATGCGCGGGAATAAAATATAAAACGTCGCGACAGGGTCTTTTGCTTGGCGACAACTCTGCGCCACTCTTTGATCGCCAAACACGCTATATCGTCTCTATTTTCTGCACATGTGTCGGTTGATGTCAATATATTGTTCACGGTATGGCACAGAAAGAATGACGGTGAATTTCGCTGGGTGTTGAGAAAGGGAGACAGAGATAGAGAGAGAGCGAAATTTAAGTGCAAAATTTCACGGATCTTAACCCATTGACACGACAAATACGACATGTAATAATCCAAGAAGTTAAGAGTTTAATTTGATATTCACTATAGCGGATCCAAAGACGTCACTTTTCCTCATAATAATTAAGCAACAATTTCAATTATGCGGGAATGAGGACTGATTTTAAAAATAGATTTTACTGCAATAGGATGAAAATGCACAACACTTCGCGATAAGTTAATCGGTACTCTTGGGTTGATCAGCAAACTGGCTCGCGCGTCTGCTTCGCAACTCATGCCTCGTGATAAGAGTGAGAGAGATTCAATGTGTGTGACACTCACTGGCGAACACTTGTGGGGTGTGAAGGGGTTAACGCTTGTCTGTTGCAATGTGAATTGCCAATGAAGCTGCACGCCACTAATGGTTGCCCAGAAAATCACTGACAAACTGGGCGGAGATGCATTGAGAGGGAGTTTTTACTGAATCACAATCTATAAATAAAATTAAAATAGACTGCAAAATATGCTTAGCCAGGATTTATTTGGAAGATAAACTCACTGAGCACGTGCTGTTAATGATTTTTCTTTCACTTTTGGTTTGTTGAACCTTTTGTATTTTGGTCGGGAGAATATCAACCAATTGGCTCTGCTTATCGTCACTTTGGATCATGAGCAATAGAAATTTTTTCTAAGTGATGTCTCTTGGGCGCATTTCGCCTTCGACACGCTTGTTTGCTTAAGATATTGAGTTGTAGATTAGGGAAATATTTTCCTCAGTGCCCTATGGTTTTGTTGCGACTGAATTCCACTACCTCTCTTCTTCAGACTTCCTCTGACCTTCAACATGTATTTTGCTAATTAGTGTTTGTCGACCATTACTTTTCCAATGAATTCTGTTATTTTTATGTTTGCATATTGTTGTGATAGAATTCTTCTGAGAAACGTTGATTTCTGGAAGTGCGCTTGAGACGACGGAGAAGTATTTTATGGACACTTTCGGGGATTTTATTGGTTTCGCAAGAATACACTAGTCTTATCACAATTCAATTTTTGCGTAAGCCTTGCGCGAAAGATACGACAAAATTCATTGAACATTTCCAGTTTGAGGTGCTGAAGTGGTAACAACAAAGAGCGGGATCACCCTGTGTGTCGTTGAAATTTTAAGTGTCAGTGCCTAGATAACACTGATAAGAAGTTGGTGTGTAGAGTAAAACTTTCCCAAAGTGATTTTTGAGCTCTGAGAAGGTAGAAAAACGTCCATTAATGTGCTCTTGTCGCGTCAGTCTGTGTCCGGAAATCGGTGGCAATTGAACTCCTGACCGAAGCTTTCTTGTGGAATTTGCGTCGGGGACAAAAAATTTCGTCAGAACAGACAATTCTGACAAGAAGTATATTTAAAAGGTGAACATTATTATTGTACATTTACTGGATGGAGGGAAAAAAAATCAGTCATCCTGTTTTATTCTGCGTTTGTCGTATGAATTTTTTATAGCCACAATTTGCTTGCTCAAGTGTTGTTTTCCCCCTCGTGTTCACAATGAAATTTATTTAAATTTAATGACAATTCCTGACCCCCTTCGTCTCTGCCTTGCTGGACTTCCTCCCCATTGACCAGGAGACACACTAAAAGTCCAGCCAACGTACATTTTGCTATTAAGTGATGATGGAACAAAGAACAATTTAACATCATGTGCATGTTTGCTTTCTTGCTGGAAGTGTTCTTTGTCTCTCCTTGCGTGCTTTTCCCCTCCTGACTCTTGTTGTTCAATTCAATTGTGAATTATTGGCTTTATTGTTTCACACGCGCGCCTCATCACTTTTTATTATTTGTCGCCTCTTGTCTGCCATATATTCAACGCTACAAAGGCTCCGGAGGTGACATTCCCAATTTGAGATATGATTGAGGAGATGCAAAATCAGCATCGCGGAAGAGGATGCATGTCCGGAAGGATTGAAGGCAGTCCAAGGTTAGGAGAGTTTCGTGCATTCTCGGTGTGTCTATTTTGAGTTGATCCAAGTGTTTTCGACTTACACCTTCCACCTGTATTTGTGACGACACTCTCAGATCTTACCCGTCCTACACAGCATCTCATTTTCTTAATTCTAAATCACAGCAATTGAGATTTATTTATACACTCGCGGCGGTTGTTACGAAGGTTAGTGAGCACTAAGTTGGACGGGTTTGTTGTTTGTCTCCTATGATCTTATCAATTAGAAATGAAATGTTTCAAGTCTTCATATCGGGGGAATCTTAATAGTTTTTTCTTTCTTTCTTGATATATCATTGCAAACATTACTTTTGATGTGGAGTGTCTTGGAGCCCTAGTTTGGGCCTTTTCCAACGACAACCTAAGATCTCGGACACGTCTTTCCAGATCTTGTCGAGGGCAAAGCTAGATCAGATCACGAGTCTTCTGACCAACCTGACTACACCTTATCCCCACGTAATTCGCTTGGGAGTCGTGACTGGTCGTGCGATCGGTGCAAATTTGTCTCTCTCTCGCTCTCCGCCATGCGGTTGTGCGAGCGAGGAGGTGAGAAGGAGGCTCAGAAATACAATTTTGGGCGTGTGGCTCTTGTGGGCAGAGGAGTGTGAGTGTGAGGAGAGAGAAAGAGAGAGAGATTTTCCGGAAAAGTCGATGATGGGAAGATGTACGAATTACAGTCGACCCAGAGCCTCTTTGCAAAGTGGATTTGGGGCTTTTTCTGAAAAAGCCAACCTTAACGAACGAACGAAAAAAAAATCATTTATAATTTTGTTTTTAATTTTGCTCTAAATTATCTCTTTTTTTCCTGTATAATCATTGACTTTTTTGCCGAATCGCCAATCGAAAGTGTGTCTGCAGAATCAGAAAAATTTCACAATTTATCGCAAGATTCTCTCGCACGTTTATTTCCAAATTTTTGTGTCTGTGTGTTATGTTTCTGTTTTGGCCTTTTCTCTCCGACGACGATGATCAGTGAAAATATCTGAGGAATTTCTACAATAATTGCGTCGTAAAATTGGGAATGATTGCTCGTTTTTTCGGGTAGGGAAAATTGATTAGCCGGATTTTTCTCGAATATTTGGCGGATTTTTTTGGTGGTGACGTAATTAAGAGACTTTAAAATAATACAATGAAGTGTATTAATAGCGTGGGTTATAATTAAATCATCCTGCAATGGATGTTGTTTAGGGTCACGAAGTCTCTCTCTCTATCTCTCTCGCTCTGTCTCTCTGCTGTGCAATTTCTCAATAAGTTGCAATCTATTCTATATAATTTGTCTTGGAGTGGTTTTATTGGAGAATTATTGCGTCGTGGTAATTTTTATGGACAAGTTCAACACTTTAGAGTGCTCTTCGATCCCACACAAGACTGTAATGAAATTTGTGAATGAAGTCTAGCCTAATACAAACTTTTGAGGTGGTTGCAATGAAATGATTGCTCAAATGTCTGACTTTTGATGGTGTTTTTCTTTTTTGATTTACCTGAGTTCAGAAAATGTTTCAAAATACGGTTTAACCTCTTGGCACATTTGAGATTTCTATGCCGAAGCTGATGCGAGGACGTCACCGTCTAAAAACAACACTTTTATTTTTATAATTCTCGCAAACAGACAAATAGACTGGCCAGATAGGCAACAGTCGTTGGTGGAGGAGGAAAAAAAAAGTCGGCAGATTTTTGAGAGGCATTTTCGTGTGAAATTTTCCTGCTGAGCTTTACTCTCTCATGCTGATTCAATTAAAGGAAAATAGATCCAAGCGGCAGTTAATTGAAAGCGTTTTGGCCTCTGCAACTGTGGATTTTCCCATGAGAGATTATTATTTTTTCTCAGAATTTTCACTGACTAACGTGCTCTATTTTCCACCCCAAGACTATCATACATTAATAATATCGAATGCAAGAGTGTCTTATGAGATATGGATGCCTGTGAAATAGCAAATATTTTAGCCACTGAGCTCTTTATGCAACAGGTACTTTGAGGATATAATGAAAAGGGGGTCAATTTAGGCCATTATTGTGTTGCCAAAAATCCATTGCTGGAGTGATTTATGACGCCTTTTCGTTAATATTGTGCTTTATCTCTTGCAGCTCGTATCTTTGGATGGGATTCACAGTGGAGTTCCGACGAGAACAACAGCTACTCTCACTCCGACGACACTGAGGAATATCGAACAGGTAAATTACAATTGAAACATTGAGGAAATTCATTCGCAATTTCCTAGTCACTTATTGCAATGCTCTATAAATGGTTTTTCTCTTTTTCTCTCCTGTCTGCAGACTTTTATCGAGTTGAGCAGCGAAACGCCATCCTCTGTGCCCTGCCAGGCGGGTTTTGTACCACCTCTGGCTCCCTTTCCGTTTGAGCAGGACCACAACAGCCTGGGCTCCTCGGGATCGGGTTCCAATTCGTCCTGGCACACCCCTCCGCCCACCATTAGTGAGGATCTGATCTCTTCCGTGTCTCAGGGCAGCTCCAGCGACGGCGCAGCCACGACTGCGTCCAGTGGGAACAACAGCAAGGCCACCCCAGCGCCGAGACGCAATATGGGCGGCCGTCGACCAGCCAAGGCGTGCAATCTATCGCCGGAGGAGGAGGAGAAGCGCAAGATTAGGCGCGAGAGGAACAAACTGGCGGCTGCCAGATGCCGAAAGCGTCGGGTTGATCACACGAATGAGCTGACAGACGAGGTGAATGGACTGGAGAAGAAGAAGCAGGATCTTCAGAGTGACATCCAGGCGCTGCAGCAGCAGAAGGAGGAGTTGGAGTTTCTGCTGGAGTCACACAGGGCGCACTGTCGCCTCAAGGGGCGTTCATGCAGTCCGCTAGACGTAAAGCCACACGCCACGATGCTGGAATTGTGCGACAGGATTAAGTCAGAGCCGGTGGATGTGGATGGTCCGCCTTCACCGAAGAGAGTGCTGCTGTCGCAAGCCGCGAATCCAGACGTGATCATTCTACCGCCCATCACGTCATCGGCTGGAATGGCGAAGCCAGTGCGTCCCAATCGTCCCAGTTCCCTCAATGTGCCCCTCACGATGACACCATCGCAAGTGCTGGGCGTGAGTGTATCCGGGAAGAGTGTGACGGAGTTCGCGGGCGTGCCCATCACGACTCCTTCCAACGGCATGTTCAACTTCGACAGTCTCATGGACGGGGGCACTGGCTTGACGCCCGTGTCGGCGCCTCTGCAGCCCAATTGCTCCGTCCAGAAGAGCCCCCTCGAGCTGGCAACGCCCACGAGTGAGCCCTCCAAGTTGGTTAGTCTGTAGAGCTCACATCTTCTCCGCATCCGCTTGAGTATTTTTTCTCACTGGAGAAATGGACAGTACGACAATGGATGAGGAGGGAAAGGCGGCGTTGTGATATTTAATTTTAACCTAACACAAACATTTTAAAAGAAAACGAATAATTTGCGCACCGAAAGGGTAACATTTCGATTAAAAAAAAACCCATTCAAACATCCTTCGGTAGTATGAAGAAAAGAAAAGAAACAATATTTAAAACGATCAAATTGGAGTTGCTTGTTAAGTCATGTTTTGCAATTGTGGCAATATTTAAGAGAGAAAAAAATTGTAAATGTTAAAAAGTCGTGCTTTAAGAGAATTGAGGAAGATTTAAGCAGTGAAATTTAGTTGAAAAACCCCCTAGTTTACCAATTACTAGATGAAAAGAAAAACTGATGAAATCGATACCAATTAATGAGAATTTTTTTCTATTGAACCATATAAGAATTTTTTTTGCTAATGATTGAATTGTATTAATTATTTAATTGTAAGGTCCACTGTTTAATTTTAGTGCATAAGAAGCGATAAAATACATTTTTAACCACTTTTTGTATTATTGGAGATGCTCAATTGTGAGTGAGATGTGAGATGTCGCAATAATGGTGTTTAATTTATTAGTGATGAGAAAGATTATAAAATGAGAATCACAGTGTAGATTTATTGATTACAATGCATAATAGAAAATGTATTTTTGATGCCATATATTTCATACATCTATTGCTATTTTGGAGATCATTGTGAGGAGAGAATAAAATTGTGAAAGAGAAAAAATGCGAATTTTTTTCCTGGGTCGAGACTCTCGAGATCGGATCAACAGTGGTCGGGATCCCGCGCAATCCCGGAGCTGCGCCATGGCGTTTTAGCACGGGATTTAGTACTCGTCAGGCTGACAGCGAGCGGATGAGCTGTCATGTGTGTGTTCTGCGGGAGAAAGAGAAGTTTTGTGCAAAATAATGCATGAGGGGGAAAAAGTGCTCGCAGCTGCAAGTGGTTCCGAAAGTGTGATAAAAGGACAAAGTGGGTTGCGCGAGGGGGCACCTGTTGGCGGAAGGGACACCCAGTACCAGTGGTTGTAGTGCCCAACACGTCGCAAAGATACGGCGAAAAATGTGGTCGTTCTTTTCACGGGAGAAAAATGACTTTCCATATGAGATCGGGGAGGAGGTGCACGGCCTCGAGTCCTGGTCCATTTGGAGTCTCCACCGGGGCAAGAAGAAGGGCCCAGTCGCGGATGACGTGTCTGTGTTTGTGTATGACATCAAGGGTGGCACGGATGCCAAGCTGGAGCTGGCCAGAGCCTCCCTGAAGCGCCTCAAGACGCTGCGACACCCCAGCATTCTGCAGTACCTCGACAGCCTCGAGACGGACAAGGTGCTGTACGTGGCCACGGAGTCCGTGGAGCCCCTCGGAACACATATCGAGAAACTGGAAACAGATGGACCACAGAGAGATCTCTACCTGGCATGGGGAATCTTTCAGATTACGGTGAGCCACTTCCGGGAGTGAGTCATGCTGCCATGGCTTGAACGTGGCAGTTATTGTGCGGGGATCTTCTCGCTGGAGCTAAATTGGACGATGTTAATGAGCAAGTCGAGGTCTCTCCTTGGAAAGACCTCCAAGTACAGTCAAATTTCCATGGAAATTAGAACAGAATCAAGTCCAATTAGCTAAAAGGGCTTGCAGGAATCCTGTATGAAAAATTCATCGAGGGTTTCTTGCATGCCTTTGCAGACTGAGATTGTTAATTAGAAAAAAAATCCATAATTCAAAGCGTGACTTGTTGATTTGACTCAGTGTTCCCATTCAAAATTACACTCATTCCTTCAAATCTCACGCCCTTTGTCCTGCCTTGCAGAGAGCCTTATCATTTCTGAACAATGACGGAAGTCTGCGCCACAACAACGTGTCCGTGTGGTCGGTGTTCGTGAACACGTCCGGCGAGTGGAAGCTGGGCGGCCTGGAGTATGTGTCACCAGTGGACGGGAGCCCAACGCCGCCGCTGAAGGTGCCGCCGCAGCTGGAGTTGTACGATCCACCCGAGAAGGCGGATTCCGCCAAGCTGAAGAGCGCCACAAAGTGTTCTGCGGACATGTGGGCGCTCGGGTGCCTCGTGTGGGAGTCCTTCAATGGCAAAATGCGCGCCAGGAGCAACCTGAAGGAGATTGAGAACATTCCCAAGAGTCTCACGCCACTCTATTGCGAGCTGGTGGGCGCGCTGCCGGCGAAGCGACCCAATCCCGCGGACATCATCACCAAGTGTCGCAAGCCGGGTGGCTTCTTCAAGAATGAGCTTGTGGACACGCTGCTGTTCCTCGAGGAGATCCAGATCAAGGACAAGGCGGAAAAGAATCGCTTCTTCAGCGCTCTCTCGCCACAGCTGGACAACTTCCCGGCCAATGTGTGTCGCCATAAGATTCTGCCGCAGCTGATCACGGCCTACGAATACGGAGACGCGGGCTCTGCCGTGCTGGCGCCCATGTTCAAGCTAGGTCGCCTCCTGGACGAGGCGGAGTACCAGAAACGCATTGTGCCGTGCGTGGTGAAGCTCTTCGCCTCCACGGATCGTGTGACGCGGTCGCGATTGCTGCAGCAACTGGACATGTTCGTGTCTCACCTGCAGCCGAATGTGGTGAATGACCAGATCTTCCCGCAAGTTGCTCATGGATTCCTCGACACGAATCCCACCATTCGCGAGCAGACGGTGAAATCGGTGATCCACCTGGCGCCCAAGCTCAACTACAACAACCTCAACGTCGAGGTGTTGCGCCACTTCGCTCGGCTCCAGGCAAGGGATGATCAGGGCGGAATCCGCACCAACACGACTGTGTGCTTGGGAAAGATAGCTCCACATCTGCACCCTCAAGTGCGACAGAGAGTCCTCGTGTCCGCCTTCATCAGGGCCATGAGAGATCCCTTTCCACCAGCCAGAGTGGCTGGAATCCTGGCTCTGGCCGCAACACAGCAGTACTTCCTCCTCACGTGCGTATTCGTGCAAATGTGTGTCGATTGTCGTGGAAATGGTATTAATTTGAGATGGCATTTTAGGGAGGTCGCCACGAGGATTCTTCCCGCTCTTTGCACACTCACGACAGACGCGGAGAAGTCAGTTCGTGATCCGGCATTCAAGACGATCAAGGGATTCCTGGGGAAGCTAGAAAGAGTGTCTGAAGATCCGAGTCTCAAGGAAACCATGGGTGAGTTGTTGACCTCTAAATTCTCTTAATATATGATTTCCAAGTTTGAAAACAACAATTTGTCGCGAAAAAATCCAGACAAATACCTGATTTGCCAACGAGTTAAGTCCTCTCTTCAAACTGGATTTTAGCGTCACAACATATTTCTCTCTCTATCTCTACATAATACCTCTTTTGCCGCATTCGTGCCAATTTCACAGTGAAAATGCTAAAAGCTCCCCAATCGCTCTTAATGCGCTTCATTAATTGCCATCGACGGCAGTGAAATGGAAATTCAATTAATTTTAAATATGAATGCAGATGTGCAGCTGCTGTTAAATTGGCAATTATTGAGAGATTTTGCTTTGACTCTATGCTTTCGCTCTTCATTCCGATCTATATTGCAGAGGCGGACGTTCACACGGCCACGCCGTCACTGGGCAATGCGGCCGCCACATGGGCCGGCTGGGCCGTGACGGCCGTCACGGCGAAATTCTATCGCAGCCAGAGCGACTCCTCCAGGCCACGTCCGCCGCTCACCAGCAAGACCCTCAGCAAACCGGCGTCACTGGGTAAAATCAACCGAGTCAGGGACTCTGTGGCCAGTACTGACGGAGCGTGTTTGCTTTCAGAGCAACCGTCGAGCAGTAGCCTGTCCACCACCACGTCCAGCGTGACCTCCATGACATCCCTGGAGCACGAGAGCAATGACACATCTGCGTCCGCGAGTGACTACGGCGCCGACAATTGGGACAATGAGAATTGGGGCGACATGGATGTGAGTAACGCAAGAGTGATTTATTGATTTCCACAGATTTTTGGCACTGAAACTTCCCAAGAGAATCTCTCCCAAGAGGAGAAGGAGTGAATTTAGGGCCATTTTCACGCTTCTTGGCATTCCATTTAATTGTCTTATCACATAGACACTGAGCATATTTGGCTTGGGGTCTTTTATCGGCACCACGCGTCGCCTCTCTCATAACTATCATTTCTCACAGTGAGGGCCAAATTGATGCATTGCGGTGTCAATGTGGAAAATAGACGACACACTTTAATTAACAGAAAATATCTAACAATAGCATTGAAATGTTAAAGCTGCGATGATTGATTCTATGCAATTTCTTCCTAGACATCCCAGGACCCCAGCAGTCCAACAGCTGGGAACGCAATGCCATTGGGATCATCTGCCTTGACGGCGGCCGGCGGACTGGAGCTCAGAGACGGATGGGACAATGAGGAGTGGGGAAGCCTCGAAGAGGAGCCGGTAAGACAGATCAATTCACTGGCTGAATGGGAGGAATTTTACAGAAACTTAAAAACTCCTTTGCAGAATGAGGAAATAGAGGAGAAGCACGAAGTTGAGATAAACGATAAAGCCAAACCGACAATGAATTGCAACAATCTCAGCCCGGTCAGTGATAATAACACGAATTTCAACTCCAACTGGAACAGCGATTCCTGGGCGGATGGAGAATTTGAGCCGATTGACGACGTCACGACGGGTGAGTTTTGCAGGGGAGGAAAAATCAATGGTGCCAAGAACACGGTCTTGAGCTCTTGACCTTTTCGCAGGTAATCCAAAACTAGACGAGGCACGCCGGAAACGCGAGGAGAAAAAACTGCAACGACAGCGTGAGTTGGAGGCTCGACGGGCGGCGCGTGGTCCGCTGAAATTGGGCGCCAAGAAGCTCTAAAGGGAGCCTCGCAATGTCGTGATTCTCCTTGCTCGATGTCAACCCGAGAAGGAGTGTGGGGGTATTTTTAGCTAAATGAGAAAATTCTATTTGATAAATACAGGTTCTATACGTACTTTCATAGTGTAATTCTAATACCATTTGGAGATGAGGTAAAAGAAAAAAATTATCGCATTTTAGCTGTCTCCGAGCCACGAGGACGCCCTCATCTGACTCTTGGGACTCACCCTCGTGGCGGGGAGGACAGGTGTGTCATATGGGGTTGGAGAGATATTAGGAGATGATATAAATTTCACATAAATATCGATTTGTATGATGTTGTGAGATATTCCTCGATTTTTCCTTAAGACATTCTTGCGATAGGGTTTTAAGAAGATAAAAAAGAATTCTTATTAAATGTGAGAGACAGCCAAGGAATACAAGTGGAAGAGCGACAAGATATTTGGAGTATTTTGTGTGTTCATGTTGACGACGGAAAAAAAAAACACAGCTTTGAAAACATATTTCTCCTCCATGTTATCCCATTTCTGCGCCACTATATTTTTCCCCTTTTATCACTCACAAGACCAAAATGTTCTGAGATGAAATTTTAAACTCTATTAAGATGCGGGATTGCTCAGTGATTGACAATCTCTGTGTCCCATATATTAAAAAGTCCTGATAAAATGTTATTAAACACATACTGTGGAAAGTTCGTCTAATTCAGAGATACTGTTTGAAAGTGGATGGAAGTAATAATATGAAGAAAAAAAAACTTATAAATGGCCTTTTTATAAAGAGAAGATTTAAAGAGTGAAGAAATCACAGCTGAGGATGATTCGAAGGTATTATAAATAAAATTATTTTCTATCATGACGGGAAAAAGAAACAGATATTTAGTTAAGAAATTCCCCATTTCAATCTGAGCCTTTTCACCTCTCATCATTCTTCTTCTCCCGTCTCTCGTCAAATATCTTCTGTTTTTCCCCTCCAGAACGATTATAGAGAAGAATCAAATCTCTAGTCTAGTCTCAAGATAGGCGAATGCATTAAACAAAAATTCATGGAAAGAAGATTGCGAAGATGTATTTGGTGAGAGATTTGTTGTAAAAGTGTAACTGATTAATTTTATTTTTTACTTTATGTGATTCAAAATACACTCACATAAACTAAATAAATCCATCACCGAGTGTTTTTTTTTTAAATCTGTCTGACACTGCTAAAAAGATTATATATGAGAAGGAATTCTTGCCTTGAGAGAAGCAATAAAAGGCGAGTTGAAAAGCTGAAAATGAGAATCTCATCGGACGTTCGAATCTGCTTCAAGTCATCTACCAGTCTGCTAATTGGCGCTGTGCGTGTTTTCCTCGAGCCATCATCCTCCCCAGTGGTGAATCACTAGAGCTTGGACTTCACTTTAGCAGCACTGGTGGCTAATTGTCAGGAGGGATCCACAGGATTCGTGGCATTGACCAAAATCACCGATTGGCGACTCCTCACAGGCGCTTCCTTGGCACCATCGTAGCGGATATTCATGGAATTCGAATTGCCCGGCTCGAGAACGTATCCCAGAGACTCGTAGAACGGAATGAGATGATCTTTGCACTCCAGAGACATCTTGTAGCAGCCCAGATGCTGTGCCAGGAGATTCACAGTCACGACAATTCTGCAAAAGCACATCAAATAACTCACATTTCTATCTAAAATCATGCACATTTTGAGGCTTTTCTTACAGTTTTCCCAGCTGCTTTCCTCTGTAAGTATTATTCACCACAACATCTTCCAATCTGCCTCGCTAAAGAAGTAGAAAGTGAGAAAAATTGTTCATGAAACACACAAAACACGATTGTTGATTTGTGAAACACCATTGAAACATTGCTCCTGCAACATCCCTTTGATTGAACGGAAAACACTCACCACTGAACACTCATGAATGAATTTATGCTCCAGCACTAAAGTGGCACTTCCGATGATTCTGTTGATCCGCGTATCCTCAATCACAGTGACATAGTAGTCGCCGCTTGCGCGCATCCTGGCGAATTGCATAAGGAACTGTCCTTTGGAGATGTTTCCCACCTTCGTCAGTTGCGACAGCAGTTCCAGGAAGCCGCGATCGTAGTCGCCTTCCTGCAGCGGCCTGACCTTCATCCATGTCTCCCCGGGCGCGGTGGCGGTGATTGGGGGATTAAACTTGGCCGGGGATCGCCAAAATTCAAGCTGATGGAGCAGCTTCGGCTCGTAGAGCGTGAGTTCATCCTACAAAGGGGATTTCAAAGATATCTGTGAGTCTTTATGTGATCTCTAGAGGCGACAGGATCGCGGAAAATCACCAAATGAACCATGAGCGTGTGCTCTTGAGTGCAGCAGAGACTAAACTGTCAGAAGGTGAAACGTGGAGGAGATTTTCTCACTGAGACCTTGACTCAAACGAGTTTACCCAGAGACTTTCTAGCCAATCCGGTCCAGTGAACTTTATCGAGTCACTTTTGATTTTAACCAGTGATCCACTTCCTCGTTTGTTCCCTCTGCTCATGGTCTCTGCCGAAGCATTATTATTGCCTCTCTTATCACTGTTTCCGCCAAGATAGAGACACACTTCTTAGAAGACTCAGAAATGAAATGTCTCAGCGCGAATTCCATCCACACGCGACGTCTGCGATAATTTCACCTGGCAAAATCCAGGGGAAATGAGGCCACGCGCGGCTACTCACCCTTTCACTTGCCATTCTCCTTCGCCGTCCACGGAGGAATTCGCAGAGAAGTGTGTCAGAAATCAACCCGATCCCACGCAATAGTACTCAGAGACTGTCCAAGGAACTATTTGCTCTACATTCTGACACGTAATGCCACCTCTCTCGCGGCGACGTGGTAGGGAACTGCGAAAAGAGAGAGTAGAATATGTGTGAAAAGTTAATTAAAGAATTGTTTGAATGCCGAGCCTTGCATTCCGGAAGAGATAACCTAACCTTGAATTTCTCTTATCAACGTTCAGCGCTTTTCCACGTTATCATCCCGGCTATTTTCACACTCCAGTTCTAACTTTGCGTACTCCAGTGGACTTTTCTGCACTTTTCATTCACACCACGTACCTTTTTATCATAGAAAACGAGGAAACACAGCCGGATAACGCGCTGATGAAAACATAAACATTCCACCCTCGCAACTGCGCGGCGCCACCAGCGCACCATTCAAATTTTACCACCCCCAACGGCTGAATCAACAAAATCAACACTCTCCTATTTTTTCCTCCACTTTATTCTCCCTTCTACACGCTTTTCCTTACAAATAATGTTAATTTTCACAACAAATACTTTATCATCAATACAATTTCTTAAATTTTGCATCCCACTCGCTCCACAATAATGCGGGAGAGAAAAAATATCCTTCGACAATTTTTCCCCCAAATCTCTCAGGGAAAAATATACACGGCGGCACAAAATGGTAACAAATTACAATCTCACGTGCTGTGCTAATAAATATGTGTACAAAAGAACCAAGGGACAAGGAAAAAACGTGGGTGAACCTTTTAATCACTCGCGAGCCTACCATTTTTTTCATCTTCATCTTCTCTTTCTGTCTAAAATCAACCGCAAAAAGGCGCGCACGAATTGTTAAAACACTAACTACAGTAATTTTTTTCTTGTTGAAGTATTTTGAGGGGCAAAACTGTTGCTGCTGCTGCTGTTCTACGGATAATGGCGCATCACATAAAGGTAATTCTATAGAGGGGAGATTATTCCTTAATCGAGAATTGCTGTGTATGGCAAACTGCTGTGCTTGGGTTTTGTCTTATTGATGAAGACTTTGATGGCGCCATTGAAATCTGCACTAACCAACGCGTAGCCACAGCCCTTCTTGTGCTGCTCCACCAGAGGATCCGGGACGCTATGCTGGGCCTGCAAGAGCAACAACAGAGAAAGCCATCAGATCTGCATCATCAATTTGACCTGCAATCGACTCACATTCTCTTGAGAGATCTCATCATCGGGCTCTGGCTTGATGATGGCCTCTGGATGCGGGGCAAAGATGGCACAGGTCACAGTGGCATTGTGTGCCTTGATACCTTCCCAGAAATCACTCCTATCTCTCCTCACGGAACTCAACTTGGAGTAGTCATGGTTCGTCTTCCAGATGTAGATGCACTGATTCTCAGATCCCGCCACAATGTACTTGCCGTCGTGGCTGAAAGAAGCCTTGATCTGGGATGACACGTTGAGGTATCCCTTGTATTTGCAGCTGAGATTGAGATCGCGCAAATCGTACAGACGCACGCGACTATCATTGCTTGTGACCAGAATCTTATCTTCTCCCGGCATCGGTTCAATTCCACTGATCTTCCGCCCTATGGCATTTCTCCCGCGCGTGGATCTCACGTGGATCTGCGTGTGGTACTTCATCTGATCCGTTGTGTAGAAGATGCATCGCCCATCGTACGATCCCACCACGGCAAATGTGCCATTCTGACAGAAATTTGCCGCCGTAATCAGCTTCGTCTGGCCATCCAGCTCATTCCACAGTGCCACCTTCTTATCCGGGATATTCCACAGACGCAGCTTCCCATCCAGACTCCCACTGAGGAAGTATCTGTCGTCGCGCGGATGAAAAGCAATTGCCGTGACGAAGTCAATGTGCTGGAAGCAGCAGAGACACTCCCTTCGCGAGATATGCCACAAGCGCACCGTCTTGTCCATGGAGCTGGATAGGATGAAGTAATTCTTCGACCATGATACATCCAGCAGATCCGACGTGTGACCTGTGTAAGTGCAGAAAGAGCGCGGCATAAATGGTCCGGGAGACTTTTCCGCTGCCGCCGCCATCGCAAGGGCCTCCTCAGCGGAATTGTGCGACACCAGGGACTCCTGGGACGGTGTCGGCGAGGACTTCTGATCAGCATTGTACTTTGTCCTCATATCCTGCAAGAAATACACAGCAAGTCAGGACACTGTGGAATGCTCTTAATTTGAAATGACAATCTCACCTGAAAGAATGGATATGCATCCTTCAGCACCCAGATTCTTAGCACCTTGTCCTGCCCAGCTGTAGCCAGAAGTCGTCCACAAGAGCTGAATTTCATGCACCACACCGCTCCTGTGTGTTCCCCAGACAAGTCCTGGACATGCTGCAGCTTGGCAAATTCATACGGACCCTTGTTTGTACTGGACGCCTTAATCTTGATATTCTGCTCAGGATTCACCACATCCACCACGTCAGCCACGTCCTCCTTGTGCCTCGCATGCGACACTTCCGAAGCTATTGACTTTGCCTTGTCCACCGTCTTCCTCATTGTAGAACCGAAGAATCTCTTCAAGCGTGCCGTATTCCGCCGCAATCTACCACGATCCTCAACATCGCCCTCCTCCTCGTCAATGGGTGGCGGCTCAGAGCCCGGTGGACGCCCAACGACACTCTCATCGTCAGACTCTCGCTCAAGATGACTCGTGAGACGGAGAATATGCAGAGACAGTGGATTAAGATCGGTGGCTGGGATTTTCTCTTCAACAGCAGACAATGGAAATTTCTCTCCCGTGTCTAGATTTTTCACTGGAACCTGCTGCAGAATCTCCAAGTCACTGAGCACTTTCCCAGAGTCAGTTCTTGTGCGAACATAGACATTCATCTGCCGAATGATCTCCTCATCTCCAGCCGACTTTCGGCGCTCCTTCACATGACCAGGACTTTTGTATCTGCAAAAGGAAACAAATCGCATTAGATAATCAAAAAATATACCATGACAAGGAAGTGTTCATACCTCGTGGCACTTCCTAAGCTGTTCGTCCCTGTTCCCGAGAGACTTATTCCCCTCTCCCGTGGAGTGCTGTTCAGAATCTCTCCACGGATCCTCTCAATTCTCTCAATCTCCTCTTTAGAAGGGCCCTCAGCCTTGTTCGCCTCCTCGTCCTGCGGTTTCACCACGTACTGCCCTCGGATCACTTTATAAAGATTGAGTCCCTGACTCGGATCTATCGAACTTACGCGTCCCGGCGCTGAATTGCTCTTTGCACTGTTCGACGGACTAGGCTTAGAGTACACTGACGGCGAGGAACTGCCTAAGCTCTGACTTATCCTTCCCATCGATCCCAAGTGAGGTGGTCTCTTTGCACTGGTTGGTGTCTCTTGCACTACACTCCGCTCTCCATCTGCACCGCTGGCATTCTCCTGTACCACCACGTCCGCATCCTGAGTGTCATTGGGTGGTAACTTGAGACCCTCGTTGAGATTGAACTGCTCAGAGGAGCTCGACGACAGTTTACGGCCCTTCTTCTTCCTCCTGGGCGGCGCAACGGGACCCGAAGCCGTGAGACTGTCCGTGGTCTTTGAGTGAGCCAGCTTTGTGCTAGCAATTACATCCGGCTCCTGCAGGCTTATGCCACAGTTCTCCTCATCCCGGCGCTCTGAAGCCGATTCTGAGGCCCCTTCACTCACACAATTGGTCTCCCCTTTATCCTTATCACCTAGATCACTCTTTGAACTGGAAGCCATGGCAACAGATGCGCTCTCCTGCTGATCACCCAGCACCTGGGAGCTCCCCATGCCTCCTCCAACACTCCCACCGCCAACGCTGTTCGCACCCACGCTCTGAGGTGAGACCTTTGATGATCCCCCCGAGGACAGTTGATTGGAATCTCGCCCAACACTAATACCTACAAAGTACACCAAGCAATTATGGAATCAGTGACGTTGCGAAATTAGGGATTAACTTAGATTACATATCAGTTGAGCCGTCTTCAAGTGTTGTGAAATATAGCAATGATTTCTCTTGTGGAAAATTGACTTTTGCCTCGAGTAACTTCACCATTGCCTTTTTCAGACAACCAAATATTCCAATTTGGCATAAATTATGCAAATAAGTCCGAGTGGAATCGAATAGGAAGTGTCACAGTCGTTTAAATATCACATTGACAAATATTTGATTTATTCATGACACACTCATTGAGAAATCTCACTCTGCAATTTACCAATTTTGGAAAAAATCGTCTCACTTTTCGTCAGAACGCTGTGTGTGACTCAATTCATTAGCATAAATCAGTTCTTCTGCCAAACCAAATCTCTCAATAAGTATTGGAGTTTTTGTCTCCAGAGACACAATGTCAAAATTTTCACAACACTTTTTCAACACATTCTTCTCGTTTGCATTCAAGTGAGGATGATCCATAAATATCGCACTTTCACTGGTCGCATCCTCACTTGCTGGTCGCTCTGATGCCACTGATACAATTGGCAAGCAAGATCGGCACAGTTGTGGAGTGAGGGAAATTGCCATTGTGGGGGATTTGTTACCTGACGGATCTATGCTTCCGGCCAAGATGCGTCCAACGCGACCCAGTGAAGTCATACTCTGAACACTCACTGTGTCATGCTCGATAATCCGAAATGGGTGAGATGGTCTCGGTGTTGGGAAGACACCTTCAACTGAGCTATTCTGTGATGCGAATTTTCAGTGGCCCCAGCAAGAAAGTCATGAAGAAGAGAAGCAGCATAATAAAAAACATGTTAATAAATCAATGCAAGATCTCTTCTTGTGGAGAGCTTCTCGCTGAGAGACAACAGCAAGAAATTCTCTTCCCATGACTATCAATAGGGGAAGAGAAGAGAAAAACTTTCTACTCATTTTTCTCTTCAATGCACTTTTTTTTTCACCGCAATGCATTGCACCATAAAATGCAGAATAGAAAGATTTTATTGTGTGTCGCTTTTCTCCCATTTCAATATGCAAAAAGAAAAATTTATGTATATATCACATATACGATAATCTCATGCAAAATTACCCCAGAAATAACACAAAAGACAGAGAAAGAGAGAAAGAGAGTAGAAAAATAATAAACAAACAACATTTGTAAATTTGGTAACAGAAAGAAAAATGAAAAGAGCGTGGAAGGAAGTGATTAGAGAGACAGAAGAAGGTAAAATAAATCCTGTACCTGTGAATCTGGCGTCAGAGTGTTGCCAGGATTCTCATCTTCGTCGTATTGCATGCACTGTCGCAACTCACGGAAGCGTTGTCTACCAAACTAATACAAAATTATGGTAATGTCATTAATAAGTTGTACAGAAAAAAAGAACAGAACAAATTATTATAGAATTAATAAATTTGAGTAAAGTCTCACACACACACACAACTGCATTCTCTCACCATTTAACGACGATCCTATCGATTGGGTTTTACGAGACTCAAAAGATTCATAAGAAATAATGCAATAAAAGTAAAAAAGAAAATCATGCAAGAAATGTCTTTTTGATCCTCTCAATGAACAAACAGTGGTGATAAATACATTGCAATTTTATAACATTATACAATAATTGCAAAATAGGGCTAGAAAATTGAAGATCAATACCCTTTTCTTTAAGCACACAAAAAAACCCGGTGAATGTGAAACCTTGAGAAGAATTCAATTGCGAAGTTTATGGCTCTTCTCCGGTACTCTATCTGTTTACTTCTACCCTGATAAGGATTCATGAGTAACCGCGATATTTTACCAGCGTGTCATTGGATTATCTCAGCAGCATGAATTCAATTTTACTATGTTACTTTCTGAGGCACTCGAAATATTTTCGCTGTGAGCAAGTGAAAGCAAATTGCTTGTTAATGGTAGAAATTCTCTCTGCTTCATTCCCAAAATTCCAGTGGCACACGAAAAGCCAACAAAGTCGACTGTCATGGTCAGACAATAAAGAGGCATTTCGGGTGGTTTGTTCACCCCCAACAAAATCGAAGGGATTGTTTACAAGCACTTCTTGATACGCTGTCCTTTCAAATTAATCAAATATTTATCGGACAAATAGAAGAATTCTAAGCCTTATCTCCAATCTCAATTGGAGTTTACACAACACGCAATAATGTTAGGGGCAGATGAGTAAGTGAAGGGGAGTTATATCAAAGGTAATGGTGAGTTTCGACATTATGTCACATATTTTGTTAGTGTTCTTACGCAACAATTTTATCCAAAATGCCAAACATTATATTAGTCTAAGCACAAATTCATACACAGTGCGATACACAGTTAGACTCAAGCACAAATATTTCCGCAAATCACTCCGAAAACAACCAAATATTGCGCCTAATCCCCATGTCGCCACTGTATCAAGTGTATTAATTCGCTGCGCTTTCATGAAAAAAAGAAATATATCAATAAAACGCGACACCAAATCAACCAGCGATTTTGTGGGGAAAATGAGTGAATTATTGCGATAAACAATTCTGCAGCGCCAACACTCACAACTGTCGATGGTCATAAAAAGGCGCGAGTGTGCCTAGCAAAACAGCGAAAAATGTTCAATTGCAATTTCGCAAGAAGTGTGGCGATAGCTCTCGTCCAGAAAATACAATTTGCTCTATTTTCCGCACACAATTCTCCTCTTTGTTTGTGACTCTGACTCACTCTGGGGGCAGATTGACCGCCTGGCTGGTTTCATTTTCATTTCATCATTTCGGTGCGCGATCACCGAGCCGCGCGCGCGAGAGAGAGAGATCAAGAAGACAAATACATTTGGGTGGGATTCAATCGAAGAATTAATTTAAATCAGTGAATCAAATTAAATAGCACACAGAGAGTTGAGAAATGATACAGAGATGGGAATTCCTATGGGAAGAGTCACAGGTATTGACATTGTGGCGAGGTTTTTTTTTTGATCGATTTAAAGCAATTTAAAGGGAATTTTCAAGCCCCTTCGAACTCTCAGTATATCACAGGAAACTTGGAACGTCTCCAATATTGATCTATTCGGCGATAACCTATTTAGCATGTGATTTGGGAAGGTGAAAAAATCAATTCTTTAATCACATTCCGCCCCGGTTCGCATGAGAATCACCACTGTGATAGGTTTTAAACCGCCTCTCACTGCTTTTTTGCCAAACACTCTCGTTTTTTCGTGATTTTCGAGAGAGACCGACAAATTTGGTCGTGCGGAATTCCACGAGAGAAAGGCCTGGAGGTCACAATACTGGTGGGACTTACTCCTTGAGGCTTGGGCTTCACGAAGTCATCGTCTCGCGTGGACGAGCTGCTGCTCAGGACCTCCTGGAGACTGGCCGGCTGCTGGAACTGCTGCAGTTGCACCGTGACGGAGGTGGACGAGGAAGAATTTGTGGCGGAAGAGACGCGAGATCCGCCATCGGGTGGACTCTTCCTGGACGCCCCCGCGGCGTCCGGGAAGGCGAATCCCTTGCTGTTCACATTTGTCTTGGGGGACTTTTTCCTACGAAAGAACATCGATTTAATTACACTTCCGCCACTCAACACTCCTCCCGACACCATGAGACAACACTACTGAGCTCGGGAGCCGATCACAGAGTCGAGACTCTGGGTCTCAGCGCCAATTGATAAGGGCGAGAGGCGCTCCGTCACTGATAAAATTCAATCAGTCGCGCCCGATCAAGAAATGTTATCTAAATCTGGGGTTGTTGTCTCATCAATGCCTCGCCGCATGGTTCAGCCCGTGCACCGGGAGTGGATCCGGCTGAGGCGAAGCAGAGGTATTGGGTCCCCGGAGGGCTCTCTCACCTTCCTGTGATGCGATTTGGTGTGGTGTCTTCAGCATCGAAGAATTCCTCCGAACTGTCCGTCCCACTCGTGTCCGTCATTGGTAATTTCTATGGCGTCTCTCTCACCGCACTACACACGACAATTTTGCACCATTATTTGTCACTCGGAGGCCCTAAATTCGCGGAAAATTGAGAAAAAATAGATGAAATCATCGCACAACCTGACACTGCCTCCGTGACAGCTGCATTTTGCACACGACCGTCCTGAAGTGAGGCGCGAAGCAATTCCCCACCATTCTCGATTCAAACACCAACGGCCGGCGGAAGTAAAAATCGCACAGAAATTCCTCAAATTCATTTTTTAATTCTTCCTCTATCGATTGTATGTATTTTGCACGTGTACAGTAAAATCTCAGTGTAGAGCTTACATTCTAGAGAAGCCTACCTACGACATCTCCGAGGGAAATAGAACAATTCTTAAAGAAATTCTTATCGCCTACAACTTATGAATTCTAAAAAGGGTGATCAGTAATGCAAATCACATCCACAAATATTGAATATTTCTCTTGCATCGCACACCACACTATATAAATGCATTGCATATACATCCACGCATGATCAATGTTAAATCTTATTTTTAAATTTAATTGGCTAAATTTAATTGGTATTCTCTCCTATCGCCTAATCTTAAGATGTGGGATTTCTTCTCACGATTATACCTAATTTACGTCGATTAATGTCTCTGCAAAAAGTTAAACAGGGATATCGTGTTGAGGAATCACGACTTAATGCCACACGATGTATATCCTTTAGATGCAAAAAATACCTAGTGAAGAGCTAAGAGTTATTATTCATTGTCTCAATGTGATATTTCTCAAACTGAACGATTCGCTCTTCCAAATACTCCCCAAAGTGACTTTCAAGCTTGATAATGGCTTCATTGCAGAGTATTTATCCCTCAGCGGTGAGAGGATCCCTGGCATGGTGAATCTTCACGTGTTTGTTGTGATTTGTCTTTGTGGCCGACGTTTTTCCGCAAATGATACACTGCAAGAGAAAAAAGAAAACTCCATTAGCTCACATCCCTGTGGGAATTGAGAGGGGAATAGTGACCTCATAGGGACGCTCGTTGGTGTGGGAGCGTGAGTGTTCCTTCAGATAGTATGCCCGATGGAAGGACTTGCCGCAAATGGTGCACACGTGCTGCTTCTCCGTAATATGTTCACGAGTGTGACGAAGCCAGTTGTACTTCCTGCCAAACTGGCATCCGCAGTAGTCGCACGTGAAGGGCTTGATGGACTTGTGGCGATTTAGATGATCCTGCAGGTCATTCTGTCGGATAAATGCCTTCGGGCATGTCGGACACTTGAATGGCATAGCCGTGCGGCTGGCATGTATCCACTTATGCATCTTCAGATTCCACTTGGTGCTGAATGACTTATTGCAGATGCTACATTCAAAGTGCACCTGCTCCGTGTGGATCATAAGGTGTGTCTTGATGCTGGTCTTCAGGTAGTGCTTATGACAGATGTGACACGCCACAGTTTCCTTCTTAATCTCAATGAACTTCTCCGCGTGCGCCAGCCGAATGTGACGCGACAGGCTGTTTCGATGAATGAAGCGCTCCCGACAGAATGGACACCCCTTGGGAATCTTCTCGTGTGTCTCCTTGTGCCACAAGAACTTCGCCTTCGTGTGGAACACCTCACCACAATGGCACAAGTAGTCCTTTATGCGTGTCCTGATTTTCATGTGGTGATTGTGCTGGTGTTGCAGCAAATTTGATTGCCGACGGAACATGCGCGGGCAGAGGCTGCACTTTATCGGCATTTCTCCTGTGTGCATCCTCTCGTGCTCCGCCATGCTCTGGCGACTGGAGAACTGCTTGTCACACGTGCGGCACACGTACTCATTCATGCCCAAGTGGCGCTTCAGATGGTTCAGCAGCGTTTTCCAGCTCTTAAACACCTTCCCGCATGAATAGCACTCAGCCGGATGGATGGACAAGTGCTTATCGTAATCCCTGATCTTCGAGAACTGTCCCTTGCATGTCATGCAGAAGTAGAAGCGCTTTGTGTTGAACATCGTCACGAGATTCTGCACATCGCTCGTGAATGTCTGCTTGTCTTTCATTTGCTTGATGTTGAAGTCAATGAAGAAGGTGGAGGTGGGATAACTGGTGGCCTTGTCATCCTCCGACAGACTCAGGCTCGCCCCCGTAGTGGACGTGGAGGAAGGAGGTTCAGTTTTGACTGCAAAACATCAGTGAGAATTTATTGAAATTGTCAAAATTCCCAACAATAACTGGCATCTTACCTTTAGTGGCAAGTTTCTTACTCCGCTTTTCTGCCGTGAGAAACACCTGATGGTCATTCAGCATGTGATACTTCCTCTGACGATAGAGTCTGAAGGAGCGCGAACACATGGAACAAGGATACTTCAGCAATCTCAGTAGAGGCTTCTTATTTTTCCCATCATTCTTCTTAAAGCCCGAAGAGCTGTCCAGATCCCCGAGAAGAGGAACCAGTAGTTTCTGATCCTCATGATTCTCTGAAGCCAATGAAGTGCTGAAAAAATACAATGTCAGTCTCTGAAACACATCGAAGAAAATCACCAGAAATTCCTTACAATTTTGGAATCACGTGTGTCTGAATATGAGAAGCGTCAGGCTGATTATTCTGATCACTGCTTAGACTCCAACTCTCTCTGGCCACCGACATATCGTAAGAACTGGAAAATCTCGGACCAGTATCGGAATTGGGATAAACCTAAATGAAAAGCATTCATCTGATTTAGGAACTGACTCAAAATAAGAAATTGCACTATTCTTTCTTAGAGACTCTTACCGGAATATTCCAAAGTCCATCGATGTCCCCATTGCTCTCCTGTTCAGAAATCTCTCCTTTGGCCGGCATTTTCTCGTCCGTCCTGATGTTCAGACTGTCTGCCGATGGGGCTCGACTCACGCCCATCGAGTGTGTGCGACAAGTGTCCAAATCCACATAGGAATTCTGATTGCTCTCCAGCTGCGTATACTGCTCCCACGACAGATCCTCATTCATGATGCCCATCGGAGAGAATCTCACTGATCGGTCATTGGAGAATATTTCACCCTCGCTCTCATTATAAGCCAAGAATTCTGTGAACCCGTAGTCAAAACGACTCGGCCCCGCAGTCTCTTCCATAAATTCCTGAGAGTTGGGCGCTGTGAATTCGGCCCGATTTGACGAGCCTCCCGATGAGGATGACGAAGAACTCGAAGAGGCCGAAGTGCCAGCACTGGAAGATGATGAGGAGGACGAGCAACTGGCTGCAAAGAGTTTTTCCTCCTTCTCTTCCGCATCCATCTGAATAATGGTAAATACTTCAGATTCCGGTGGTGTAATCACATCTGATTTCATCTCAGCTTCAACTTCCATCTTCATGGATTCCTTTTTAGGTTCCGCATGAACTTCTGCGAGACAAGACTTTGGCTCTTCCTCCTCCTCCTCCTCCTCGACATTCTCACACACTTTTATGCTCTCATTGGGCTTTTCTGCTTCCTCCTCATTGTCCTCCACTATTATAACATCCTCTTGATTGTCCTCTTCCTTTTTCACTTCATGCTCTGCTTTCTCTGTCTCCACATCCATTACACTGGTATTAGTAGTCTCGGCATCTGCACACTTTTCATTCCCTTTGGGCTCTTCAATTATCTCTACATCGTCATTATTACTCTCCACTTCCATTTCTTTCACTCCAACTTCTTTGGGTGGCTCCTTTTCTTCCACGGGCTCTTCATTATCCGTCGCCAGAATCGTCACAGCAGTTTTAGATGTAGAAGGAACATCCACGGGGACTTTGTTGATCTCCACTTCACGTGGCGCCTCAATTTTCACCTCATCTGGCGTGTCATGGATGACAATGGGATTCTTAAATTTAACAACCAGCTTCTTTGGCGTCTTGTTGAGGAATTTTCGAGGAGCGATCATAGGAAAAGTTGTGGATTTAGTTGGCAGTGATACTGGCTCCTTTACCTCCTCTTTCGGCGTCTCCTTAATCTCTTCCGGCTTCTCCACTTTCTCCTCCTCCACTTTAATCATCATGGGAAGCGGTACAGACGCTGAAGTCACCATTCGGATGACACTAGCTGGTCTTGCGACTTCTCTCTTTGACTCCTCGGCTATCTCTGAACAACTGTTCACTTTACCAGAGTCTTGTTTCACCTTTGACTGCTGATAAATGATGTCTTGCATCTTGAAGGTATCCTTGGGTGAGAGAATAACATCACTAAGAACACGGAAGCCATTGGGACAATATTTAGTCGTTTTGTCCTCTTCAGTCTTCTTCTCAGGAACCGTCTTGGACACTTCATCCTTCGATTCAATGATCTCAACTTCGTCCGTTGCGCTATATTCCTCCGGATAGGCAACCTCCTCCTCGTCCTGAGCCTCATCCTCCTCCTGACTCGCATCTATTGCACTCTCTTGCCCCTCAGATAAGTAGTACGGCTCCTCGGCCGCTGGCGGATCCTCCTCCTCCTCGCCGTAAGCCATCTCCGTCACCGAGGCCTGAGGCACCGGCATAAGATCGTTGGGAGGGTACTGCTGCTTCATGAGCACGCAGTATGGCCAGGGCGTGGGCGCGGGCGCCGCGGAGATCATCTGTGCCGGCACTAGATTGGTCATATAGGGTCCGCTTCCGGAAGCCACGGGTTGGTGGGTGGTGGTCTGCCGAATCAGTTGCGTACTGCGACTATTCACAATCATTACGTTGCTCTGGGGCATCCCCAACGACCGCCCGTGCTTCACCAGTGCACTGCTCTCCTCTGTAGCGCCCCATTTGCTCACAGTCGCGGAGACAAGGGCAGATATGACACTCTCCTTCGGATGAGTCTCGAGATGGGACTCGAGAGTCATACCCTGGAGCAGGTACAGCTGGCACACGGGACACTGGACTTCTGAGAACATGGTTATCACTTGTAGTGCTCTCTCTCCCTTGCAAATGTATTCACACAATCGATTCTTTCCCCTTCAACTAATGTACAATGGAAACACCATTTTGAATTTCATGACGTATTACTTGGCATTTCCGTGAATTGAGACCGAGTTTCCGCTGCTTCCGCGCCTCCAAACGGCCACCTGAAACACACGAGAGAACTCCTGTAACTTCTCAATTACTCTCTATGCACTCTTCAGTGAAATTTCCCGAAAAATTTACAGAAAATATGCGTGTGAAAAAATATCATGAACAATCGAAGCCATTGCTGGTCGAGGTCGTCACACATTTTCCACCAAATTCCTATCTATTTTTACACTTTTTCGGGCCCCTTAAACAATTTTTGTAAATCCTGTACCTTTTCCTGTAGTCTAATGCACTTCCTGGTACACACACGGTCTGAATTTTCACGGAAAATCACTAATTATAGGAGGTGAACATTAAAAATACAAGAAAATTCTTTGACAACACGCCACTAGCGACCCTCGTGAGCGCTCGAAAAACGACTCCGAATAACGGGACCAACGACGAAGGAGGGGAATGTCGAGCAAAAAGGCTATTTCTCCTGGAAAGCAGAGGAGGACGGAATAAAATAGTGATTTCCTATTAAATATTCATCCTTAAGTAATTTGTTATTAATCGGTGGCAAACAAAGATTTTTCTCCCCTTTTCCGTTTTATGGTTTCGAACGATTTTGCATGAAATCGCCCTTTGTTGCCAGAGCCATCTGGCGTGGTTTTCACGGGATTTCCCAAGAATGGTGAATTTCTCTGTTGACATTTTGGCCATTCGTGGCAGATTTTTTGGAGGAAAAATAGTGATCTATTTGTGTTATTCTCTCTGTTCTGTATATTTCCTTTGATCTATTTCTCATTGTTGTACTAATCTTCAAATCTTAGTGTTGTAATCTGTGAGATAAAAGTGGAGATGTCGAAGAAAAATCCATTGCTTTCCTCAGCCGCGCTGACCTTTGACGACTTCACCCACAATGCCCGGTTGATGCCTGCTGCTGCACCTGTTCCAGTAGCAACTGTCGTGCCGGACGTACAAGGATCACGAGGACACTCAGAGGAGCCCAAGGGTAAGTGGAGAAATGAAGGAGAAGAAACATGTCGGAGCTCTTCCATGCATTTATTGTGACCCACACCCAGTATACGAAAAATGGCACTTCGGCTGGAAGGTCTTCTCTAGCGAGCTTCCATCCGTGTTCTCTCCGTTCGGTACACAGGAAGATCGCGGGAGGCGCGCTTTCTATTATAGCACCAGCGACAGAGGAAGATCAGGAGGATGATGAGGATTATTAGGAGGATGCAGCCAAGAACCACCGCCGCGATAGCTGCCTCGCTGAGCCAGATATCCCTAACATCTAGAGAAACAGATTTCTGATTATTGGCCAAATCAAAGGCCGTGATGATGACGCGTGGCTCGCAACAGGAAGCGGAGTACGTGGCGAGAACTGGATCTCTGGTGCCGGCTATGAACTGATTCCTGTACAGAATGCCTCTGGGCTGAGATTGAATCCTCAGAATACCCGTTTCCCAGTCGTGGGCCGATATTTCCACTGACCAAACGTGTCCAGCACAATTTCCCGGAGAGCTTCTCCATTCGCAGCGACTCCCGTACGTCCAGTACATCCAGGGCGCCGAGGAATCCTGCGTGGAAGTCGCACTGGAGACTGTAAGATAGACAGATTGCACCACAGACACAATTCCCTGCGCCGTCAGTGTAACTCGATCACGAAGGCCCACTTCAGCCGTGGGAGGAATCGACATGACCACAGTGATGATGATAGTTTGTCCAGGACCGACAACAGCTCTTGAAAAGGAAAAAATTCCATTAGAAATCATCTAAATTGAGTGAATTGAGAATTTACTGACGAGGGAGGATTGATGTTTCGGAGGAATCTGTGCTCATCCACAACTTGAAAGTTGTGAAACAATGCAGTGTTTCTCAAGTTCGTCACCTCAAAGTATATCTGGAATAATAAGAGATGATTGGCAATATCTCCTCTTTACTATATATGCAGATATTATAATGAATTATGATTTGCTCGTTGCAAATTTTTTCTACTGCAATTAACTAGAGAGAAGGATAATAAGCATCTTCATTGATAAGAGCTCTTATCAAAGTTATGAATATAACAGAATGAATTCGTTATCGCAGAGATGCTCATTAACAATTCATTTACGAGTTTCGTGTCATTCAAGAATCTCATCTTACCATCGCTGTGGTTCCAGGACTGGCCATCAACCTCGATTGAGGCGAAATGTTGACCGTAATGACGGATTCAATGACCCTCTCAGAGATCCTGGTGTCGTTCGTCGCTGCAACCTCCACTTCAGCCTCCTCCTGATCGTCCAAAAGCTCCACATCGTCTTCCAGTGTCTCTCTCTCTTCATTGTCATCAGCAAATCTGATGCGAGCACTCTGTGGCTCTGCAAAAAATGTCCGGGAGGAATGTGTGTAGATAATTAATTTTTTGCAATTTCCCCTCCAAGGGCCACAAATGTTAATGTCAATGTTTCAATTTTGGTGTTCTCTTTGACCTACTTATGAAGTGTTTATGTTCCACGAACGTCATTCTGGCTGTAGCGTAAATTTCGTTGGAGATTCGCGAAACTAACCAACGTCATAAAGAGTATTAGATAATGCCTAAGGGGAGATGAAGTCTTATCTGAGAGGCAGAACGGAATGTTTTTCTTCTATTGACACTCCCGGAATCATTCACGAGATTTCGAGCCTGGCGATGGGATGATTCACACAGGAAAAGTATTTCGAGAGCATTTTTCAACGCATTCCTCTACATTAACGGTGGTCAAAGTCCTATCCAAATCGTGCTATTCACTCCAGTTATTGTCCCTTTGTTTGCGGGAATTGGATCATGATGATGTGAGTGTAATTAATGGTGTGATATTCAATTAACTAATCTGAATCACCCCGTTTTGACCAGCAATTTCACAAGAGGGGAGCTCAAAGCTGAGATTGTGTTTCTCACTATATCAAAACTAAACACTTTGGTTGATGAAATGTTTACGAATACGCTTGATAATGAGACAGACGTTTTTCCTTTTGACTTTTTACATTAATATATTCCTTCACACTCAACACAGTCAGTCAATTGAACAGAAATCTTCGCGTGCTTCACAATTCAGTTTGTTCTCAACTTTCGAAGGAGTTACACGCGGAAAAGAGAGTAGTTTATTTAATCAAATTGTTGTGTTATTGTGCAAAAATCTACGACTTTTTCGCTCTTTCAGCGGTCTATTTTTGCAATTCTCTTTCGTGAACGAGGTAAAAATTGCAGAGTTTGTCACAATTTTCTGCCATTCGCTTTCCATTTCCTCTCTTCTTCGTTCAATGATCTCTGACCCAGTGTGATAGATAGTGAGTAGAATAGATCATTGTTCAGAAGAGTCGTAAATCTGGCTTTATGGCGAATTATATCTGAGGATTTGAGAGTGCTAAGTGTGATCGAGACTGTTTGTTCCACGTGTTGCTCATTCAAATTAACTCACCACTATTCCGCTGTATCCGAGACACTCCGGTGGTGAATAATCTTACCATCACGGAGTAGAACTGCGGCGTATTTGCTGTTGTTCGCAATTCATAACGTCCTTTGGTGATATTTTCCATCATGAAATCCACTTCTTCACTAAATCGTGCCAACTCATTCATTTTTACTGTCGAATTGTGATTTAGAATATCAATGAGAACGTCTGAGGAAAAAGAAAGTAGAGGGAAAGTGTAAAATTTCCCCTCCAAAAAAACTGTTATACACAAAAGTTGTGGCTATTCAAGGGGTAATCAAATGAGTAATGGAAAAAATCATTACACATCTTTGGACTTTTACACTTGACCGGAACATAATTACGCAATTTTACTATATTACATAGATTTTGCGTCTTTCTCTCAATCTATCTGCAGATTGGTTGATTTGTTGACGCGTTCGCAGTAATGAAGTGGACATGAATGATTTGATTTGAGAACCCCTTGAAGGCTCTTTGAAAGAGGCTTTTGTGTGACAGCGCGTGCGTCAGCAGACGTCAAAATAGTCTGATTTTGTTTATGGGAATCTATACAAAGCATTTTGCGATGGAAAATGTGTAAAATTTCGCACCAATTTCCCATTAATTGATAGTGTGAGCGTGTGGTTAGTGACACCTGAGTGAAATATATCAGGGACACCATCAATTTAGTGGCCAATTAGTTGGTGACATTGAAAAGTATCGACAATCAGGTGAACGGAAGGAGGAGAGTTGCAAAAACAGCTGGGATAGAAAGAGAGACTTTGCAAAAATAGATTTCTCATCATATTCTGCAGAGCATCTCGAGATTGAAGCATTTGAAATAGTTAAAACAGAGTTGCTAAAGCGATAAATATTTTGTGTGAGTATTTACAAGTGGGGGGATTTATTGGTGAAATTGATGGGCTTTTCGCAATGTCTGCCTTTCACAAGACGTGGCATTTTCATGGCTTTCCAGCGCATTTTTCACCTTTTCCTAACTCTCAGTGTCTTTCAGGTCATATTTGTGAGAGATTGGCCACTGGTTGTTGGCAAAAAAAGAAGTTGGCTCCTTTTGCCAAGCTCGATTGTGTCAATGTTGATTCGTCATTTGTCTTGTTGGTCAACACGAAGCCACTTTCTCTGTTTGCTCTTTTTGGCCTGAAAGAGTGGATTTTTGTACAAAATGTTTGCAGACATAATTACCAGGGAGACGAAAATACACGGGGAAATGGGGAGATATACATATTTACAATTAGAGTAAAATTTATTACATAACAATATATTCTACAATTATTTGTACTTTCCATTTAATATTCATTTCGTCTTCTATTGCCTATCCTCCCGACCTGCACCATTTAATGGGTTTCTGGGTTGGGAGGTGGGATTCTGCGTGAGAAACTGGGTGAGAAATTGCAGGAGTAGAAACAATTCACATTGAAGCAAAATGAGAGATAAATATACAACAGAGACATAAAATTTACAATATGTAATAGCTATATAATGCTCTCATTTTTTTGAGGCGAAAAAATAATAATCTCCTCAGCAATATACATAGTAAATTGGACTTGCAATGGCAGAACGGAGTTGGTTATTAGAAATTGAAGTGAAGTAATTGTGTGACTAACCACCATTGGGCGTTTCCAGAGTCGCATCGTCCACTTTTCCGTGGATCTTCACGTGGAGACTCGTCTCGGCGGTCGTGTCGATGGGCAGGCTGAAGTGATGAGATCCTTGGAGGTCGTTCCTCAGCAGCAGCGTGACCTTAGGAGGGATTTGCAAGAGAAGAGAGAGATTGAGCGTGTGAATGTCAGGGTTGATATGAGAGAAAAACTCACCAGTCCAATATTTCCATTGGGTTCCACGGCTTCATCTGTGATGTGGATAATCTCGCCACCTGTCCGTAAAGCGACTTCTCCTAGAACTCCACCTGTAACCGTGTGGGGAGATTCGTTGTCGTCCTGGCCGTGCTTTCCGAACCAGATCAAGTAGAGCTGAAAAGGGGGAAATGTGATTCGTGAAATAGTTGTCTTTATGGCTTAGAACAGCCATAAAAATTAGAAACATCAGCAAAGTGGTAGCTGGAAAAGCTATAAAATAAAATGTAGCTTTAACTGACTCACTCGAATTCGCTTCTTCAGCAGAACAATTGCTGCCTGATGGTAGTATTCGGGATTCTGAGGAGCCTTATCTGTCGATAGGAATATTGCACTGTCGTATGGAATGAGCTCTGATGCCTTCTGAATCCCCATGAAAGCCTTGTCCTCTGATCCTGCCTGCTGAGACTCTCTTACACTCTCAATTCCCGCCATAATCGTCCTTGTGTTCTTCGAATTGTACGTCACGCTAATCCCTGCAAGACAACAAATGAGAGAATATCGATGTAAAAACTGTTTTTGCCCCTCTCGAATTTGATCTTGAAATGATCTTGATCTCTACGGGGATCTTGGTGAGATTTTTTAGCCAGTGCTAAGTGATCAAGATTGTTGGTAATTGCTTCATGAGCTTTCTTTTCCACTCAGTCATTCTTCTGTTGCTTTTTTTTGTTGTTTGCCCAGAAACCAATATAACGACTCGCATACATATTTGAGAGGATTTTGTGAGTGAGAGTGTCTGAAGCTGGTGGGAAGTGAGGGAGAGAAAGAGGTGATCCGAGTATCTCTTTCGCATATTTGGCATTGTTGTGTGTCTCGCGGGATGGAAATTGAGGCAATAGAGCTGCGATGACAAGAAAAATGAGCTGATGACGGCAAAAAAGAGGTGAGACAAACAATTAAGTGTGAGTGACAAGGGGTACCTGGTGGACAATTAAGAAACATGACGATGAAATTTCTCATGTCTTTTGCGCCTCTTTTTGCCACGGTTTTGTTCTCTTTGCTTAACCCTCTCGGCTCTTTCAAAACAATATCCCAAATTCTCTATCTGCGTGATGAATGATACTGAGCGCTCACTGGGAGGCAAGGGGTTTAATGTGAAAATATTCAGTCTTTTGTGATCTATTGTGCGGTTTTCTTTGTTGGGTGGGAGGAACTTTAGGAACTACACGCTTCTCACCTGAAGAGTTGAAGGCGACTAATACGAGATCAATTGATGTTGCTGGACGCAGAGTGGCATTCCAGAGGAGTTTGGCCTTCCGCAGGGGCTCAGGAGCAGTGTCCACGAGGATTGCCAGTGGAGATCTCAAGTAGGGATCGTCAAGGAAGCTCCTAACGATTCCGTCACCCGTTGATTTGTACACTCTGTACTGCTTCGTTTGTTTCCGCTTCAGGTTTAGTGCCTTCAGGGATGGATGGATGGTGGTCGTTGTGGGTTTGGCGGTGGTTGTGGGCACTGTGAGAGTTGTAGGAACAGCTGTGATTGTGACTGTCTCATTTTCCTCTCCGTTGATATCCTGGAAATCGTCACTTTCCTCTCCGTCGGTGTCATTCCTCAAGTTCAGCTCATTTGTGGTGATGAGAGCCTCTTGGAGGATTGTTTCCGACGCTGGATAATCGGTATTTTCTGTGATTGTGGTGTCAACTCTCTGACTCGTGTCGATGGAGTCGACGTCGGGTTCGGTGGGATTGGAAAAGGTGGCACTCTCGTGAAAAATGGTTGTTCTGTAACCGACAAACCGGCGCTGATCGCGCTGCTCCTCCTCAATATCCAATGCGGATGAATCCTGAGCACTGGTAAATTTCACGAAAACGCCACAGAGAGTCCATAGCAGAACCACTTTGAGTTGCATTCTCACAATCTTAATTCTCACGGATTTTCACTCAAAATTTTTACACTCACTTCACCTGTGTTTCAAGGGAATGTCCGAGGAGTTTCCTTGATTTCTCGTCCTCACCACTCTTATCTCTTCAATCTCTGTCCACTCCTCAATGCTGTTTCGGCTGGAATAGACTTGAAAAGAGAAGAGGAGAGTATTCGTCAAGTGGCACAAGAATTGCTCAATCTTTTGCATTCAATGGGAGAGTATGAGAATGAAATTCAGAATGGAAATCTTTTGGCAATTGTATTCAGACGTGGCAGATTCGTACGGGAAATATTGCAGCTATTCAAAGTTCATATTTGATGCCTTTAATGCAGTCACTTTATTTACAGTGATTCACTATTTGTGGTACGAGTCTGCACATTGATAGAACAAACAATTAATACAATTCACACATGACTCTTTTTCTACAAATATTTTTTTTAAACGATTTGATGAAAATAAAATGCTTGTTTTTTTCTACTATCGGTTTTTCCCTGCGGTCAAGCTTTTTTTGACCGGACAAAATAATTTGCCACAGAACATTTTCCACTTGATGGCATTTATTTTCGCAGAAAGTGTAATACGTGTAGACGTTAAATTCCTGGGAAATGTGTCAATAATTTCGGTAGGGAACAACTATACATTAATTCACTGATGAACATCTCTTTGACGGCAAATTAACTTCAATCACCAATGCTAATGATCCTCCATGAAATTGCAGTTAATTTATCACCTCACCATTTTTTTTATTGTTTTGTCTCTGTTGCGGTTAATTTTCCTTCTCTCTACAGCGCGAGAAAACCTTTTCCACAAGTGGGGACTTCTGAGGAAGTCCCTGGGAAAACCTCCCAGCTGAGCGACCTCACGAGTCGTGTGTTGTTCAATTAAAATGCGATTTGAACGGCGTTTGCAGATCAATCAAGAGTGTGGGAAGAGATATTTCTCAGATCTCGTCCAAGTGGGAATAAAGTTATTGGGAGTAATTCGAGTTGCACCTTTCCACTGTGATATGTGAAATGAAACTGAAAGCGTTCGTGCTTCATTAGCCTTGGTTGTGTTGGCACTCGCAGGCTTCGTATGTTTGCTGTGCCTTCTCAATGGTCAGGTGAGAGAGCGAGAGAGGGAGAATGTGCGAATGAGAGGTGGTCACTTGAGGTGAGACGGAGGATTTTGTGTGTAGATTTAATAATCAACTCTCGTGGTCCGGTTCAATATAAACACACTTTAGAGTCCCAGAAGAATGTGTAATGGAAAAGAGATAAGCTACCGCTTTGCTCATTCGACCTGGGATTCATTCCAGCCAAACTCCGATTAAAACCGACTTGCCGAAGATTAAGGATATAAAATATACACTGGAATTAATACTGTTGTCTTGTGTGAAGGCTTTGCAACTGAAAAAATATGGTTAACACAATATCCAAATCTATGCCTTTTATAAGATCCGATGTTGATTAGGCTAGAATTCAAAGGATTTAGAGTAGAGTGTAATTGGAAAGGTTCAATATTGCTCAATGCTAATTCTCAGTCAATTTAGTAATGTTGACATTTTTGCGTGTTTACCGAAGAACTGGAAAATAATAAATCACATTCCTAATCAATCTTTCTCTCTCAATGATATTGTAATTTTATATTCCAAGACGCAACTCATGTGACGCGCTTCACTAGTGGCATTTGGAGGACTTGAACTGTCCAATTTGGATGCAATTGAGGTGAAATATTTCAATGGAACAACAAAACTCTCTGGAGGAAATTCGTTGTTGAGTGTGTCTGAAATTTGTCTGGTTGAGAGTTTTGAAATGCTTCGCATTCTTGTCTTTTGATATTTCAACAAGATTGAGTGAGAAAAAGAGATGTTAAGACATTTTTGGGGGCACGTTCGTTTGTCTGATTTAATTTCATCTTGAGTCCATGCTCGAGATTGTCCGCTTTTTCTGTAAATACTCACTGTAAGGTACTTTGTAAGAGCATTCCGTATGAATTGAGAAAGCCTTGCATAAGTGCGAGCCATGTAATTTCAAATTATAACAAATTAGCAATTAATGTGACACAATTTTATTGATAATCACGATAATTTAATCACTTGTTTATAATTAATAACCCAGGAGATGGAGAGTGATCATTATATATCAAAGCTCGATGAGATCCAAAGCCTATCTCAATTATATGCATAGCTGAATAGCTATATATGAAGCTTTTGGTGGAATTTCGGATGAATTTATTGCATGAACCACTTGTGAATCTCGTTTTTATTTCCCTCCTTCTTGTCTCTTTCTCTATAATCATTCCTTGATCTCGTGTTGCTGTGATATTTCATTTCAACGACCATCATTGTCACATTATTTAATTCTTCTTTTCTCTGTGCCTATATGGGAGACTGAACTACGTCAGAACCTGGCGATTTCAACTGCTCGTGCCATTAGAATACAAAAAGGCAATTTTTTGTCTTTTCTAAGCTATACAAAAGCGAGTCCAAACGAAAAGGTGGAGGAATTTGAGATGAAATATTGAGCAAAAAGACTTGACTAGAAACAAGAAACCACTCCTTACTGTTTTTCTTTCAATTTAATGGCATTTTTATCCAACTTAGGGAGAATTTCGGTGACACTTTTTAATTTTTGAAGCACAGAAAATTACCCGGGAAGCTTGTTGAGTGATTTAATTTACTCGAGGGTGAAGAAATTTACAAGGCAGAACGTGTTAGACGACTTCATGATTTCGCGAATTCAGCAAGACTGACGAGTGGTTGGTTAGAGAAAAAGCCTGAAAGATCGGCTGGCATTACTTATGGGAAATTATTACTATCAGTCACTCCCTCTCATGCCTGCCCTCGTAATCGGACGAGCGAATCCTCGTGTGGAAAATAAATAGAAGCTCTGTGGTGTGGCGTGAAAAACCCCCCAAAGTTTACCAATAAGGTGTGAATGTGACTTGGCAGTTTAGTAGGGGAGAGAGGGTGTTTTTCGAACAATATATGTTAAAGTGTGTTAAAGCCTTTGTGTGATATTTGTAAAAGTATTATCTATGTTTTGTATAATTGTCGCTTTAGTAGCTAGGAAATCACTTTTGCTGTTACTGGCCAAAGAAGAATCGCCTTCCTCTAGCATTTTTTGCATAGTCCAAACTCTGGTTTGTGTGTATGTTTGAAAATAAAGGTGCACCGCCGCGAAGAGTGACTTGGCGCGCGCGCATTTCCTCTCCTTGGGTGCCTTTTGGTGGAAGAGAAGTGATTTGTAATGCTGTGATTTCCTCAAAACGTTATTTATCCATTCTCGTTCGTTACCAAACCAGGGGTTTGTTCTGACGATGATTCACCTCAAATGGAATTTTTAACTGGAGGGCTTCTTTTTAGCGTTCTACGCCGGGACTCGTCTTGGATGAAGAATGTCATGATGGAGAAGGAGCCGAGAATTAGATTGATTTGACCGCCTAAATATTTATTTTATTAGTTCATTCTCTTGAATTCCTTTTTTCACCTTTTGGCATTCCTGGTGGAGAGCACGAAAATATTTGGAGAGAATCACATGTAGTCAGACACAAAAGCACTCATACGTTGTGGGCAAAGGAGTGACCGTGTGGAGGAATCCTTTAGTGGTATTTCGTGAAGTTGAGACGTTATCGTAAAATGTCTTAAGTAATGTTTGTCAAGTTTTACTCATGTTTGGTAAATTTGCGGTCAACTAAACTAAACCTTCATTACATTGTTTGGAAAGTACTTTATTTTTCAGGTGACCCTGACCATCCCAAGAAGATTTGTAAACATTTGCGCGTAAGAATTTCTTCCCAATCAAGTCAATTTTGTGAAATTTCTCAACTTTGCTGATAGCTTAATGGCTTGATGATCATGGCAAAGAATTTCTGGATGTTCAAATCATCATCTATTTTGGGGGGCACGAAAGACGAAACAAGACCAAGAGATATGGAGAGTGAGAAGTCAAAAGAATATTCAGGGGTATAGAATTCTTCAATGTCACTGTTGTGCTTCATTTTGTGGCAGAGAATTCCCTTGAGAATCCCCAAAAATCTATCACGGCCGAAAAAATGGACTTTGTGTTGTTTGGCTGGTTGTTTATTGGGGAATTTTCCCAAGTTCCCCTCTTTACAAAAGGTGGAAAGATTCATTTTTTTTCGTGCTTCTCAAATTGTAATGATTAATGAATTGCAAATTTATTCTACGTTCCTCCACTGGATGGACTCTTCGGAAGGAGTGGTGGAATGAGTAGGAAAAGAAAGAATTGTGCAAATTTACAATTTCTGCAGAACACATGAGAATTATTCATGATTTCTGATGAAAATATTTTATGAGTATTTTCACCCCATTTTCCACCCAATGGAGAAAAAAACATAGGAGTATATGTATATTTATTTTTCTCCTGATAAATGTAATGACTTTATACAGCGCAAGAGAGGTTTTCCCCCAGCTTTGCTGTTGAACTTTGTTGAATTTTAAATAAAGTCATATTCCACGTTTAGTACCTCTTCCGGTGACAAGGAAGTGGGTGGTGGTCACACCACAAATTTCCAAGGAAAATTTCCATTGGCGAAAAGCAGAAACGCTGTACAATTCGGACGAATTTCACATGTTGATGATGGGAGGGCAGAAGTACTTTTTATTTCCACCCAACGAAGGTATAAAAGAGAAGAACAAACCCGAGGCTTGCGTGGAATTTCAATATTTACTTTAAAATTTACAATCAATTTGTGACACTGAGAGTGAACTGATATGGAAATTCGCGTTTACTTTCAATGAAGTGAGGGAAGATGGGGAGAGGGAAATTTTAATGTGTTTACAATGTTAATCATGAGTGTAATAAATGGATTGTGTGTGCCACACAAAAGGCAAAAAGGCATATTTATTATGTCAATTGTGTCAATAAAAGGTCTCTTTTTAAAATCATTCCTGACATGCTGATTGCGATGCGGGAAAATCTCGTGATTTATGTTGTACAAAAGCGGCAGAAATTAAGCCAATTGTATTGCGAGGAAAGGCTTTTTCAACAGCCATGATTCATTCACACTTTCATGAATTTTTCCTTGTAAAAATTGCTCATGATTCCTCAAACAGGTTCCAATCGATATATGTATGTATAATAAATTATTCGGGATCATAATTTGTTCAAACTGCCTGACTTTCCATTTGAACATTTTCTCCACATTACAATTTGTGTGATTTATAATGGCAGAAAACACCTCTAGATATGATTTAATTAATTAATAATGTGTCTCGAAATGCTTCATTCCTGTTCATACGTGAAAAGACCCAAAATATAAATGAAATGCTAAAATTCTCAGTGCATTTTAATTACTTCCTGCAGTTAAATTAGTCTTAATGTCTCAATAAAAACGCTTTATTGTTAATAAAATAATTTTAAAAAATTTCTAGTGAATTTCTCTAGATTTTAGATTATTTAAGTAGAAACTCTTCATCTAGCTTTCAATGTACTAAATATTATTAAATATGATCGAGTTATGGTTTCTAATCGCAGAAGAAATTGAGTAATAATTTATTATAAAATCTCCTGAGGTGAATATCCAGTGATTTCCATCTTCAATTGACGCCACAAAGTCTCTTGAGTGTGTTTCAAAGCAGTGGCTTTTTGTCCACAGAGAAACTCTCATGTGAGTGCAAAAATGGTTCAACATTGCTCTGCATCTTGTCGTGTGTTTTCCATTTTAATCAGCAATATTCCAGTCATATTCTCCGATACATATAATATAATATATTTAATATTATTCAAATGACACACAAATTGTGAATCTCAAAGCACACAAGAAGGTGTTGGTGGTGATGAAGAGAGAAAAAAAACACCACAAGAAACTTCAATAGCAATCTGCTAAACAGGTTTCTGCATATTTTGATTTTATGCCTTTTTATCCGCTTCTCTCGATCTGTTTCACTTTAGTTATTCATCTGTTAATGAGACTAACTAAAAAAAATTGTAATTTTCTCCCGCCAATCGGCTAGCTGGCTGGGGCGATTATATAATGCGGTGCCCCAGAGTGGTTTGTTATAAACACGGCAAACAAGAGTAAAAAACAAATGTGTTTCAATAGCAAGAAAAATCATTAAAATATCACAATGTGCCAATGGTGGCGAGAAGGCGTTATAAATGATGTTTTTGGGGGTTTATATTGTGTTTTATTCTCATTTTTTTTAACCCATGCAATTTGTATCTAATGCGTTTTTAATTCGCGCCCCAGGAAAGTGAATTCACCGGCAAATCCGAGCGCAATTGAAGGAAATATCTGCACTTTGCCAGTGTCTCAGATTTGAGAATCTCATCTGAAGTGTGGAATGATTATAGGTGAAGGCTTGTGACTTTTCAACAGTCATTTTCATTATCACACGGGTCTCTTGCGGTTTTAGCTGGTTTATCTTTGGGTTTTTCTCGTGCCGAAGATGAACGATTAGGGCAATTATACAGAAAAACAACCGTGCAGGAGCATTTTTTGTGATTTATCGCCATTTAACATTGCACGAGGAGATGATGTGAGGGAATAAGAAGTGCTAAAATATTGATGTATGGCTTCTTTATACGGATTTTGCAGTGAATATAATGGCGATGAAAAATGTAAACAGTATAAAATCGCTGTGATGTTGTTGCTATTTCTTCTGGTCTCGCATTTTCTGAATTGCTGCTCATTTAATTGCTCAATTGTTATGCAAAGACAAGCGTGTTGAGAAGAAATGATGATGTTGAGTAAAAAAGGGTTTTCCCAATGTCAAGGATATGGCGGAAAAGTCTCTGTGTGGTTGATTTAAAATAAGGAGTTTAGGAACTGTCCGTTCTGCCTTTCCTGCACGGATTTTCCTTTCTGTGGATTTTTTTTGATATTACAGAATGAATGAAAGATTTGTGTATATATATTTTATTCAACACTTGCATATTACTCAACCTTCAACATTTACTTCCAATGGCCAAAAGGAAATGAAAATTTCATGATAACAGAGAGTTTAATTGAAATAAATGTGGAAATGCTGCAGAATTTATTGATTTTCCCCTCTGACTTTCTGCCAAGAATACGAAATTGTGCCCTTTCTTGGTGGCAAAACTGAGTGTTGAATGGTTAGAAAAAAGATTCTCTTGGGTGCTTCTATATAAGAGCAAAAACGTCTCTTTTATGACGAATTGATGTGATGAAGCAAAATCCAGGGAAAATTTCCTGACTAATTCCTGTTTCCCCACACCGGAAATCACTATTGCAAACGTCGCAGGGTGTCGTAAATTTCCACAGCAATTTCCTCTTTTGCTCATATTTATCCAAATATTATGATTTTGCAGTCACGCTGGCAAAAAATGTGCTCACTATTCAACACACTAGTTTCTGCTCCAATGTTTGTTCTCGGGGCTGCGGCTCACAGTGTCTTGTCACACTTTTAGGCGCTGCTAGAGCGTGAAACTGAAGAATTAATTATCGTAATGTCACCTTCGGGCACTGTAATTAGCTAAGCTAGAGTTTTTGTCACTCTTTCTCTCTTTCTCTCTCAGCCATGCAATAGCAATTCATATTGCAAGGAAATGCAAGGAATTAGTAAATGAGAGCAAGTGTGCTTGGTAAATTGTTTTACTAACATTCAACTTTTTTGTTCGATTTTCTGTGCAGAGGAAATTCGACCGGCTCTGTTTGGATCACCGCCACCACCTGTTGCCACTGAAGCCTTCAGTGACATCAGCTTGGAGCCGACTGCTGAGCAGCAGGGATCCTTTCTGGGAGCATCGGAGCCCCAGCTTTACAATCCCCTGCAGGGCATTGATCCCTACGGGAGCAACGCGAAGCCGCCCAGCGTTCAGGGTGGAGAGTCACTGTTCAATCCTCTTGCTCAAGCGGCTCAACTGAAGGAGTCTCTGCAGCATATTCCCTCAGTGGCGTCCACAGTCTTCTCCACCTTCTCGAGCATCCTCAAAGGTGGCGAAGGAGCGCCAGGTCAGCAAGAAAGTACTGGAGATCCTCCTCCAAACACGTACAAGAGCCCACTGGACGCAATCTATGAGCAACAAGTGCTGAATCCGGCGGAACAATCACAAGCATCTCCGCTGCTCTTCTCGCCCGAAGATCCCTCAATCCCGGCTTTCTCCCACGGACAAGCGCCACCACCAGCAGGGGGATCGACAAACACTTTCCGCCTCGGTGGCAACAAGAAGAAGATTTACGCTCCTGTTCCTGGGCTCTCGAGTGGGGGTTTTTCCCAAGCAGAAGTACCGGCATTTTCTCAAAAGCCCCAAAATTTGCCTCCCCTTCCGGAACCAAGACCATCACCGAAGCCTTCACCAACGCCTCCACCTGTGGCCTTCTTTCCAACGCCACAAGCAGCTCCTTATCAAAATTCCGGTGGATTTGAGCAAGTGAATTCAAGCATTCCAGTCCCTCAGGAGCAACCGCAGCAGAGCCAGAGTAAATTCTCTCTGTCGTCATTCTTCTCGGCTCCGCTTTTGGATCGATTCCAGGGCAAAACCAGTGCCCAGAACGAACCAGTGGTAGCTGAAATATCATCCGTTGACTCTGTTCAGCCAGCTCAGAACTTTCAAGCACCACCTCCAGTTCAGCCGCCACAGCTGATCAATCCGCAATTATTCAACACAAATCCTATAGCCGGAGAGTCTCAGAACGCGCCTTTTGCTGTGGGATTTCCGCCTGTAGTAAATCAGCAATCAATTGATCCTCCTCCTGTGAGTCAGAGTGCATTTTTCGGAGCACCACCAGTTGCTTCGACACATCCTCCACCGGTGATTCCAGCAAATCCTTCACCGGTGATTTCAGCATATCCTCCACCGGCAGAAGTTCCAACTGCGCCACCAACAAACACTGCCAACCCTTTTGGAGGGTATCGATTGGCTAAGAAGACTCCATCGTACAAGAACGCTCTGATTCCAGAGACTAAGACGAACTTCTTCGTGCCAGAGACATCGCCTACCGCCCAATCTGTGCCAGTGAACTTCTTCACACCAGCGGCTCCAGTTCCAGTAGTGACTCCTAGCGCACCAGCACCTCAGACTGAAGCAAACTACTTCACGCCAGCGGCTCCAATTCCAGTAGTGACTCCTAGCGCACCAGCACCTCAGGCTGAAGCAAACTACTTCACGCCAGCGGCTCCAGTTTCAGCTCCAGTTCCAGTAGTGACTCCTAGCGCATCAGCGCCTCAGGCTGAACCAAACTACTTCACGCCAGCGGCTCCAGTTCCAGTAGTGACTCCCAGCGCACCAGCGCCTCAGGCTGAACCAAACTACTTCACGCCAGCGGCTCCAGTTTCAGCTCCAGTTTCAGTAGTGACTCCCAGCGCACCAGCGCCTCAAGCTGAACTGAAGACTGAAACGAAAGTATCATCGCCAACAATCTTCAAGTCCACTTCCGAACCTGTGGCCTCTGTGCGTCCTGATCAGGCATTCTTTCTGCCCAAGAGTCCCACGGAGACTGAGAAGATTCCGTACGCGCCAGAAGCGTCAAGCATTGATCAATTGTGTACGGAATTGGCGGAGACAAAATTGCCGCAAGTGTCTCAAACCGCGAGCTTCTTCGGCAATCAGACGGCAACTAATTGGTTTGACACCAATCAAAACACCCAATTGGCTGGCGATCATACCACAGTTGATGAGGACGTGAACAAGAATCAGACAGACATTCACGCCAGCTTCTTTGACTGTCCGCCGGAGTTGAAGCCAGACCAGGCGCAGCCCAGCTTCTTTAGCTTCCCAAAGCCATCGGTTGACGACGTGAGCATCAACAACAACTCGCTGATTGTTGAGAAGTCCTCAGTGGACGACAGCAAGGTGTCCCTAGCGTCATTTCCCTCCAACGAACGGGAGCAACAGCCTGTGTTTTTGTGTGGAACAGTAGTGCCCAACGGAAGGGAGCCCACGAGGGAGACTTTCCCAGAGAGTCAATCGGTGAGTAAGAAATCTATGTGGAAATGTTTGTTTACAATGTGATGATATCATAGTAATTCACAAAGACATGAATCAGATGATTTTTATTATTTCCTTATCAAAGTGCAAGTGTCAATTTTACGATTTAGTTTAGACTCTTTTGTCAGTAGATTTTCACTAGAGCAAAATAATATGAGTTCAAAAGATCATCAAAACTTCCTGTTTGTCTCTTTCAGATTGTTGAAGAGCAGCCCTTCAATGCTAATCTGCTAGACACAACGACTTCAATGGCAACATCGAAATCAACTCCAACTGGCCAGGAGCCAGGCAAGTCCGTGACAGATGCTGCAGCGCCGAGTGGCTCTTATCGACCGGTGTACAAGCACTGGTTCTACAAGCAGAAGGTCGAGGGCAAGGATGTTTGGACACCTTTCTCCATGACAGACTCTCTGGCACTCGAGGATGCCTTAACGTGTCCTACGGCAGACAATGCTGTCATTGCCACGGACGGTGGGCGTCACGATGTGAGCATTGCGGAGAGGACACGCACAGCGATCTACTGGTCGGCAGAGGTGAACGAAGTGCGGCGATGTTCGTGGTTCTACAAGGCTGTAGATTCGCGTTTCGTGCCGTACGAGGAGGAGACAGCTGACTATCTGGAGGAGGAGTACAAGAATGCGTTCGCCACGGGTTCCTGGCACAAGCAACTCACACTGCCCAATGGAGAAATGGTGAATTTCCATGGTCCGAATGTGATGGTGCACTTTCTGCAGGCCCAGACGCCGGACGCTTGGGGGAACACACCACAAGTGACCAACAGGCCGAGAGTGGTTAAAAGGGGAGTGGATGAGTTCAACATTGAGGATGGAGAGCCTGAGCAGATTGACCATGTGCTGTTTGTTGTGCATGGGATTGGGAAGGCGTGTGATTTCAAGTTCAGAACTGTTGAAGAAGTTGGTGAGTTCTTCTCGATAAACTCCTCTGGGATAGTTATCCTTAATAGCCTTTTTTTCTTCTTCTTTTAGTTGATGAATTCCGGAATATCGCCTTGCAAATGGTTCAGTCACACTACAGATCATCTTATGATGCTGGAGAAATTGGGCGTATTGAAGTGTTGCCCATTTCATGGCATAGCGAATTACACTCGGAAGAGTCTGGAATCGATGCCAAGTTAAAATCCATCACACTTGAGTCAATTCCCAAGTTGAGAAACTTCACAAATGACACTCTCTTGGATGTGCTCTTCTACACTAGTCCCATCTTCTGCCAGAGCATCATGGACACCGTCTGTGGCTCAGTGAATCGCTTGTATAAGCTCTTCTGCGAGCGCAATCCTTCTTACCATGGCGGAGTCTCGTTGGCCGGGCACAGTCTTGGCTCTCTCATCCTCTTTGACTTGCTGTGCCATCAGAAAGCGCCCAGTAATGAGCATGAGATGGAGAACTCAGTGAGTATATTCCAGACATTATTATACGAGACAATAATATCAAAAATGTTCTCCTCTTTTTCTCTGATGCCACAGGAAAATCCAGACCAGGCGAATGTCACAACGCCCACGGAACCCTTCCTGAGGCCTGAAAAGCAAACAGCACAGCAGATAAATTACACAATGGGACCAGCAGGAACAGGACAACCATTCATAAACTACCCACAATTGGACATTCGGCCGAAGAACTTCTTCGCCTTTGGATCGCCCATTGGAATGTTTGTTACAGTCAGAGGAATCGATACGCTGGGTCTGGACTTTAAACTGCCCACCTGCGACGGCTTCTACAATATCTTTCATCCATATGACATTGTGGCGTACAGAATTGAGGGTCTGGTGAATGCTGACCTGAGCTCTCTTCGTCCTGTTCTCATTCCCCATCACAAGGGCAGAAAGCGGATGCATTTGGGTGAGTTTCCACAGAGAATTGGTCTCTTGTCTCTAGTTTAACTGGCACTTCTCTTGGACAGAGCTCCGTGAGACGATGGTTCGTGTTGGTGGAGAGATTAAGCAGAGGATCTTCGACACTTTCCGCTCCACCGTGGACACGGTGACGCACATCACAAGCTTAGGCAGGACAGATCCACAGGCGATCAAGTGTGAGGTGGACAAAGTGCTGGAGGAGCAACTGCATTTGGATGAGACGCAGAGGGAGATCAGCGGCGCAGGGAGTTCTTCTGGGGGCAGCGATTGTGACACTGGAGAGACGGATCTGCCATTGGGGAGACTCAATCAGGCGAGGAGGATCGACTATGTGCTTCAAGAGGCGCCCCTGGAGTTCTTCAACGAGTACATCTTTGCCCTCACGAGTCACGTTTGCTACTGGCAATCTGAGGACACGATTCTGTTTGTTGTGAAGGAGATCTATTCCTCACTGGGTGTTCAGACGGATAACAAAGTACCCCAGCAGAGCCTCACCATCGAGAGACCAACAGCGAGCCTTCCGGCGCGATAAAGCGTCCGGAATATTTATTTATATGGATATTTGAAGAGAGAAATAAAGAAAACCATCAATGTTTACCTTCGGATTGATGCAATGGATTTATTTATCCAACCATAAATATACCGTCCAGCTGTATTTCACAGCTTCAGGCTCCTGTCCTTGACTTTCCGATAGAGGATAAACAAGCCAATTGCATCTTCCTGCCGCTTAGTCGAGCTGAAAGCAAGAGAACTCCATGAAGCCCCCAAAGATTGAGGTTATGTATCACAGAGCTTACCTTCTTGAAGCCAATATCATTGGCGTACTCCCTGAAGCACTGTCGGCAGAGGTTGAGGCCGTACTTCCGGATCAGACCATGTCGGTTTGAGCAGGCGCGGCTGGAAAATAAGACAAATACGTGGTGAGATTAGAGAATCTTCCAGAGCCACATGGACGCTCCTTATCCCAATGTTTTTCAGGTCAAAAGTCGCATTTCGCATGAAACTTTCACCTTCAAGGGATGCTGGGCGTCTCAATGAATATACTTACCAGCATCTGGAGCCCTGGCCGAACTTCCTGGGGTGAGAATACCACAAATTTTTGAATCCCATGGTGAATGCTTCGGAGACTTTTCACGAAAAGAGGAAGACACTTGGAAAGTTGCCTGGAAGTTTGACAACGTTGCTTGGAAGTGCGGCGAATTTCCATTGGAATGTTCGAAAAATATTTATTGCAAATTCTTCACAAATCAGTTTACAATTTCATTATATTTTCTACAAAATAATAGTTTTTATGTAATTACAATTCATATGTTGGTTTTATTTGCACATTTATGCAATTTCAATTGTTAAGGAAAGAACACTGGAATTCGGAAGATCAAAATTTAAAATGTTAACATAATAACAGACTGACTCACGCTGAGCCTGTTGAAAAGATAAATTATTTCTAATAGCAATCATTGTCGCGATAATAATAAAAGCTCACTTCTCTCCATCAATGTCCTCAAGAAGAGGTGCAAACATACTCTTGGGAAATGAAATGTTCCCAAAGAGCGCTTCACCAGAGGAGTTGTTTGATTCTCTTGCGTCCTGATTAGCAATCACGTGACGTGTCTTCACGTGCTTGTCACGATCGCCCCGCTGTCGGAAATGCTTCAAGCAATAAATGCAGGCAAAGGGCTTCTCACCTGTGTGAATCCTCTGGTGATTCTTCAGCGCATCCGCTCGGTAAAAGCGCTTTCCACAATCCTCGCAACCATATCTGCGCTCCCCTCTGTGAATCAGGCGATGCTGATAAAACACGGAGCCGGTGAGGAAGCGCTTTCCGCATGTGAGGCAGTGATAAGGACGCTCTCCAGTGTGACACTTCCTGATGTGATCATTGAGATCAGGACGTATGGTGAAACGCCTTGAGCAGCCCTCTTCGCGGCAAATAAATGGCTTCACGCCACGATGGAAGCGGAGATGTTGCCAGAGATGAGAAGATTGGGTGTAAGTCTTGCCACAGACATCGCAGAGATATTGGCGATCCTTTCGAGTCATCACTCTCTTAGGCTTCCTCACGTGTTTTGCCTCATAGTGCTGCATGAACTCTGTCGCAGTGCAGCCAAGGAATCCACAAATCTCGCAGTTGATCATGAACTCATTCGTATCCTGCGCCAGACGCGGAAAGAGGTGAACTGCCTTGTACCTGGAGGATAATCGTAATGCTTTGGTGAACAAACTTGCAAAGAGGAATTATTGTTCTCTCTTACCTGTGATTGTGAAGAGCATCCAGAGTGGGGAACTTGTTGTCGCACACGTTGCAGAGAAAGAAAGTCTCGAGGTGAATCTGCTCCTGAGTGGCCTCCCTCACGAAAGGACACTCAAACTGCCAATGAGAGAGGATTTCCTTACTCGTGTGCATGTTCACCTCGCAACTGAAGCAGAGAAATCCGAGCTTAGGATCATGGTGAGAAGTGTGCTTCAGCAAATCCATTTTGTCCATGAAGACAAATTCACAGAACTCGCACTGAAGCACGAAACTCAGTGTCACGACCGTCAAGAAGTTTCCGGGAGGATTCCTGTTCCAGTTTGACTCTCCATATGCCATCTCTCTGAGGTTTTGCATCGAGAATTCTACATTCCTCTCCGTCGGAATGAAGACATCAGCTTCTTCTGCATTCCGCTCCTCTTCCTCCTCCTCATCTATGGCAGAGTGGCAGCAGGACTCCAGGTGATCTCGGGCAATCTTGGGAGTGGGAAAAATCCTCCCGCAAATCAGGCACTTCACAACAACATCACAGTTCAGTAAGGCGGAGCCTCCTTGATGAGATCTCTGCAGATTCTCAAGCGTGTGCTTCTCCATGTGCTTCGCCAGGCCAGAAGCGTGCACGAACTTCCTGTCGCACAGACTACAATCGTGGGGCCCGTCCTTCTTCTTTGACCTCGTCGTCACTGGCTGAGTGTCCACTTTGAGTTCCTCCTTGATGAACTTCTTCAGCCTCAAGGAGTTCTCTCTCATCTGGGAGAAGCAAGAGTGCTCCTTCTCATCAAACACCTTCACAGGGGAGCAAAGGATTCCCCTAGAAGCCTTCTCGGACGCTGTCTCATTGATCTTCCTCTGGTACTCATTATATTCGCACACGTGCTTCTGAAATTCCAACCAGGAGAATATACACTCACAGTTTTCGCATTGAATGTCGCAATCCTGCTCGTTGACCAGCAAAAAAACGTCTTTTTCCTCCTCTTGCGATTGCGTGATTCCTGGCTCTTCCTGCGCAGAAATCTCCACGTTTTCCTGCACAATATCCGCTGTTTCCATGTCAATCTCGGTGCTGGGGAAGTCCATTGCCGATCCACTGGAGAGAATATTCTGGATTTCTTCTGTTTCCTTCGATAAATTCTCCCAACTCTCCATCTTGACTCGGGAAACTCCTCGTGAAAAATGCGCTTTTGTTTTTCCGCGAGAAAAAGCACACTTTGGTGACGCGCACATTTCGAAAAAGCCCGCGTACTATAACGATTTATAGCACGTTCCGGGTGTCATTGCATTATAAGCATGATAAGCCAATTCTCTAAATCTACTCAATTAGACAGATATCTCGCTATCTTTTGAACTGTCCATTCGATTAGGTAATTCAATCAGTGGCTTTTAAGGTGCTCCTGGAAGAGATATCCCGTGTAAAATGCAGAAACTTGCTGTCTTCGGAGGCACCGGAATGACCGGGCAGTGTGTTGTGGATCATGCGCTGAAAAAAGGTGGGAAAACCTACACGGGGAGATTTCATAATTAACTCTCCCTCCTTATCAGGCTTAAAGCTGCGCCTCCTCGTCCGGGACATGAAGACAGTGCCCAACACCTTCCGTGACAAGGTGGAGATCATTATGGGCGACTGCACGGATTACGCCAAGGTTCTTGAAGTAGTTCAGGGCACTAATGGTGTGGCTGTGGCTCTGGGCACCAGGAATAATCTTGAGCCCACCACTGAGCTCTCTGTCGGCCTGGAGAACATCCTGAAAGCAATGAAAGAGGCATCGATCCAGAAGATCTCCGTGTGCTTGTCATCATTTCTCTATTTCGAGCCCGAAAAGGTGCCCACGATCTTCGAGCACATCACTGAGGAGCATCGGAGGATGCTGAATCTGCTGAAGGCATCAGAATCCGAGTGGAGAGCTGTTCTTCCTCCTCACATTGCTGGTGAGTAAAATTTTTTTTTATTCCGGTGCTAGAAAGTAAAATCGTTATATTCGCCGTGATTTTGAAATCCACCCTGGGCGAAAATCAATATCGAAACCCGCCCGACCGAACCCGAAAACCTCCCGAGCTTGAGCCGAGCAGCGGAAAATTACAGCGAAGTCCGAAGATACTCACTTTGCGTTGGAAGTTCAACGAATCGGCATCGCGTAGCAGAAATCTCGGATTTTCTGCAAGTTTTTTCACAAGTAAACGCAAACTTTCCACCCTGCAACCCTGATTGGTGTCACGGGAAAAGCCCTGACACCAATTTTGTTGATTTCGAGCCGGATTTTAATTGGATCCTCTAGAAGGTAAGTTTCCGGGTAAACGCCGAAATCCCCACGTGTATTTTTTTTGTTGACATTTGCATTGGAAAGAAGCGCTTTTCTTAGTAAAATACTTTAATTTCTGCAAGTTTTTGGCATTGAAAATACTCCTCCATTGTTCTTTAACACTATTGCTGTAAAAATTTGCCTGCAATCTGTAAGTTTGTGGAAGATTCTTACATATCTTTGTCTTTCTCTCTCTCTCTTTGCCGAACAGATGAGCCTTCAGCGGAGTTCCAGGTGCTCCAGGACAAGTCTCCCGGACGCACCATATCCAAACTGGACCTGGGGAAGTTCCTCGTGGACTGCCTGACGCAGGAGCAGTACATCCGGCGCGTCCTCGGCATCGCCACGGTGAAGAGGAGCTAAATCAGTGTCCGGAAGAGAGTGAATAAATATATCATGTCTCTGTACATCTGGTGATTTGGAAGGCGTTCAAAATGCGATGATTTATGGCCCGTGTGCTATCTCCCCTTGGCATTGTCCTCGTCTGGGTCGTTCTTCAGCGTCTTCTTCATGTAGTGTTTGCGTGTGGTGGCCGTGGGTCGCTTGAAGTTAACCTTTCCGTAGATGGAGATGGGCTCGCACTCTACGTATCCCAGCTTCCCGTAGAAGCGCACCTGGTCGACCGTGGAGAGGTAGATGATGGACATTTGCAGCCGCTGCGAGCAGTACTGCTCAGCCTGCCGCATGAGGTACGTGCCCAGTCCCTGCCCGCGGCACTCCTTCGTCACCACCACCGACTCCAGGAAGCACGCGCTGGCGTCCCAAGGCACGGGTGTGATCTTGATGTGGGCTAGAACGAAGGAGTCACTCTTGAGGAGGACCAGGTTCGTGGGTGGGCTCTCTGAGGAATTGCACAGCTGCGCCATGCGCGCCCCAAGACTCCTCGGCCACTCGTCATTAATAAGCCGGGCGCACGACTCAATGAGATCTGGGCGTTTGTGGATGGGGATCACACTCAACGGGCCACATGGATTATCACACAAATCGGGCAGTCCCTGGAACAGACAAGCATTCAGGATTCAGGGAAGACAGACACACATCTGGACAAGTGAGTGCTATTAAATTACACGGCAAGAGTGGTGAATTCTACACAGAGACGTACAAAATCTAACAACTTTTTCGTCAGCAATTTCCCTATCGTTCGACTCGTGCCAAATTTTTTTTCACTTTCAATTGAATAAAATCTCTATAAATTCTTCACTCAATTCACAAATTAACGGCATTTTAAACGATTCACGACAGCTGCTAAATTTCCTTCACTTTTATTGGATTTACGTAATAGATTGGCTCGGCGCGCTTTCTGCTGTACGGTTTTATTGATTGTCCTTTGCCAAAATTAGCTCCTTTTGCTCAATTCTGATCACCTTTGATTACAGACTTTGCTACCTTTCGATAAAATCTTGGATTTGATGCAAGAGAAAGAGTTTTGGCTGCCAAAACTTACAGTTATTTCCTGCATTATAATGATGAGCTTGAATAATCGATTTATCTAAGTTCTGCAATGCTTTTATGAACTCTTATCAGATAAGAAAATCGGTCTCAATTCCGAGAAAAATATTTTCTGTTTTAATAATTTTTCCAATATCTCGGTCAATATAATAATTACCTACAGTTCATTATAGTTTCAGGAGCTAATTTCTTGGCAGAATCAATATACAAAAAACCCATGAAATTTAGGAATTTGATCTTGCTTTGATTACAAACGTAACATGTAATTTAACAACACTTAACCGGGGAAAGGCGCTGAAGGATGTTACAAATTATACCAAGATTTCCTTGATGATTTCCGTCATTTTTCCTCTGTTTCCCTCCTAGGCACTCTTGAACCTCCTTCCACTGACCAAGACCCACGTAACAGACACAGTTTCCCGAACTTGTGGCACTGTGCGTTCTCGCGAGTGTCTCTCGATGGACTGTGGGAAAATTGAGGGAAATCTCATGTTCTCGGAGGAAGTGTGCGAAAATACGAGACGGAGTTCAAGATCGTTTCACACGGGATATAATTGCCAACATTCGTGCCAACACTTGGGCGAGAGTGGGCAAAATCGAGGAAAATTGGGAAATTTTCAAGGGTATTTCCTAATCTCTAAAAATACACACAACTCACCATGGTGTGGCAAAAATGCGTGAAAAATGCACGTTAATCAATCACTTGGCTTCTCACTTGGATACGTCAGTTTTCCTTATGCAGGAAATTTCACTTTCTACTAATTTACTTCGCCATTCTCACGTGATTTTAGAAGATATTTGAGAATTTTCCTCGGAGGAAAAATCACGCAAGACTCCCCCACTTTGTTTACTATTTGACTGCCATGCTGTGAGTTCGACGTCGAAAATACATTTCGAAAATACACTGTGAAAAAGTTTATCACAAGGAAGGTTTTTATTTTGAAATTATTAGCAATATTTATCACCCAAACTTCTAAGTTGTAATCTGAAAAGCATCTGAGTGATGGCCGAAAATTTCCAAGATTTCATGTCTGCGCTGTCGATATTACATCTGTAAACTACTATTCCCAATTTTTTTACAGTGTATTTGGTGTCAGATTTTTTTTTGTAAACAATTGTGTTGTCAACTGGAAAGTGCTCTACAATTTTCATCAATTCCTCCATAAATAAACCGTGAGTTGTGTGAAGAGCAGCTAAAGTTCTGTGAAAACTAACTCTAGACTACTCTCCAGATGATGCCTGGTCGGTTGGGAATGCCAATTGCCCAGGAGCCACTGTGGATTTCGTGGCACGACTCCAACTGGATACCCATCCTCAATCCTACAAATGTTATGGACTATTTCTCCGAGAAATCCAATCCTTTCTACGACAGGACCTGCAACAATGAGCTGGTTAAGATGCAGAGACAGAGCCTGGAGCAGCTCAAGTGAGGAAATCCTTTCCTGCATCTCTCTGAGTGGCATTTTCTGAAGCTTCTCTGTTTTGCAGCAACATGATTGGTGTGGAATTCATTCTGCTCCACGTTCAAGATCCCATTCTGTATGTTATCCGAAAGCAACACAGGCACTCGCCCACAGAGGCTACGCCCATTGCGGATTACTATATCATCGCTGGTACAGTGTATCAAGCTCCAGACCTGGCGAGTGTCTTCAACTCTCGCCTTTTGTCAGCTGTGCATCATCTGCAGAGTGCCTTTGAGGAATCCTCGGGCTACTCTCGCTACCATCCCAACAAAGGCTACACTTGGGACTTTTCCTCCAACAAAGCTCGTAAGTACTTCGAAAAGATCCCCCACAGCGATCTCTAATAATCTTATTTCTTAACAGTCACTGACAAGTCCAAGACTCAGACGAAGAAGGAACCAGCGCCAGCCAAGGAAGAAGCCAGTTCCCTATTCCAGCGCAAAAGAGTTGATATGCTGTTGGGAGAATTGATAAGAAAGTTCCCACTTCCACTCCCAACATCGCACCAGAATCCCGCCCAGCAACCATCCAATGTGAATGGGAACATCAAGAAAGAGCCGGAAACAGATACGAAGCCCGATGTAGGTGGTCAGGAACTTGGCGGAACACAAGCAAATGGGGCTGAAAATGAGAATGGGGCTCCGGGAAGTCTCCTGACAGATATCAAGACAGAGAACAAGAGTGAAATGAAACCACCGCCTGAGAAAAAGATGAAATTTAACTAGAATTAGAGAAAATACAAGATTTATAATCAACATAATGCAGTTTGTTTACATTTCCCAATCGAATTGATGTCATTTTGTGAGCTTCCGCATTTGAGGCGAAAATGTCCTCTAAATGAGCAAAAATGAGTGAGTCAAGTAGGAAATCAGAATCTATATCAAATTCTTTATCACATAGTTCAATTAAAATACATTTTAATTGATTTTAGGGTGAATAAACACTGCCTTTCGAATTGTGAGGTTATGCTAGTGCCTGGAGATATGCTTGAATTATCCGATAACTACGAACATGCTGACCAGAAAATTGAATATCTGGTAGAGAATGAAATCTTCTATCCATCTCATATTACAAAATCCTTCGAGGACCTTAGAGAAGCATTTAATAGTCACCTTTCCTCGAGCTGCAATTGCTCAGAAGAATGCTCAACAGAATTTTGCTCTCACGGCGGATGTTATAAAGAATTCTCGTATCCAGAGAGCTCCAAGGCTGAATTAATCCTGAATGAATTTAGGAAGAACAGGGAATTCATCTATGAATGTTCACAGTTTTGTAAATGCCCTGAAACATGCAGAAATCGGCTAGTTCAATTCGGTCCGCGGCTTGATCTGGAAGTAAGAGATTGCGGGACAGAAAAAAGGCAAGGATTATTCACAAAAGCTGTAATTCCTGTTGGAGGATTTATCTGCGAATATGCTGGAGAACTTCTGACGAAGAGTGAGGCAGTCAGGAGAGATGCTATGAAGGATCCCATGAAATACCTGCTGTGTCTCAATGAAATCTCATCGGATGGTGTGAAATCTCAAACGTTCGTTGATCCTATCCGGAAAGGAAACATCGGAAGGTATCTAAATCATAGCTGTGACCCTAATTGTGAGATTATCTGTGTCAGGATTGACAATATCCTTCCAAAACTTGGTGAGTTCTTCCTCAAAACATTAAATAATATTCTGAGAAGTGCAATTTTCTTTCATTTAGGAATTTTTGCCACTCGGCAAATTGCTCCAGAGGAAGAACTGACTTTTGACTATGCTGAAGGATGCAGTCAGGCTAGTACTGGAGATAAAACCTGCCTTTGTATGTCGGAAAAGTGTAGAAAATTTCTTCCAAATACATGTTTCTAGGGAATCGTTACAATTCAAAGCTCTTTTTCGATGATGTGAAGTAAGTTGAACTCAATTGGAACTGTCATTGGAAGTGTATTTTTTTGGGGGAAAAAACTTGGTATTTTTTGCATCGATTTTCCGCTAAATAATTAACAAATTCCCCAGTCCGGTTGTTGATGCTGCATCACGAACGGAGTGTGGATTGCTGAGTGATTGAGTTCCTCACTGGCGGAGGGAAAATTCCGTGCCAATTTCGCACCATCAATGCATCACCTTTTTCACCGAGACTTCCAGTAACTTCTGCAGTCAGTTTTTCTCGTCACATCCCGCGAGGCAGTGTAGCGATTCTTGTGGCAAGAAGGTGGAGCTTGAGGGAGGAGACAAGGTAGCGCTCCCTCGCCATGTCACATCCAGTGACAACGGACACCGTAAACGGGTCGGTGAACGCCACTCCGGAACAGAGCAATCATCAGCCAAATGTGCGACACATACCGATCTTCGTTGAAGGTCGCGATGAGCCAGTGATTAACAAGAACTTTGACACCACCCCGTCGCAGAGCGCATCCGGGAGTGACAAGGGCTCACCGAATGCCAGCTTTGGCGAGCCTGGGAGTCTGTTCAGTCGCGTCAAAAGCTTCCCCGTGCGGTCCAGCTTCGACAGCGAGCTGTTCCAGAAGGCTGGCGCCAGGACCGCCTCGCCGGGACGCACAGTGCCCATCAAGGTCCACCAGCAAGCGCCTCAGCAGACATCGAGTGCCCAGCAGGCGCCAGCAAAAGCGCCAGAAGTGCCTGAATCGAAGCCCCAGTCGAATGCCAAGCCAGATTCGCGAGCGGAGGCTGCTAAACAGTTGCCTAGAGATGATCTCATCGGGAAGATCGAGAGGATCCAGAAGGACGTCCTCGCGCTGATGGACCAGGTGGAGAAGTACACGGGGACATCGCGAAGGGATAAGCAGTATCTCTACTTGGACGAGATGCTAACCCAGAACCTCCTGAAGCTCGACACAATCGACACCGATGGCCAGGAGAAGATCAAGCAGGCGCGCCGCAATGCCATCGCGTGCATCAATCAATGCATCGCTGTCCTCGAGCAGAAGACCGACGCAGCTGCCAAGAATGGCGACGCATCTGCAGCATCCCGGGAATCCGCGAAGGCGCCGAAGGAGGCAGAAAGTGAAGCTAGTCAAAGGAAGTGAACTCTGAGGACAATGAAAATACCTCTCTGAGCAATTTTCAGTATCAATTATTCCATTTTCCGCCCTAGAGGATTGGCGTCCCTATTTATATGCCCCATAAATAGGTGATTGATTGAATTTAGCAGCCAATCTGTAGAGAAATCTTATTCATCAAAAGTACTAACGAACGCTAAATTACAAATTTCTATGATAAAATAATAGAGAGCAAGAGAAGAGGATTATTCTTGCAAGAGGCTTAGTTCTCAGTCTACCAAGATTTATTCTACATTTCAGCTTAACCGAATTAACCAATAAAATGTATAGATTTTCCTTTGATCGAACTCCGATTGGCTGGGAAAAAGGAACTTCTGCGATAGATTCGAAGTGAGGTTTCGTTGCCTTTTTCCCAATCAATTTAGTGAGACAGTTGAAGAGATAAACTTTCAGAAAGGAGAGGTAATATATTTTCTTAATATTTGTTTTTTATTATTTGTGTATTTAAGTGTAATTGTTAACGAATTCTCGCAAAGTTCAAATGAAAATTCACCACAATTTTCAATCCAATTCGTGAGATTGGTTGGAATTTCCAATAGAGATTTTTCCATGATGTACAAGATAAATGTTTAAGTTCAAAGGACACGCGAAGAAATTCCTGAATGTGTAACAAGAGAAGTTTCAAGAGTTTAATATATATATGTATACTGCAATTACTATATAGATATTTTACTAAATTATTGTACATTTTGATGATCAAAGTGATACTCCTAGGAATGCCTAAATAAAGAGCCACACACACGTATTTAGCTCCTTTCGCATATTATCTCCACGGCGTTCGGCTCCATTAGAATGGGCTCCAGGCACCTGTGCACGGCAGAACCCAGAATCTCGTCCAGCAGGAAGTGCACGAGATTCTCATCTGAGACAAACTTCCACAGATTCATTTGCAAATAGTGTGCATCCACTTGGATCTGCTGCAGGCCGAATTTGCTGAATGTTCTCAGCCTCACGCACTCCAGGAGCGTCTTGAGGCTGATCTTGATGATCCCCGTGACAATGGACACCTTGGAGAACTCCACGGAACTGAAGATTTCAATGCGCTCCGTGAAGAGTCGATGAATGTTGGATGCGAAGCTGCTCTCGAGCTGTGAAGGAGTGTACGTGGACCAATTGGAGCGGAAAGGTTGCTTCGTCGCCGACATGCTGAAATGAGTCTTGCGACTGGAGTCACTAGAAGCGGCTGTTCTCGTCCCAGAATCGTACAATCCACTGAGAATCTCCTCGATGGAGTTTAATTCTTCAACGACACGCTTCATCACAGCACGCACTGACCGTGGCTCTAGGCAATTTAGCCAATCCCTTGTCTCCACGCTCTTGCGCAGCATTTGAGAGATGTTGAGTCCCTGCATTCGCACGTACGTGTCCAGGAGGGCCTGGGCGGCGTCTCGCATTTCAGCACACAACTCACTTTCGTGCGTGAGAGTGGCAGAATTCTCCGATTCAATTTCATACAAGTCATCGACGAGAGACATGAGTGAGTGGATGCCCACTTGATCCATCTCCAGGCAGGTTTTCGAGAGAACTAGCAAGAGATTTGGTGGCGAAGAGGAGTTGACACTGCAAAAGGACATCATCACCTCAATTATGTGATGAATGAAGGCCACCAGAAGATTCTCTCGTATTCCATCAACGCACAGAGATCCCTTGTAGTTACTCTTGAGATTGAATGACCATTCTGGCTGCAGGAAGACCAACAAGTCCTGCAGCACTCCCTTCACCTTCTCCACGGTGGAGAAGAACAGGTTCGAAATGAGCTCACTGAAGCTTGGCGTCGCTGAGTCACTCCTCGTTGTCACCAGAGCCAATCTCACTGAACTCATGCGGTCCCCAAAGTGCTCCTTGAGAGTTCTAAAGTGTGATTTGCAGAGTTGGTGAGCAGCATTAATCACTATTTCTATTCCTGTTTTTGTCATGTCAATCGATCGGCAGAGATTCCCCATCGCCAGTAGTCGCCGATGGAGTCTGTCCAGAGCTCTGAGCATCACCTGGGAATCCCCTCTGCCCATCTCAGCTTCCACGCGATCCTGCACAAGTGCCATGTACTTATCCATATTCTTCTGGACAAACTGATTGAGATCCTCAGTGGCGATTTCAATGAAATCATCGCGCTCCTGCTCAATCAGCCTGCTCAGGAACATGTCCTTGTATGAGCTGACAACGAGATTGAGATCTTTGAGGAAGCCATCGAGTCCCAGATCTACAAATTCTATCATATCCCGATCTGTCTGGTCTTGAAGCATCACAATCTGCTCATGCAGTCTCTGATTTGCACTCTGGAGCATTTCCTTTGCCAAATCACTAGGCTTCTCTCCCAATTGGAGGAGCAATTCCCCAGTTCTCGTCAGACTCTGAGCGCTTTGACCAGCAGCCTGGAAGTCCTTCTTCAGACGCTCTTTCATCTCTGCCACAATTTCCAGACAATCCTCTTGAATGCCCTGGAATGACGGCTGACTTCCATACTGCTCAAGCACCTTCTGGGCATGAGCATAGTCCTGCACTGCTTGCGCGTAGTTCTCCTCCTCAATCAGCGTCTTCATCTTCGCCGGGAGCGTTGACAGAAACTGCAATCGCTTCAACAAAGAGTGCTTCTCGGATAATTTGCTGAGCTGCTGACGTGTGTCTTGCAGTGTTCCTGTTATCTGCTCACTGAACACCGTGATGGAGTTCATATTGGACGCCAAAAGATTCATTTCAGTCTCCATTCGCTTAAAATCTGTTTTCATCTTCCGAATGGTGTCCGTGGCTGAGATGAACTTGTTGTAGTTCTCATACACCAGCGTTTGCATGTCGCTGTGAAGAGTCTGCGTGTCCTTCACGATGTTCGCTTCCGTGTCCATTATTTGCTTCAAGGAGCGCTCCTGCAAAAGAGTTTAAAAGACTCATGTTTAGAACTCGTCAAGAAGATATTTTGATGACGTACCTTCAGGAGTTTCTCCAAATACAAGTCAGCATCGAAGCTAGGACCGTCCATATTCAAAGGATCACTAGCTCTTTCACCCATGATCACTGTAAACCGATAATTTTCACGAAAAAACACGTCTTTCTGGGAAAAATATGGGCTTGAATTGGTCCAGAACTCTCATCCTAATATAGCCCAGAATACTAGTTGTCATATTGATATATCAATCTCTTTCGATAATCGCTCCACTTTCCGATATTTTATCAATTTTGAAAAATTACTCAATATATGGATTAATTCTTCAAAAATGTGCCATAAAGTGAAATAGAAAAATTTAACATTTCCAATATCATTAGAAAAATATGCAAATTTCTGTGAAAATCATAAAAATCTCCCACCTTTCTAAAGTCTACAATTTTCTACATCGATATGTAATCAATCGGACTGGCGTATAAAATTGGGTAATCAGCTGATATGTTGACAGTTGCATGGAAAATCCTTCTGTTTACATCACGCACATTCTCCATATCCGCGGATTTTTCACGTAATTCCCGACAATGGTTGTCGGCGCATTTCCTGCAGCAAAGCTTGGTGTTCTTTTCCTCAAGCAGATCAGCAAACCCATTGCAAACTTCATGAAGAATCAGGCGAAAAAGAGTCCCTTCTTCCGACAATACATTTGCATGCCTCCCGCTCAGCGTGAGTATTTCTGGAGCCTCAGGACGAAATCGATTCTGAATTTCTGTATTCCTCCTCGTCTAGTGTACAACTGGTGGGAGGTGCAAGCGAAGATGTGGTCTATGAATCTAGGAAAGCCGACCAACGTACAACCTCTGAACGAAGCCATGGCGATAGAATTGGGTGCAAATCTCCTCGGCGAGGTTATCATTTTCGCGATAGGGGCTGGTCTCCTCATCCTAGAATACACAAGGTAGTTCTTCTTACTTAAACTAATTGATTCACTGTCTTATTTCGTGTGGTATTCCAGACAAGTGAAGAAAGACAATACAAATCAGGAGAAAGCTCTTCAGGAGAAACTAGAATTAAATCTCAAGCTTCAGGAGCTACAATTGAGAGGAGAGAGGCAGGATGCACAGCTTCGTGAACTCACGAGAATCCTTGCGGATGTAGAATCACGAACGTGGCTGCCAAAGAAGCCTTTCAAGAAAAGCGAAAGCTCTCCTGCTTTGCAAACCAGTTGGAATCGAAAATCATCAGGCAGATTCGAAGTCGAGGATGTTAATGGAAGACTCAACCACTCTCCAGTACCAACTGGATTCATTCACAGAGCCCTGGAACTGGTAGAAGAGGAAATCTTCTCGGGGGATGAGGATGATCGAGACGAGGAAGTCAAGAAATTAGGAAGGATTTCTCAAGCTCTCGTCTACTTGCGATACCAGTAAAGTTATTGATTTGTCAGAGGGTTATTACATAGTTTTCCCGCAAAATTCAGCAATATGTATTTTCCTATTTGAAATTATTTCATCATCGATCGGATTGGTCTGGAAGGATCTGGAAAGCCCGGATTTCCAATAAGATTCTAAGGTTATGTTTTGACCGCTGACAGGCGAAGCGTCGAAAATTGGCAACATCATCGTTTTCCAAATTGGGAGTGTTTTCCAGTCTTCTGACCATATTGCAAGTAAGTGGTCACTCGAGGATATCACAGAGAGACGTATAACTCAGTAATTGTCCAGAATTTCAGTTATGATCGACAAGAAGCAGTACATTTTGCCCAACAGCCAACCCATTGGTGATCTCGAGTGCAAACAAGCGTTCCAGAATCTTACGCCGGAAGAGAAATTCTACGCTCACTTCTTCAGTCGTGCCTCGTGGAATGGGGGTCTGATCGCTCTGATTCAGACCAGTCCGGAGGCCCCACTGATTTTCTCACTGCTGCACAGGATTTTCCTCGCGGAATCCGTTGAGAGTCTCAAGGAAGCTGCATTGAAGACCGGTTCGGTCACTGAGGAGCACTTCACGGTGAGTTCTGAATAAGCATTTTCCAACCATATGATTTACTGAATTGATTGTCCACATAGGCATTCATTGTCTATTGCTGCGGCTTCTTTGGCAATGGAGGCAACTACAAGAGCATGGGAGACACCAAATTCTTGCCCAATGTCGATGAGAAGATCGTGGAGGCAATCGTTCGGTCTTCCAAGGCGTATCAGGAGGACGAGAAGACGATCGATGGTCTGTGGCAGAAGAGCAAGAAAGGAATCTTCCTACTCACGGAGCGCACAAAGAACCTTGGCTTCAAGGGTCAGGGAATCACCACGTACTTCTCGGCCAACTGCACCAAGGAGGATGCGGATTTTGTCAACGAGTGGCTGAAGGTGAAGAGAATCGAGGCCTACATCTGCAGAACCTTCAAGATCGTCAATGAGAGTGGAACTTTGTATGATATAAAGTTGGCCAGCATCGAGACTGGAGACAAGGAGGGCCTGACTCTTGCCGAGGAGGAGTTCAAAGGATGCAAATTTCGAGTGACACGTGGGGATTACAGGCAGCTGCTGAAGCTAGTGACTGCGAACCTCAAGGAGGCGCAGAAGTACGCTGCGAATGCCAATCAGCAGAAGATGATCGAGCACTACGTGCGGAGCTTTGAACAGGGCAGTCTTGAGGATCACAAGGATGGATCGAGATTCTGGATTCGCGACAAGGGACCAGTGATCGAGACGTACATTGGCTTCATCGAGACATATCGCGATCCCGCTGGCCAGAGGGGAGAATTCGAGGGATTTGTGGCGATGGTGAACAAAGAGATGTCCGCCAAATTTGGTGCCTTAGTCTCAAATGCTGAGAGCTTCCTCAACTACTTGCCTTGGGGTGAACATTTCGAGAAGGACAACTACCTGAAGCCCGATTTCACATCTCTGGACATTCTCACGTATGCCGGGAGTGGCGTTCCCGTTGGAATTAATATTCCCAACTACGACGAGATCCGCCAGAATGAGGGCTTCAAGAACGTGTCGCTGGGAAATGTGCTGGCCAACACCAACAAGACCGATGCGATTCCCTTTCTCTCCGAGGAGGATCAGGTCTTGATGAAGAAGTACAAGTCGGCGGCCTTTGAAGTGCAAGTGGGTTTGCACGAGCTTCTGGGTCATGGCAGTGGAAAACTCTTCCGCGTGAATGAGCAGGGCCACCTGAACTTCACCAAGTTGGCCGTGAAGAACCCACTGACGGGGGGCCCCATTGAGTCTTGGTACATGCCTGGGGAGACGTACGATTCCAAGTTCACCACAATGGGATCGTCGTATGAGGAGTGCCGGGCTGAGGCGGTGGGACTCTACTTGAGTCTCAACAAGGATGTTCTCAGGATTTTCGGACACGAGGGCGAGGAGGCCGAGGACATCATCTACGTGAATTGGCTGCTGCTGATCTGGGGCGGAGTTGGACTGGCCATGGAACTGTATAATCCCACCAGTAAGCAGTGGCTGCAGGCGCACTACCAGGCCAGGTTCGTGATCATGAAGGTGCTTCTCGAGGCAGGCAATGGACTGATCACGGTCGAGGAGACTGAGGCGGGAAAGAACCTCCTTCTGAAGGTGGACAGGACTAAGATCCCGACTGTCGGAAAGGAGGCCCTTCGCATCTTCCTGACCAAGTTGCAGGTCTTCAAGTCCACGGGAGACATAGACAACGCGCGCAAGATGTACGATCACTACTCAGAGGTGAGCGAAGGTGGAACCTATCCCTGGGCCAAGTGGCGCGACATTGTTCTGCTGCACAAGAAGCCACGCATGATCTATCTGCAGTCCAACACTGTGCTGGCTGAGGATGGAAGTGTGCAACTGAAGACGTACGATGCCAGCTTCGAGGGCTACATTCAGTCCTGGGTGGACAGATTCAACACCACCGAAATCGATGGTATTCTCGAGGATCTGGCGGCGGAGAATAGCCAATACTTCGCTGAGTTGCTGTAGGACTCCTCACTTTATAAAAAGCATTTTATACAGAGAAATGTATTATTTTGTTCAGGTTCTTCGGTTCTTCTGATTTTCAATAAATAATCACAGATGCAGTTCTTGGACTACTGGTGCTCCTCTGTGGCCAGGATGTGACTTGTACACTCCAACGCAGGTCTCATTGAGCTTGGCATCGCCTTCTCTCCTCGCACGGCAAGATTTGCAGTTGGACACGGAAGATGTGAATCTCACGATGAGATTCGAGTCTCCTCCGTTCGGCCCAGCCAAGTATGGACATTCCAGATTAAGCTTCTCCGCATTTCGAATGCAGCACTCAAGGAAATCGTGATTGGCTGAGAAGAGCGCATTCCTCCTGTCCAAATGCAAGGAGAGCTTCTTGCCCAAAATTCCAGTCACGAAGATGTCGTCGATCCAGAAGAAAGGAGTCTTCTGCGAGGCAATCACCAATTCCTGGGCAGTTCTCTGGTTCGTCATGTACAGCCAACCGGACAAATACTGTGGATAAATTGCATCTCTGAACTCTCGATGGCTCACGAACCACTTGCTGGGCTTCATCCGTATGGGTTTCTGGTTGCTCTGGACGTAGCCTGAGAGCAGCAATTCCCCTTCATCGTGAGAGACTCTGAACTCCTCAAGAAGACTCCTGAGCTTGGTGGAGTCAAAGACTGTGTCATCATCCATTTTCACAATGAAGGAAGCTCGGGAACAGTTCAGCGTCGCCCACTTGAGACCCATCACATGCTTATACGTCAGATTGCGATAGGCATCGACAAAGTTTCCCTGCAGAACATCCTGGAATCGTTTGTGCTCTCCCTCGATGGCAGACTGGGTGATAAATTTCTCCTGGACAGGAATTTCAGCCAGAAGGAATATCCTTATCAATCCCATCGCTTTCAGCTCATTCTGAGGAAGTGCTCTTCGGTGAGCTGACCGAAGATCATCGTGGGTCACGTAGGAGGAGACCAGAATAACTCCCAGCAAGTCTGATGGTTCATCTTGACAGATGTTCCCGGGTTCCAGATGATATGAAGCTGTTGATGCGACAAGATCCACAAGGCGATCAGTTTCTATTGAGTGCGTCAGGTGTCTGTACGAAATCTTAGGCCGGTAGATCAGTTGTCTGTTGAGATTGTAGAACAGCAGGTACACCAGGAAGAGTGCCAGAAGAATCCGGGAAGTAATCACGCAATTCAATCGAGGAAGCATTCTTCCAACTGCCACCACCAGAGGCGCTCAGGTTGTCCGAAAGTCTTCAGTCATTTGCCGTGCGTTTTCTGACCCAATTCATCTGGAATTCTTAGACGTGGAAATACTCACTCACTGGCCATGTCTCTGCTCTACATCCTCATCCCTGTGGGTGTCGGCGCCGCGTTGTACGTGATGAGGAAGTTGCGGGAGCGTCATTTCGGCTGGGTGAGGAATAATTCCAGCCTGAAGGATCGCATATTCGTGGTGACTGGCGCCAACACTGGGCTGGGCTTTGAGACCACTCGAGCCCTGGTGCATCGCCATGCCACTGTGATTATGGCTTGCAGGAACATGGAAAAGGCACAGGAGGCTATCACTGCAATCCGGAAGGAGACAGGAAATGGTTTCATGGTAAAGATGCTCTTTATAAACAAAGTTTCGTATGACTGAAGGCTCTGACTTTCCTCAGATTCCGCTGGAACTGGATTTGGCATCCTTTGACTCGATCAAGTCGTTCGCAGCGAAACTAATTGCGGATTATCCGCACTTTGACTGCCTGATCAACAATGCAGGATTGGCGCTCAGGACGGAACAGACAACGAAAGAGGGTTTAGAGATGCACTTTGGAGTCAATCATGTGGGTCACTTTCTACTCACTTCTCTCCTGAGTAAGAGGATCAAGGAGAATGCGGCGAGGGTCGTTGTGGTGTCGTCCAAGATGCATGAGAAAGTGACGGTTGATGTTCAGAGCATTGGAAATCCGATTTCTTCCTCACGCCGAGGAAATCCCAACTACAACGCCTCTAAGTTAGCCAACTTCCTATTCGCCAAGGAGTTATACAAGAAAGGCTACGACGCCCACGTACTCTGTCCTGGCCTCTGCCACACGGATTTCTTCAGGGATTACAATCCCAAGTGGTATCACTACGTGCTCTTCTCGCCAATTGCTTGGTGGTATCTGAGATCAGCTCGTCAGGGTGCCCAGAACATTATCCACTGTGCCACGGACAACGTGAATACGGAGGAGAAGAATCCAGGGAAGAACTACTTCGTAGTGAACCTCAAACAGACGAAATCCAAGGCAAGAATCCAAGAGGGGGACTCTGAAACTTTATGGAAAATCAGTGAACAAAAGGCGGGGATCAAATTTGAGTAGAATTCGCAGAATTACTTGTGTTTGTCTTCTTTTTTATCAATGGATTAAAAGGTGGTTTTTGAGATTAGGCAAATTGTCTGCCTTGTAGGAGCACTTGTGACATTGCAGATCTCTTTTGAGTAAGGCTTTAATCTCACTTTCCGGCAATCTCTGTACTCTCCCCATTGTCTCCAGCATTGTTTTGATCCTACAAGTGGGAATGAAGAAGTCCGTGGTAAAAGTGTTCCAGTGATGTTTGCTCTTTATGCAGGGTGAGATAAAATCGTCAGAAATAACGTGGAGATGCAGTCGCTTCATACTCGGCTGAGCGTGGTAACCCATCTTGAAGTCACTGAGCTTTCCTCCAATTACCTCCACTGCATTCTTTCCCATTAACTCTAGCTCCGCCAAGAGGGGTAAGTGACACTTCCTGAGCTGGAAGACACATCAACAGGTTAATTATCTTCCTAATTAAATGTCATAATGACCATAATAACTGTTTTCAACCTGGTAGATATCATCAATGCTCTCATAAGGGAGAACCAGAAAATGATGTCTTGCTTTCGGGTACTTATCACGAATAACTACAACCAAATCATTCTTTATCACAATGGAACTGGGATCTTGCATGGATTTTATCAAATTACGAGACCAATGATTCATTTTGCACTTGTTTTGCACTAATTTCACGCAAATTCCATGGGAGCGAAATGTAAACAAACACATCAGCTGTTTGTTGACACGCGGCAACCTTGACCTTCGGGAAAGCACGAGGATGTTCGAAAGCCCACCGACCATCTTCGAAAAGTACGAAGAGGACACGCCATGTTGTGTTTTTTTGTGTCCAAACACAAATTCAGCAATGGTTTTGAGATTTAAGAGTGATGTCAGTTCTGAAAAAAAGTAATAGAGATAAAACGAGAGCCGCATATGATTCTGAAAGTATTTAGACAGTAATCTTAAGTGATTATTTGCATGAAAAGGTAAAATTTTGACTATAAATCAAGCTATTGATATGCATTGGCAGATGATCTTCTCTCATCGCAGTTGCATGGCGCAATTGGTCGCGATGGCGATTTTTCAGTGAAATCCCAGCTGCAGATCCCAAAAAAAACCGGCTATTAAAATCAATCTCGCTACGCTACTTATTGGAGAAGAAGCAATTTACCAGTCATGTGAGGTACAGTGGCCTAGTTTTCAATTACACATATTTTCACCTTGCCTGCTTTGAAGGGTGAATAATTTGCATCGTACGTGCTTTTGAACAGGTAAAATGAGGGAAAAGGCAATAATTTTCTGCATAGGCATCTTTATTCAAGCAAATGAAGTCTTCGGGAAATAAACCGCTTCAGCAGAGACTTGGAAGATTCTATAGAATTGCTAGAGTGAGAATCTTGCTGAATATTCGTCTCCTCTGATCCCTCATTAGGAGTCGAATAGGTAATGTTCTTGATCCAAGGCACATGGTAGAGAACATCTGTATATATTCCTGGAATGTTTTTCTTGCCACATCCAACTCCCAATGACGTAATTCCATAAAGAGTGTACACATTTTCCTCGTTGAGGCACTGCAATGAAGATTTGCTGAGCTAACATGTGATTTCTTGGATAAATGGTAAACGATTCACCTGAAGAGGTCCTCCGCTATCTCCTTTGCAAGTATCAGTGTCAGAATTCGTACACAAGAAGTCGTCCTTTATATGGAACGGATTGTAGTGAATGTCCCTGAATGTCTTACAAGTTTTTTGATCATACATGTCGACGAGTGCTTTTTGAAGTTCACAAGGTTTGTTAAGTTCATCTTCCTTTATATATCCCATTCCCAGGATTTCTCCGTGATGTGGAAGCTGAGACTCAAGATCAGGGAGACAAATTGGGATTTTCTTTGACGTTCCCGCGAGCTTTACAACGGCAATATCATTGAGCGTGGAAGTATCAGTGAAAACATTTTCAGGATGGAATTCCGGGTGAATAATGACCCAATCTTGGTTAAACTTTTCAGTATTTTCATTTAAATCGCAAATATTGGTCACACCAAGGAGAATGACGAATTCATTCTTCCAATACGACTCGTATTCATTGAAACTGCAAGAAAAAGCACAGGTCAGAACTGACGTGAATTCTTTTCACTCACATCTCACGAGTAACAATGAGCAGCAGTCAAGACATGATGATTTGTTATCAAAGTCCCTCCACATTCTCCATACATATCCTGAGGTCTCTTTAGGAGGGCAAACCAGGGATACTCAACATCAGCTGCAAAACCACCAGCAATTCTTGGTCCAATTGTAGGTAAAACACCACAAACACTTGATGCAAAAGGATCTTCGGTTAAGGGTTCATGTGATTCTCTATGGTGGTAATTTGTGTCGTTTATAAGATTTGTAATAGAAGTGTAGTTATAATCACACGGTTCTTTCATGATCAGATTCGCAGTTATAGCGATCGAAAGGAATTTCTTAACGATACACAATAATTTGTCAAACCATATTTCTGCATATGGAAGTATAAGAACATAACAATACTTTAGAAGAATCGAAAATAATTGAGTTAAGTGGGGTGAAAGAAGTTTCATTATTTTAGAAATATGTTCTATTTTGTGATACAAGATATAAAGTAAAGGGCGTAAAGGGAAATTTGCCAAAAATAAAATACTTAATACAGAAGTAAGTAAGAAAAAGAAAGACATATTAGCTTTCAAAGTTACCGACTTACTGTTCGAGGAACTCCCTTTGCGAAATCTTTATAAACTCTCACTAATGGAAAAATGCATTTTCTGAATCTAATTTACATTTAGATTACATTGTTTAGCATATTAAATTTATTTCCCTCTTGTACATTGAATATCTTTATAATAGGAAATTAAATGTCTTAAAATTAGTGGGAAAAGTAAGTCCTTCCGTAAAATAGTTTGTCTCGCTTAAGATTCATGTGTGGAAATTGATGAGGGTTGTCTCAGGCGAATTCTCACTCCACTTCTTTCCCTCGTTTTCTTCTCCATTTCAGGATCATCTTCAATGTTGAGGGTGGACTTTGCCTGAGTTGAATGCTTTATGTTGTTATTGACATAGTTGATCACTTCATTGGTGCCATCTTCCATTTGTGACTTGTCAACAATGTATTTGGCGATGTTGAAATTTTTGAGAGCTTCTTCATCATTGCGTTTTTGCTGAAGATCTTCATTCTCTTTCTGCAGTCGATCCTCATCGAGTTCAGATTTGTCCAGCTCGTCCGAGATGAGGGCATATCCATTGGACTGCAGGGTTTTTGGCTTAGGCACGTAGAGAGATGTATAAGAAGGATTAAGTGGACTTTTCCACCAGTTTCGGAAAGTTTTCACCGCGTTTCGATCGATTTCGTTGCCATGAACATGATGTGATCCATCGCCAGTTCGCAGGACGCGATTCTTCACCATGTTTGGCGAGGCGGTCTTCCTGTCCCACACCCATCCCAGTTCAGCCAGTCGGTCGATGAAGTATCCTGTGAGATTATAGGGAGTTCCCAGTTCTGACGCTCTGTAGTCCCAGGGAAAGGCATGATGGTAGTTGTGCCATCCTTCGCCAGCAGCCAACATTCCCAGGAAAGCGCTCTCGACGGGCAGCATTGTCTTGTCGTAAGGCCGGGTGCCAAAGAGATGTGCAGCACTGTTCACCAGCCATGTGACATTGAGCTGAATGATGGTGCGCGTGAAGAAGGCCAGGAAGAGGGCTACAATTGGGTTCTCATTCCAAAATAAGATGGGAATGCTTGTTGGAAGGCACAGAGCGAAGATGGTGTAGAGGATCTTGTAGTGTCTAAGTGAAATAGAAACGACCATTAGAATTGTTTTTTGCATAAATTAGCCGTTTTTTTCGTCACGCAAACATTGATTGAGTATGTTTACTGTTGAAGACAGAATACTTGAGATATGCCAGGAAATTGTTCAATGCATCGAATGAAGATGAGTGCAAGACAATTTTAAGTATAGTGTGACGAAAATTCAATTAACACGAGACACTGGAAATGTGGTTTATGATTGAGTCATTGCAATTCTTTATAGCACTTATACAATGTAATTGGGAGATGCGTGGTGGCAAAAAAAGGTTATCAATGAGAGACTGAAGGAAATTTCAAGAATGTAAATTATATTTTAAATTAATCTCTTCACACTGTCGTGCAGCTACTGAATGCTGAAGAAATTTCTTCAACCTTCGTTCATCTCTCTGTCTCATTTCCATCGTTTATTTCTTTTTTTTTGCAATTGCAACCAGAAATTGCAACAATAATAATCTGGTTTGTGTCACGTAGACTGAACCTCGTCGGCGTGTCTTTTTTGACTGGGGGAATCTCAATTCGGTGTTTCATTTTACTCAATTACAAAGAATTTATTATTGCAAATTGGTGGGAATTGACTCAGTGAGAGCGATAAAGTGTGAGAAATCACTGATTATATATGATTTTGGGGCGATTCTTTTGAGGGACTATTTGGTTGCCCTTGGCTGGACAGTCTTGTTGTTTTGCATCTCATCACAACGATTCGGGGCAAATATGTGACGAAGGAGTTCATGATCGACTCGGAGATGTGATTTGAAGTATTGCAAAGAGTTTCCCAATTGTCCGGTGGGGCAATGAGAGAGACATCTCGCACTGTCTTCTTCGATTTTCTTTACCTTTAGTGTACTGTGTTGCGCAATGGGGCCAACCTGCACACGCGTCACTTAATTTCAAGGTGAAGAAATCTCTCTCAGGTGGCAAATTCATGGAGTGTACTTTGGGCAAATAGACTCACCGCTTCTGAAACATGATCCACGGATCTGCCTCCAGGTCAGACATGTCGATCTTCTTCCCGTACTCAATCACTTTGGGGTGCTTTCGGGACATGAGCCAGCCCACGTGGGAGAAGAAGAAGCCGCGATTGGCGTTGTGGGGATCGGCGTCGGTGTCGCTGTACTTGTGATGTTGACGGTGGTCACGAACCCACACCCACAGGCAATTCTGTCCTGCCAGGGTGTGCATGAAGAGCAGGAAGATGCGTAGCGTGATGTGGGCTTTGAAGGCTCTATGAGCCCACAATCGATGGGCGCCCATTGTTACACCTTGTCCAGACGCGTAAACGAGCCAAGCGGCTGTGGAAGACACAGAGAGAGAAAGAGAGAGTTATGATCGGATAATTTGGCGATTATTGTTACGAAAAAAAATCTCTCTGAATTTATACTCACTGTAAAGCACTGTGAGGAACCTGGCGTGGCCGAAGAGAACGAGAAGCATCCCAATGAGGGCAGCAATATGCAAAAGGAGGAATCCGATGGCGTTAAACCACACAATTTCACGCTTGAAGTTAAAATCTGTGCCAATTTCAGATGGCAATATCGGTGTATGTGATCCAATTTCTCTTATTCTTGCCACTTTTTCATCCTCATTGGCCAATTTATCACACTCAATGATCTCCTGGATTGTTTCACTGTTCATCGTTGAATCTTGTAGGTCTTCCTTGATATTATTGTGACCATTAGGGGTGGTTTTCTCCACTGAATCCAACTCCATCATCTCGCAGTATGCAAATGTGGACGATATGGCGTCAACCCCCATTTTAGTGATGGTGTTGTCTGGATTTTGCAAGCCTAAACGATCATAGAGAGATATAAACTGATGGTGTCTTTTACGTAAGATTTTGTTGGTAAAGCCACTCATTGATCTCTTAAAGCTCTAGCGAGGAGGAAAGATGCTTTGTGTGAAGTGTTCAAAGCACTTATGAAGGCACCAATAGCTGGGGGATTCTTCAACGAAAAGGCTATTGGAAATGGAAATGTGTTTAGACAACCTTGACCATTGTTGAGTTTTACCCAAGTTTGCATATCAATTGGGTCAATAGACCAAAAATTTTTCCAAGAAATATAACTGTTTTTGCAAGTCGCAAAATCCTATTTAATATGTGAAATACGTGACGGGAAATTTTGACCTGAGGAGACTTTTGGGTAAAATGGAATGGCTTTCTAAAGCAATTAAGGATGTTATGACAATGTGAAATATTTTCATAATTCACTATGGGAATGCCAGTCATTGAAATATCAATTGGGCTCTATTCGGACAATAAATATTTGTTTGAAGAGTGTGCTGAGATTGATTGAAAATGAATTCTACTATTTTGCCCTGATCGGGTAAATATTTGATCAAGAGTGGAGGGCAAAAGAAGATAAATTCACAACTCACTTTATTCCAATTTATATCGGCCAATGTGTTGGCTGTGTGATTTATTGGAAGAGGACTTAATGATTAATCAGCCAAAATTCCAATGGAGAATTCACTGACGTGAGCGCATTTATTCACACAACACTTCACTATTTGCACATAAAATCAATTGTCTTTTATCCACTGATATTTTTTCACTCTCACTGCATTGAGTATGAATGTAATCCAATGATCCTGTGGCGTCTCAAGTCAGTTCATTGATTCAAATGATCGCGCCGACTTAAAGCACCAACTTATATATGTTGGCCCAAGTGATTCTCCTACCTTCGACACTTTTCATCGACATGTGTGGTGCAAACTGAAGTTTTCGGTGAACATCCCAAGACAGTGGGCTCGGTGGGCTCGAATTTTCAAGTAATTTCCCACTCCACTTTTCACTTGGTGCAATTTTTTCCATAATTGTCTTGCTTAAACTGATCTTTTGTACTTTTAGATTGATCCTCGTGCGCATAGTTTTATTTTCGATTAACTAATACATTTATTTACGGGGAATTTTCCAACCGAAACTTCAATTTGTTTTTAAATTTTTTTAGTATGTTTCACTTCACAGTATATCAGTCCAGGAACCTTCAAACCTTCAGCTTGAATGCCTTATTCTTTCTCTAACAGCTACAATTATTCTAAAACACTGGTATGACTTTAAAATGTAATTTGGTGGTGTGCCGATGGATTTATTGCACTTCGTGTTCGACAGGTGAGGAATGGGAGGGGGGGAATAGGAGTGAAAAAAGAATGTGTGATAATAACTTACTTTATGTGGATGATTTGTGTGCATATTTTGCATGGGCAAACACTTTGTTGGATTGCATAAGGTCTCTCTTTGACTCATTAAACGTGTTAAATACAAAATTGTGAGCACACTGCAATGGAGATGATGTTTGAGAGAGATGTATGCGTCACATTTTGTACCCCACATTCATCAATGGATCGCCGTTCGTCTCTTCACGGGTCATTGAATTGTGTGCGCGACAATAGGCAAAAATGCACTTTTCTGCAACAACCTTCAAACGATTATTGCAAAAGATCTTCACACATTTTCCTTTTGACAATCTCTACGTGTAACATTTACTTATTTACTTATCAAATTGTCGCAGTTCAGAGGCATGCTTTCACACAACATCTTTTTCGGTGCAAATTATGACCTGAAAAATTTCGCGACGGTGGCAAAAAGTTGATAGCAGAGCGTAGTTTCGATCTACGGACCTCTGAGTTATGAGCCCAGCACGCTTCCACTGCGCCACTCTGCTTGTAAAATTTTAAATGCTATTTTTCTCCAGCAATTTGAGTCATCAAATTATGATTAACTCATTATGGGGAAAAAGAGCGATTTTTTAATATAAAATTTTAATGGTCTTCCTCGATCGCCACCCATCATAGAAGTCTTTTGATTAAGGGATTGCATGATCATTCTGCGCGACCTCCGAGTGAATGAAGAGACACAATTTTCTCATTATTTCACTGGGTGTCACAAGTCCACAATGGAGTCAAGAGCGCTTCATTCTTGCTACCTTAATCAAATAACAACAAAATAATGGTGTAGTTGAAAAAATTGTCTCAATTTTGCAAGCACATCTGAAAGAGCTGCCAACTGATTATTTTATTTTATATTTCTCTGCCTTACAACTCCTCCACTGTGTTGGGGCTTTCTCAAGACGAAAATTTCCAGCCGAAATTTGTCAACTCCTTCCGGAATTATTGACACTGAGGGCCACAGAGAGTGACGATGAATAGCTACAAATATTGCACAATTTTGCGAAATTTATTGTTACACTGTCAAAAGGGTAAATCTACTTTGGCTCCACATGACTGTAATCATGATTCTAGATCGTGTTTTAACTCTCTCACCTTAATATGGTCTCGCAGACGCTGGTCTTGTCTTGATTGATGATGGAGAAGTCAATATTCAATGTCATTTGGTAATTTCTCTTTAATTTCGCGATAATGAATGAAGCTTGAGTGAAAAATTCATTGAATTTAGCCGAGTGTTGTGCTCTGGAGTGGAGACGATAGTATGTGCTTCGGTGAATATTGTATTTTTTTTCACAATGTGTAGAAATTTTCCGTGGTAAGCAAAATATTTAGATCTCTCAAGGTTGGCAGAAGTTTGATGAAAAAAGATTAGACAGTGTTTGCATGCGTACGCGGATCATTTCATAGACTCTACTTGTACTTTGAAATGCACTCGAGAGACACTTCAAATGTTTGTTTAATTGAGCTCTCCCGAGGAGGAGTGCTTAACCGATTTTCTTGGGCAATTTTCCACAGAAGAAGCTGCAACGTGGTGGAAAAAAAACTGTTTATTTGCATATAATCTTCTTATTGCAGTGTTTGCGGAGAATATTTGGTCAAAATATAGTGCCGGTAGAGTCTTAATATTTATCCTAGGTGACGTTAGATTTTATGACAATACAAGGCATCTTTCGTATTAGATAGAATCCACTCGAGATGGTCGGTGATTTTGGCAAAGGTGGGAATTCCCATCAAATATGACAGGGTATCGATGAATCGTGCAGATCTTTCTTCAGGCTCCTCTGGCTCATCTATAGGAATCTCTGAGACGCCTTCGGCTGGAGGTGTCGATTGAATTAGATTCTTCGTGGTTGATTTTGAACCAATGACTTCCCCATTGCAAAGTTGTTTATTGGAGAGAATTCCAACTAATTCGTAGTATCCTTTGTGAGAAGGATAAAATATTCCTGATCCAGAATCCTTCTGCAAAGAATTTAAAGTATTCTGAGATGCTCATTTGCGCTCAATGACTTTGGAATGGTTTAGCATGCGAATTTTCAGTATGTTTTTGCATGTCATATTATAATTTGACTCTTTTCCATGGCATTTCAATATTAATTAGTTCGTGTCGTTCATATTACGCTTTTGTTACACTTGTTTAAAATGTTTACCTGACACAGATGCATATTAACAGCGCCCCCAACGCCAATACATCCTTCATTTATCCCGACAAAGGCGTTGCAGTGCTGTCCTGTGTGTATGGGAAGTCCGATTTTATGAGGAATACAGTGAGCGGCATAAACTGGAGTGGATCTCGGGAATATTGGGCTTTCGCTGATGGTAGTGCTTTGGGGATTTACAGGAGAGACTACATTCGCCACGGTAGTGGAACTCACTCCAGCCGCACTCGCAGCTGTGATCATTGGAGCTGAAAACCAGGACGCCACTGTGCCCAGTTTGCCGTCGTAGTGTGCTTCTGCAGAAGTGAGTGAATTAAGAGACTTTGCCGAAATTGAGGCGCTCAGCAAAAGAGAGAATGTGGCGGGAAAATACCTGGTGTTGGGAGGCAAATCGGTGAGATGTAACGCGTGAACGGGACAGGAACGGAGATCTTGAGGAGGGCTATATTGTTCATGCTGGTGCCGTGGTAGAAACTGGGATGAATAATTATTTCCTGCACACTGTAGATGGTTGAGGTGAATTCATTCTGACACATCAAGTGGTACCCAAGGGCCACTTTGTACATGTATGGGAAGTAGCTGAAGACGAAATGCCTTAATAGTTGACCCCTGTGACATTAAGATTTTGCAAACTCACCCAAAGAGTTGTGTGGCACTGGAAAGAATGTATCGATCATTTATGAGTGTTCCTGTTTGATGGCTCATGTCATGGTCCATTTTCATGATGAGTGCCAACCAGGGAAATTCGTGGGGTGTCAGTTCAGATCCGCCCAGAAATCTACCATTTCTATTGGGAATTCCACATTCTTATGGGACGAGAGAGAGAAAGATCTTTGAATTTCAGCGAATGAATGATTTTCTCTCACTGTACTCTCACTCCTTACTGCAAAAGTGGTGCGGTTGAATGATCCTCTTAAAAAATTTCGTAAAAATATTTGATTTCTGCAGTGAAATATGAAAGGCATCGGTGAGCAAGAGTGCGCAAATCACCAAAGATAATCCACTAAAGACACTTTTGGACATTCTGTCACGATGGAAATTCGACACAGACTGATTTTGAGTGTTGCATTGAAAAAGGAATTTTCCGCCAAATAGAAAAGAGAGCAACGGTTTATCAGAGAAAAGAGTTACCAATAAGCGGGTATTTCGTGTAATTTTTTGTGTTTTTATTTCGTAAAAAAACTGTCTCTTCATACAATTTATTTTGAAAGTGACATAACACTATTTTTTACGACTGAAAACAGGCATTTTCTTCTCATTGAGCAATATTCTCTCTCTCTCATTCTCTCCGTGTTAAAGTGTAAATTTGCAAGAGAATTGCAACATAATCTCATGAGTGGAAAGATGATATATCGTGTTAGAGATTCTCGGTGAATGGCAGATGTTTTGTCGTCTACATACATATTTCCCAAGTGCACGCACGGAAGGTACAAAAAAACAGAGGCATAAAGAAAATGCTGAAGAGATAAAAGACATAATTTTTTTGTGTAATTCTATTTACAATTCATAGTTTCTGAAAATTCCCCAAGTTCATTGCCAACATTCAGCGTGGAGTGAGACCGGTTTGCGATTCACTTCAATAGTCTCTTCAGCATTCTATATGTATGTATTATGTTTTCCATCTCCAACAGATGCTTATTCTAAATGTATCCTTCCTGTTACTCAACATCCAATTCACAGTTATAGAGTTTTCATCGAAAAGAAGAAGAATCGCTCGTGCAAAATGTGTGAGTGTGTGTGCGCGCGCGATTTTGCGTCGAAAAGTGGTTTAATATCTGGGGGACACTGCCGGGGGGCGCCCTCCGCATGAGATTTTGCATTTCAATTTTCAAAGAGCATAATTGGAGGCGGAGAGAGATGAATATTATTCATTGCAGAAACATCCGTCATATGAATTGGCTCGAATCCACTCGACGAATCTTGTTACTCTAGTATAGACGCCGGGATAGTTGGGACGGGCACATCCATTGCCCCACGACACTATTCCAATTAATTCATATCGCTTGTCCTCACGCTGCATCGCCAGAGGTCCGCCAGAGTCGCCCTGCAACGATGGAGATTCACAGTGAGTTTGTGTGATATCCGTGAGGGGGCAAGAAGTGGGTCAATAGGGAGCTCAGAGCGAACGGAATGGCGCTCGTGGTGTCCGAGTGAGGCCCTCGAGGAGGCCAAGAATGTCTCAGTTGAGGCATAAAGTATGATGAAGGGGCATTAAAAGGTCATTATAAATTCATAAAAATCCAGTTTAGCTGAGATTCCAATTCGAATTGATTGCAGACATTCTCACTATTCACAGGGGAAATGAACTGGCGAGAAGAGTGTGATGGGAATATTGTAGGTATAGAAATTGTTGACAACTCACCTGACACGAGTCTTTCTGTCCAACTCCAGGATATCCAGCGCACAGCATATTGTCAGTTATCATCTTCTTAGTGTAATTTGTCTCACTGACACATCTATCGTTGGATATAACAGGAACTTCTACTTCTTGGAGTATGCATGAGGGTTTGCCCTCTTCCTTGAGTGTTCCCCATCCCGTTGCGATGGCTTTACGTCCAATGTAGGAAGCATCACTTGCTGCAAGAACAATTTTCACTCAGCCTCAACCATATACTTATTCAAATGAAGAGTAATTCTCCACAGCAGTGGTTTATTGCACGGTGTGAAGAGGGTCTGTATGTCTCCTGATTTGAATATTCTTCCAACGTGACTGAATGGGTATTATAATTGTCTTTTGGGATGCTGACTTAACTGCTCTTGAGGTACTGTTCTCTGCTGCACCTCAGTTCACTTTCAATTTATTCTTGCGTTGAGAGTTGAGGAGGAGATGAGGAGGTGAAGTGTGTTTGTGTGTGATGTTTATAGAGGGAAAGAGAGAGAGAGAGAATGGCAATTCTGTGTTAGAATGGATATTTTCTCCGGGAACTGGATTAATTAAGTGATTTGAATCTCTCTCATCCCAATGTGATATGCACTTGGGGGAAAAAAACAGGAACGTCTCTATGGAATTTTTGCAGAAATAATGGGAGAAATGTATTGAATTATTGATGAGGATCTGACGTTATTTTATGTGAAAAGCAGTTTGTTTTGTTTGTCTTTAATACCCTCACAATAAATTGTTTAATAATCGCAGAGAATCCCGTACGATAGCGCGTGTGGGGTATTGTATTGTATGTATGTAAGTATATATAGGCGAGGAAGAAGATCGATAAAATGGAAGAAAGAAAACTCTCCCGTGTGTCGCTTTATTTGCAAATAAAATTCACGAGAGGTAGAATATTCTTTCCACAAGCTCGTCGATCTTCTTCTTCTCCTCTGTTGGATGGAAATGAGGTGAAATGTGTTTTCAGAGGCAACTTACCTTTGGGATTTGGTAAGCAAATTGGACGGATAAAGTCAGTGATGGGTACGCGATCGTTGAGGCGTAGAAGAGCAATGTCATTGTTGAAATTTGTAAAGCTGAAGTCATTCACGATGGCCCGGAGGACGAATCTCGTCTCTGGACGGTACGTTTCGTTGCAGCGATCATGTTCGCCAAAGGTGACGCGAATCATGAACCACATAAACCTGAAATTGAATATTTCCAAGTAATATTTCGTGAGATTATCTCTCGATTCTCTTTTTTCAGCTGCTTCACTCTCTTGGGGTCATTGTCAAGGTCTTGTGTGATGTCGTCGAAGTTGATCTTCTATGGATAGTGTATGTGAAATTTTATTGATTTTGATTCTTACTGATGTCGCGACTCTGTCAGCGAAGCATTTTGCCACATTTCGTGTTGTCTTGAAAGTGGAAGAGGGAGAGCAACTACTGGATTCTTGTGAATCTTTTATCTTCTGCAAATTCTTATCTTCCCATTACTTTGACCTCTCTTTCTCAGTGGCAATGTTTGCCGAAGAAGATTCAGGGTGTATTTACGGAATGAATAGAGAAAGAGAGACGAAGCCGCAGTAATTGTGTTCACCGTGACGCGAGAATGACGGTGGGTCAGAAGGAATTTTGTGGCTAGTGATTTCGGATGATGTTGTACATGGTTGAGAAAATTGAGAGGTCAATTACCCTGGATGCACCATGGCCCCGTGCGACTTTGAGTCTCTTTAGCACCTCATTTCTTACCCTTTAACACAATGTGCAGCTGTTAACACGTAGCGGTCATTGATGAGCATTCCACCGCAGTAGAAGCGATTGAAGTAACTGAGTCGCGCCATCCATGGAAACTCATTCACTCCGGCAGCTTGACCGCCAACGATGCGGGAGGCGTCATTTCGTTCACCGCATCCTTTTTGGCAAGAGAAAGATGATGGGTGTATTGGGCAAAGTGGACAGACTGCCTCAGAAGTGGCTCAACTTACTGCACTTGCAAGAACTGGGCGGGGTGTCGTGGGCGGGGGCGCGATTGGCACCATAACCGAAGAGGTTCTTCTTGAAGTCCACCTGATGGACACTCTTGTGATTGTACACGTCGTACTTGCCAGGTATCATTGAGAATCCGGTGGACATGGGACCAAAGATGGCCAGCATTGACACGATTGCGAGGGTTGCGTTTCCCGTCCACATTTTTGTACGGCGTTCAAGTCTTTTATCAAAACACTAAGACACAATTCAGAGGATGCTTCAATGATTGAACTTGTGCGAAATGGGAATAGTTACACGATATATATTTTCTATCAGTAGAATTTTCACAAGATTATCACACTCAATATCGATATTTTAGTAGAGGAAATTAACCATAATTAAATACTAAACAATACAACTGTATGCCGCGAGTGAGACTAATTACTACTGACTAAATGATCTTTTGTTCTCCGTATATTTTCAGAAGAGACACACCAAAGTGCAGGCAGAGAGAGAACACGTTTGACTCGATCGACGGTTGAAGAGGCCACTGATCGCCAAGTTTTGATCTTGTTCTTCAGCCACAGCGAAATCGCGCCCAGTGAGAAAAGTGTCTGGTTCTTGAGTGGCTTACTCTCTCACACTCTCTTGAGCGCTCTCGTGGCTCACGGTGGAGCGCAATCCCGCCAGCAATATGTTAAATTAACAGGAGAGAAACGGGTGAAGAAACATGATGATGATTTGTCTCAAGAATAACAGGCAAGACAGAAGGATTGCGGTGGTGTGTATATGGCAAAATCACGGAATGCGGAATGATTGCCATCTGAAGATTGCACTTAATGAGTGCATCAGTGGAAATTAAATGATATGTGTGTGCACTAATGATGAAGACATCAATCATCGAATTATATTGAAATCATTATGGCAAGTCAACGAATTCCCTTTCGATTGATGAAGGTGAGTGGCTCATTAACTTGGTTCTTGTGGTTTTTCACTGTGTCCGGTGGCACTGAGAGAAACTGAGTGTACTGTGTGGTTCATATTCTTATATGCATTTGAGTAATTTTGCAAAAGACTAACCAATTGCTTTCAGTGCGAATGGCAAAACATTGAACTTGATATATTGAGCATTATCGCTATTAAAGTTGTATTATCTGTTTTTGTTTTCATCGTGGGGCGCTTTTTTGCTCACCAAAGCGGAGATCAATAAATTGTAAAGTGAAGAAGATGATTACATAGTTGGAGAGAAAGAACACGTCAATAACCCAAAAATTGCCAAAAGGCAAGTTTAATCAATCAATCTCCACCAGTGAGGATGACTCAGTTGGGTAAAAAGTGCCTTTCTTCTGCGCTGTGTCTATTCTTTGCGCCAACAATGGAACACTGGCTAGGAATCACAGTGAAGGATCAGCTGTTTCAGCAATCATTAATATTCAATGAAGATCTCACACTGATCGCGAGATTACGATGACTCTTTTTTCGCGGCATTATGGTGGAAAATGACGGCGCGGAGCCGTCGACATTGTTGAGTATAGAGTGAGACTGGTGGAAAAAAGCGGCACGAGGTGTGGTATTGTGAATAATAATAGATGAGCTTTTTTATTATTATTTTCTCTAATTATTTGCCTCTGTGATATACTTCGACTTGTACGTGAAGTGTCTGTAACGGGAATATTCTTTCTTCATTCTTACCTCTCTCTGTCTCTCTTAATTTCAAATAGACTCTTCACTTGATGTTGAGACTGTGGTAAATTTCGCATTCTTTTGAATAGGGGTTTTTCATGCGCAACAATTTAGTATTTGGCAAAATGTGAAGTTTTTGCGAATGTTCTGAATTGTAGCGTCTGTAGTTGTGAAGAGTGGACTGGAGAAGGAAATGAGTGTAATTTTCACACACGATGATTTATCACTTTATTTATTGCACAAGCACGTGTCATCTAAATTTGCACGCAACCAAGGCAGATATTTGGCCACTCTTGTGTACACGCCAGGATAACCAGGACGCCCACAGCCAACACCCCACGAGACAATGCCCACGATCTCGTTTTTAATGCCATTCTGCACGAACAACGGTCCTCCACTGTCGCCTGGTGAGATTTGGGAAGATTAGAGTGTGATCATTAAAGGTGTTTTCTTTGAATACCTTGACAAGAATCTCCACCGATTCCTTGGCCAGTTGGAGGGCCTTTTCCTGCACAGAGCTAGAAGATCACACAGATATAAAATTATCTATCAAGTGGATGAATACAAACTCATGGACCTTACCATGTTCGGTGTTATCCTAGAGGCTCTGTACTTCATATTTCTGCACTGAGCGAGAGTCAAAATTGGAACTCTGACCTGTTGAAGGGTCCCTGGAAGAGTTCCACCCTCAGACGTCCTTCCCCATCCAATAACAGTTCCAATCAATCCTGGAAAGATGGTCATGAGTGGAATGAAATTCTCTTTACCACATGAAATTCTCACCGGCAGGATCGCTGGTCTCCCGTGGTAGACATACTGGCCTGATGGTCTTGCCGAAGACCACCTTTTTTCTCAGTCTCAGCAGGGCAATGTCGTGATTATAGGTGTTGGCATCGAAGTTCCGATGGCGAATAATAGCACTGACAGCCCTCATTATAGCTGGTGTTTCGGTGGTAATGAATTGATCATGATCGCCGAGTATCACGCGGATCTTTGACCGTTGCAGTCGTCTCACGCAATGCGCCGCCGTTATCACGTAGTCTTCAGACACGAGGGATGCTCCGCAGTGGAATTGGCCATTGTACACGAGTCTGGCTACCCAGGGAAACTGATTGACACCCGTTGGACGTCCGCCAACAATGCGAATCTCCTCATTACTTGTCCCACATTCTGAGTGAATTTGAAAAGAACAGAGATGGTGATGAAAGTGCCAGAATGTATGCAAATGTAATCTTATGCAATGGAAGAAAATTGTTGAGAGGGTAAATATCGCACAGTATTGCGAAAAGCGTGTGTATGTGGTTTTGTGCAAATGAATGGCGGTGAAATTTCAAATATACGTGAATGAATGGTCTGAAGAAATGCCGTGAGTTCGTGTGTGATACTTTTCATCTCGAGATCATCTCTTTTCGGCGGGTCAAGGCATATCCGATGAGGTAGATGATGTGTGCAGTGGAAGAAGTGATGAAGAAAAAAGATACACAATACAGCAAATATATATTTCTGAATTATTTATAATTGGAAAGTGAAACTGGCAGCCAAATGAAAATGAAATGAGTGTTTGAGAGTGTTGTTATATCGAGAGTGTAAGTCTTGTTACTTTCTTCAGCTGGAATTTAATGGTTTCGTTGATTGAGAGTTCACTGGATGGATGCAATAAATCAGGCTTTAATTGGTGGGATGCGATGCTGAGGACTCACCACAGTTGCAGTGCTTCAGACTGTTTTCACTATCTTCCTCGTCGTCATCGCCGAAGGCGGCTTGCTCGATGCCAAAGAACGTGTCAAAGAAGATTTTACCCTTTCGGGTGGTGACATTAGTCGCATTATTGTTATCACTCTCGTTGAATCCCGTAGATGATTGTATAAATAATTGGCACAGAACAACAATGACTAACACTTTATGCAGAATTAACATGTTTGAACACAACGGATACTTAAAGAAAGAGAGTTTCTTAGAGAAATTAATTGGGCAGTTTTTCTGACTGATTTAGTATTAATTTATTTTAGAATAGATATTCAGAAAATCTATCAGATGATTTCATTATTTATATGCACTGGAGTCACTTTTGTGATAACATCAGAACACACACTTGTTGATGCTCCGCGACAAGATCGTGATCACGTCGATCGCTGGAGAAATTCTACCACACTGCGAGTGATCATCTTGTTTCGTAGATGCAAATATTTAAAGAACACTCGAATTCCTTTCACTTTCACGTGCTGAAGCAGAAAGTTTCAGGATTATCCCTAATTCACTGGCCTGCAAATGTAGGTGAATGATCCTCAATCTGATCAGTGACCGTGACGCAGTTGGGAAAAAAAAAGTTTCTCGAGTGTGTGGTGGACAATAGAGTCCAAGTCTCTGTATCTCTCACTTCTCACTGAATTTCACATTCACGATCAATTGAAGACCTTCACCTTGTGACTCTCAAAATCACACTGATCGACCAAGATTTGAGCTCGCACGCCGCAGTCCTCCTGGGCTTTTCTTTCTTTCTTGCGGATTCGCACAGATGGAGGGGGCTCCAGTGTTCAATAAGAGCGGATTTTGTAAGGCAAAAGCAATCATATGGCGCTTTCACTGTCTTCGGAGTGATCGCCATGGGGAAAGTTATAAAAAAGCAAGTCATATATTTTTTTCTTTGTCACTTGCTGCGACCCTTTTTCGCTTTGTCAATTTCGAAGAGACACTGAGAATTGTCCGTGTCTAATCGCGATCTTCAGATTTTACCTATTCGACAATACGTCTCATTGTCACACGGAATCCGTTCCACATTTTTGTGATCTTCAAAAGACGCGTACAATCGCCTAAGATTACACATGATCGCAAATGATCGTCGAAAGGGAAAACACACGGTTTGAGCGATTGATTTAATCCGCCACGCAAATCAACAGTCATTGATTACTGTGGAAATCCACAACATAATAATAATATGGATGGATTTTCGGATGATAAAAGTGGTTGAGAGGCGAGGAAACTTTCACCCAGAAATTGACACAAAAAGATAATTTTTGTGAAGATGGAAACAGTGAGTCTTCTTGTGTTTCTCGCATCTCTTCCAATGTTTCTTTCCAATGGCATTTTAAAAGATTGTCGATTCGATGCTTCATTGTATATTTCCACACTCTTTCCTTCAGTGATCGCGGAAGATTTTCAAGAGGTATGGGAAAGAGTTTGGGTGTATAAGAGAGAGAATTTCATTTAAAAATTAAAAGTGACTAGACTGGAATTTTGTGTCCACACTGGATGCATTTGGTGATCAATAGTCCACGTCCGCCATGGTTTCTACGATATCTTTTCTGGTGCCCTTGCGAGGATGGCACAAGCAGGTGTTCTTCAGCTGCTTCCGAATCCAGGGCAGGTAGTTTAGAACTTTGGTATAGATTCCGGGAAGATTGGGTCGCGCACAGCCTCTGCCCCAGGAGACGACTCCAATCACTTCCATGCTTCCACTGGGTCCTTCCCTATTCATGGCTCCGCCAGAGTCGCCCTGCAATTTCAATCAATAGAAAGTGTGTTTTTTTTCCACTAAGACGTGCGTGTTTCTTTACTTGGCAGGCATCCTTGCGTCCATCGTGGTATCCAGCGCACATCATATTGTTCGTGATGCGCTTCCTTCCGTAGCCAGCTTCGCGGCACTGCTCCATGGACCACACTGGCACGATAACGGATCGCAAGACAGATGAAGTTTCTTTCTTCTCAGCTATTTTTCCCCACCCGGCGATGATCGTGAGTGATCCTGTGTAGTCCGTGACGGCTAGAATGAAAGTGAAAGTGCCTGTGAGTGGATCGGTGGCCAGAGGTCAAGTGATTATTGTGATGTACATGGATCTGGAAGACATGCCGGCTGAATTGTGGCGCCGTATTTTATTGGCTTGTCCATCTCTATCAGTGCAATGTCGTTGTTGAAGGTGAAAATGTTGAAGTTCTCATGCTGTGTGATCCTGCGAACTCGCCGGTGCTCAGTGTAGTCACTGGTGAGATTGTGACCGCCGAGGAAGACACGGATCTCATTGGGCTCAATACCGTCCACGCAGTGAGCGGCGGTGAGGAGGTGTGATCGGCTAATCACAGTAGCGCCACAGTAAATCTTCTCCTGGGTGTAGAGACCCGCGAGCCACGGGAAGCTGTGCGGAGTGGCTTCTCTTCCGCCAACAATACGATCAGAGCGTCCACGAACACCACATACTGTAAGTAATTGGGAAAATAACACACTTAATTGATTTTCTATTGTACTAATGCCCGGCTCTCGTATTCCGGGTGGTGTTTTTTTTTATCTGTTTCTTCAGAGTAGGAATCATTTGTCACCCACCACAGTCACAGGAGTTTCGCGATGGGGCGGCGTTTAAAAATGGTTGAGACAGAGTGCTCAATATCACAGTAACGCTGACTATCACCAGGAACCTATCCATAGTTTGGGGAGAGATCGAGCACAGATACTTTAAGGAACTGGAGAGGAAAGAGGTAAGTGATCACTTGTAGAACACTGGGGCGCAAGTGCTGCTGCCGGTGCAATTAACGAAATAGTTATGGAACAAAAAGTGTGAACCCACCTGGCTTTTATAATAACACACAATAATTGTAACCTCCTAGAGTGTGTGAACAATTTGGATTTGGATTTTTCGTCTCACACACACACTCTTCGATCATGATGGTGACAAATATTAACCGAGGTAGGGGTTTTGTCCTTGGTATTGCTGACACATTTTCTCGGGATCACTGTGAAGTGAGACAAGTAGTGCGTTATCACGATAATTAGGTCTTCTGGGGCGTATTGAGAAGTGAGAATAATGTATATTTGAAAAGTCTGTGGCATTGTCAGACGATAGGAAGCTCCAGAATTCACATTTTGCTCTTGGATCAAGTTAATCAATTTATTAATTGTCCTCCTCAAAATTTGCGACATGACCCGAATTAACCACGTGACGAATTCACTTCGATATTGCATTGACAAAATAATGTTGTCTTGAAATTAAGATGAAGATACAGCCAAAAAGTGGAATTACATAAGTGCCAAAAAAAACGATCAACAGACACTTAATTGAGAAATCATTTCAGTGATGCTACTGAAGGTGCGAAATCACCTTGAAGACAATTTTCTCGTCATCTCATATACCATAAAAGTCTCATTTATTGTCATTTGCGATTATTCATTGTAATTACTGTATGCGGGTGGTGTTTTTCCCTCGCGACCAATAGAATTTTCACCTTGATTGGATTTTAATTACCTGTTCTTGAACTTTGTAGCCATAAATTCACTACCCAATAGAGTTCCAATTATTTCAGAAAATCGTATAACTTTTGTTTACGTTTTTCATCGCACTTTTTTGCTCCGATTGCGCCTTATCAGTGCTTCACTTTGTCTGATTCAACTTGCCAAAGAAGAGTTCATTTGCCAGGACATCCATGGGTGCTTCTTCATTGGCTGCATTTATTGGGTTTGTGGGTGGGTGTGATGAAAAGAACAATATTTACAAGATGCACTTAAAGTTAATTGCATAACACACCTTTTGTGACGATATGCTGTTGATTTATTTGGTCTGGGGAGTCGTAAAAGGCTCACAGGGTCACATCGTGAGAGTGTCACTTAATTGTTTTGAGCGTCAATGTTCGTCACTTTATTGACAGTTGTTCTCATATTGTATGCAGAAATGAGGAATCAGCTGATAAAAACTGTAAACTTTCCACTGTTTTCTGCAAAAATGTGAGTGTGGGTGGAAAATTTCTGTTGATATTCAAGCGAAAAAAAACTGCAATGATGGTAATCATATGCACCTTGAAGCCCTTCCATAGCGTTAAAAGTAATAGCTAAGAAGAGTCAAACAGTTGTTGAATCGGTTTACACTGGATAAATGACTCAAATGCAATGTATACATTAGTTTGTGATTTATTTGATGCGTAGAAAAAATATTGTTTTGTATTTATTTATAGGTGAAGTTGAATTTATTCATATTACCCATATAGACCTCGGACTTCTTCTCTTATCTCACACATGGCTTATTGTTTATACTCTTTTCCCTCAACATTTCGTAATTGACAGTGAAGATGATCATCATCGGTGTCTTATTTATCTCACAGTGTCTATTCATAAAAGATCAGTTTCATCTCATTTGTGGGCAATATTTTTTTTTTTAGGTAATATGCGTAAGATGAGCACGGGTGAGAGAAAGACAGTGGCATTGATGTTGAGAAAAGATGTGGAGAAAGTGTAATATGTTTTAAATGGCCTTGTTCAACCTTGAGACACGACAAAATGTAAGATGATTACTTTGATGATGTCTGACAGACAATCTTTTAGCGTCAATTAATCACATGTTATCATTTTTACACCACTATATGCAAATTGTGGGTGTGTTCTCTTCTCTAACTACTTTACTTGGAAGAGAGAAAAAAAAATTCACCCTGATCCATTGACCAAATTGCATTTATTACCTTGACACCAAAAAAATTATGATCCAAAACCCATACAGAGAAATTCGTGGCGCCGCCGAGGAGGAAAAGAGAGATTGTGGGTGCAATTAATTCTCAAATGTGTGCATAATTGTGAGGTATGTGTGTGATCTGGAAAACATGGGAAAATTTTATCACTAGCACTAGTTTAGTGGCGATCTTGACACATTTTTTGTCACGCATGGGGAGTGTTGAAAGAATCTCTTCTGCTTTGGAATGTCACTGTGTCAATATTTGATTGTGTGGAGAGAAGAGGAGGTTTCACTAGACAAGAATGCGTCTTCCCTCTGTGAGATGAGAGAAATTTATACACACAGAGTGCTGAATAATGACACATTGGAAATGTATAGTTGTCAAATGCAAAATAGTGCAATTGTTTGCGATCAATGCATTTCCTAAAATATTTATGAATGAATTCGAAGGGGTGATAATCGCCCAAATGTATGTAGAAGTTGATCAACTGAGTATAGCGTTCAACTATAAAATTCAAAACGATTAAAATGCTGGTGGTCTTACCTTTCCATGCTACGATAAGTTCATGTTCCATTTCTTTGAACTTGACTCCAATCTCCTCTTCGCACCTCGTTCTGTGTGAGTGAGCCTACGAAAGGCCTCAGTAAATATTTTGTTGAGACTTTCGCTGGTGTGGCAGAAATTTCGTATATACATGGATTTCATGCTGCGATATGCTGAGGTGATATTAGAGGAGATCAGCATAAAGTTTATTCTTTTCGCATCTCTCAAAGACCAGTGTGTGTATGGCTGTCAAAAGTGAATCCGTTATACACGCAATAACAGTAAAGCACACCTACATTTAATCTCTCGCCGTGGATTGCATGATCAAGTCCAAGAACTTGACCATTCGCAGTGAAACCGTCGGAGAATTGAGACTGATATTTTGCGCGTCTGTGTAATTTAAGTGCCTCTCTTGTGGACTCAATTTGTGACTTCTTGCTGATCTTCTTTTGCATAGATTTTTCATCAAAGACCATCTCTCACAATGGCCAAATTGTGGATCATTTTCGTGACATTGACTGGAATGAGTGGATATTTGGGTGCGCATGTAAGTCAAGGGAATCTAGTGAGGGATGATGTCATTTTTGGCGATTGCATTTGGTGTGATGTTTTTTCTTTTTCTTTTACAGGTGAAACGCCAATTTGTTGATCCATTTCTGGAGCCAGATTCTGTTGTTGTGGACAGCTACAATGATTCGATTCTCGTGCGTGATCCTCTGAGTGATTGGCTGGCTGGTCTTTTTCCCACATCCACCAAGCAACCACCCTTGGGAGAACATCCGAAAGATTGCAAATCGTGTGGTGAGTGAAATCGTGAATTATTTATGTGGATTTGATCACTAAATGATGGCTTTCTTGCACAAGAGTGCGGAATTCCCAATGATCACACACGAATTGTTGGTGGGATGACGACAAAGGAGCGCTATTTGCCATGGATGGGTCTGCTCACGTACAACTACAGGTTCTACTGTGGCTGCACGTTGATCACTGATCGGTACGCTTTGACTGCGGCTCACTGCGTGAAAGGATTCCAGCCGAAGTACATAAGAGTGCACTTGTTGGAGCATGACGTGAAGAATCTGAAGAATAACACAGTCAGAGGGGTGTGTTTGTGAAGTTTGAGTTATTTTAATGCTTTTTCACTTATCGTCTGGCATTCTAATGTATCTTCCAGGTCGTTGGCTTCAAAATTCACAATCAATACGATTCCAATACGTATAATTGTGATATTGCTCTGCTGAAAATGGACAGGCCTGTGGAGTTTAGGGATTCTCTGCGACCAGTTTGTCTTCCTGACTTCAAGAAGAGCTTTACAGGAGTTGATGGAATTGTCACGGGCTGGGGAGCGACTAGGGAAAATGGTCCATTGGCTGACAAGTTGCAGCAAGTGAATGTGCCCATTCTATCCAATGCGCAGTGCAAGGAGAGCAAATACGGCCAAAATAGAATCACTGAGAATATGTTGTGTGCTGGCTACAAGGAGGGTGGAAAGGATTCTTGCCAGGTGATTTCAATCACAGAGTATATCTCTGGAATGAGTAACTGAGATTCTTCATATTCCAGGGTGACTCCGGAGGACCAATGCACGTCCTGACACCGCATGGAGTCTTTCAGCAAGTCGGAATAGTGTCATGGGGTCAGGTGAGTAAACAAATAAAGTTTTCTGAGTACATTTATCACATTTATTGAGACAAATCTTTATCTACTTGCTAACGTGGGGAATTCAGGGCTGTGCCCGTCCCAACTATCCAGGTGTCTACACGCGTGTCAATCGTTTCCGTTCGTGGATCCAGAGGAACACAGCTGACTCCTGCAGCTGCGAAAACGATTGAAATTGTCCTGATTAAGGAGGAATTGTGAGACAATAAATGTGAAATGTGACGACACTGTTACATTGATGATCAACAATTATGTTCTACTTCTCTGCTTCTCTCTCTCTCTGTTCACTTCTTGGGACCACTCTCGAGCCAGAAGGTCTTCATCTCACCCTTACCCTTCACCTGCACCATTCCGCGACTCTCGAGGATGTAGCCGAGCTTTCGCAACTTCTGTGCAATGTACTCAGTAACCTGGATCTTGTTGGGCATGCCGCTGCTCTCCATTCGCGAAGCGATATTCACTGTGTCGCCGAAGAGGCAATATCTGGGTACTTTTAGTCCCACAACTCCGGCCACAACAGGTCCAGTGTGGAGGCCTATCTTCACGCTGACACCTGGCAACTTCAGCTCCATCAGCTTTGCCACCATATTGAGAGCCATGTCTGCAGCGTGCTGGACGTGCAGCGGATTCATGTCTGGAGCGCCGCTCACAGCCATGTACACCTGACCCACTGTCTCCACTTTGTACACCATTGGCGTCTGCACGAGCTCGTCGAATGCGGAGAAGCACGTGTTGAGGGTGGACACGGCGCTCATGGCATCTCTCAGATCGCTGCTGGAGTGGGAATCGTCGTGCAGCTCGCCAAACACCACAGTGACCTGCTCAAAGCTCTGGCAAGTGGACAGTGGGTTGAGTCCGGCACGCAGACGCTCCGCCACCGGCTTGGGAATCATGGAGTAGAGCAGGTCATCGCCCTGGCGCTTCCAGGAATCGGCGAGATGAAGGGATGTCTCCAGTTCATCGGAGCGCTGCTCCTCACGTTCAAATGTGTACTCCAGGCGAGAGAAATGCTGCCAACCGGCCATCACCATCTCCCGACTCAAGCCATGAGCATTGAGATCATTGAGAAACAGTCCCATATTGTGGAGTTCATCGAGATTGTTTATTCTGCAAGAGATTTGCACCTGTTCAGTAGATTATCAGGAAGGTTTTCGTGGGATGAATGACTTACATGGGACTACAGAGAAATATCACTGAATTGATTTCTGTGATGTAGCGCATTTGTCCTTTCAGCAGAATGTTCTTCATTGCTCCTTGGGACTCTCTTCTTTCCGTTGTGAGGGTTAAAGCATCCAGAGATAATCCCTGTGGCTCCTTCTTTTCTGCATCTTCTTGGGGGGCTCTGATGAGCTCCAGCTCGAAGAGGACAGTGTGGAAGTGTAAAATGTTCTGCCATGTAAAGGGAATGCCTTTGGGGCGGCGCAGTTTAAAGTGATCTGTAACGGTGGAGTAAATGATCGTGCTCTGGCCTGATGAATTAACATTCTCCAGGCCCCAAGCCTCCACCATTTTCTCTCCAGCTCCCGTGATCTGCATGTCTTCGTCGATGATGATGGCAAAGGGGAACATCTCCAGCAGAACACTGCCGTCAACAGGACCGAGTTTCTTCTGAGATGGATGGATGGTTTTATTGACCTTCGCCTCCATCTAGAAGTGAGGTAAAGATATAATTTTATGCAATGCAGACCAAGTAGTGTAATTTCTCACATAATCTTTGTTGTCAAAATCCAGACGATAGCGGACTATGACGGTCTTGAGGCCTCCTTGAATAGCGATGGGTCCCGTTGTGCCGCCAGTGGTGTCATTCTGACGATCAATGATCGTGATGTGGAGCTTCAGCCCGTACAAAGCGTCTGCAATCTCCATCAATTGACCCTTAAAGTACTTGGAGAAGCCTGTTCTGGTGCTCCGATAGACGAGCACTGCTCCTCTCTCATCCACCTCAGTCAGCTGCATGCTGGGACTCTTCATCTTGGGATATGTGAAGCGCATCTGGAGATGGATATTGTCCACGGACTGCAGGAAATCGCAGAAGAATCTCCCAGTGGCCTTGATCATCTTGTCATATCCAAAGTTGCTGAAGAATCGCACGAAGCATCGGCCAAAGAAGACCATGAAGTATTCAGTGGATTTGCCCGTGATGGCAGACAGAGCAGCTGCGAGGTCGGGCATAAGGGAATCCGAGTAGATCTGCGAATTGTTGAGTGTTTTTACTGATTTCTTGGGGTATTTGGGAGGGGGTTTCTTACTTGGTGGGTGTTGAAGACGGAGTATTTGCATCCTGTCGCTGCCAAGGCTTGCTTCCACACCATTTCTCCAAACTCCAGCTAGAAAGAGTGATAGTGTGAGGCATGAGTGGAAAATTTGCGAGGGAATTGGACCGAGTAGGTCGCTGGAGAGTGTGATGCGAGTTTGTTTCCGGGCAGTGTATGCAGTCGTGGCCGAGTGGTTAAGGCGTCTGACTTGAAATCAGATTCGCTCTGCGAGCGTAGGTTCGAATCCTGCCGACTGCGAAGAGAGGTGCTTTTTTTCCTTTTTCTTTTCCCTTATCTCTAATGTCCTTTCGATTGCAGATGTCCCCGAAGGACATTCTAACGACGGTAGAAGTGAATTGGAGTAATTCACTGGAGTGATATTCTCAATGCGAATGTGCTTAAATGAGAGTTTGTAATCGATAGAAAATGGAAAATGGGAAAAGAGGACAAAAACGTCTGTTTAATTGGTGAGACACGCAATTAAGGATACCATTCTATTAAATGTGAGCCCGAGGAGCGCTCAAATGGCTGTATTTACTCTCATATTTCTCTTTGCCCCCGATTGTGGCTGCGTGTGGAAAATATTGGGAGGGGAATTGGTATTTTTCCTCCCTTCGGACTCTCGAATTGAATGTAACAGAATTAATTGGGGAAGACTGTCTCAATTAGAGCTGAATATTTATCCATTTACTCGGCCTGAAATGGACTTTCTTAAGATGATTAGCAGCTCACCTGGACGAAATGCTGAACACTCTCCAATAGCATTCCATACATCTTGATCACTTTTGTTTGTAAGCCGCTTTTATCACCCCTTCTTGATGTGCCCTCGCAATTGATACGCAATTTATTGCCACTGATGAGTCTTCCTTCACGCTGCGTGTTTAATTTATTGACTGGTGGCCAGACGAATTATTGAGCAATGGAAAATTATTATTATTTATTCCCAAGAGTGCATCTGAAAGCCAAAAATGGAACAATGAGCTTATTGTGATAATAATGAGTTTTGGAGTTATGGCGAAAAATGCTTAATGGCCGATTTAAATGCATGAAAATCAAGCTAGACGGGGAAAATGATGATAAAGTGCTGATATAAAGTAAGATTTATTGCCTCTTCCAAGGAACCCCAAGACATTCTAATATCTGCGGAAAAAATGGGTGAGAACGTGCGAACGTCCGCAAAATGAGAAAATCTGGAAAATCTTCTATTTGTATTTATTGTTGCGCGGGATGTTGACTTTTACCCTCTGTGAAGATGTTCTGTGTCGCAGAAAATAAGATTGTCTGTCGTCACGACTTGGATAACTTAGATTATGGCTGTGACACTTGAGGAGGGAGGGGATGAAAAATGATTTGGAGAAGCGGAGAAAATCCTTATCATTCAGATGTGGTGAGTGTATGTATCTGAATATGGGCCGAGGAGGAGAGGAGAGGAAATCAATCACTGCGGAATTTCATTTCGGGAGATACTTTGTGGCATGTTTGATAGCTTTGGATCACATTTTACAGGCACTTTAACCAGTCAAAGCACTCAGAAAAAATTGAGTTGATATTTCTGATATGGTTTGTGAACAAATGCGACACTTTGTCTCGTGGTTTCGACCACGTAGAGTTGACTGAGGAGGAGTCAATTTCAAGGGTTGCGGCTTTTTCTGAGTGCACACTCCGCTTTAAGATTGACTTTGAATGCTTTAAAGAAGGCCATTAGCGCCTCTCCTCGGCTCGGCGGAAGGGATGCGAGTGCCTTTTTGGCAAAATGGGTGGGCAAAAGAGCGTCTTTTAGGTGATATTTTCGAGGGCAAACATTTCACTATACGCGAGAGACGCAACAATGAAAATCCATTGATCGCGCTTTAGTGATTCTGTTCAGGTTTTACGTTGCTGCGGAATGTGAACTGGAGATTTCATTGGGTGGCGAAGGCGGGAAAACAAACACAGTGTGTGAGACTGAATTAATTACCCACCAAAAAGTCCCATTAGTTGTCCTATTAAGGATGGATGATCTTGAACCGTGTGGATGTGAGCGAAAGGGTTTTTGAGGGATTTGGAGATTAAATTGATGAATCACTCTCTAAACTTTGCTGGTATTCACAAATCACTTGTACTCACTGAGAAATCACTGGGGGTGATTAATAGCAATAGCAAATCTCAAGTACCGGAAATCACTTTTTAATACTCTTCCGTTGGTGTGTCTTATTGGGCGTCCCGCTAAGTACAATTTGAGAGTGTCTTCACATTGAAATTCTCCGAGCAACTGGCCAAATTATGTTGGTGCTCTTTAATTTATACGTATCGTGTTCTTGTGAATGAAACGACAGACACTCGCACGATTGAGAGAAGCGAGTGGCAATTACTAATAATTTATTGATTCCATATTCAATGGATAATTCCGATTATTCCTCAATCTTGAGACACTAAATTCTTTAATTTTCGGGGGCTACACAGTAACTGGCAAAAAATTCCAGAGCAACTGAGAGTAAAAATAGGAAAAAAAATGTGGATCCTCTTGCGCAGTCGGTAGGATTCGAACCTACGCTCCCAGAGGGAATCTGATTTCTAGTCAGACGCCTTAACCGCTCGGCCACGACTGCTTATTTCGCACATCTACAAACTTTCAACAATACACGGCAGAAGCACACTTGCCATGCCTCTTTGACATGCGCTTTTCACAGTCTTCTCCTGGCTTTTAGTACAGAAGTCTGCATTTTCTTCTCTGTGAAATTCCCGAGATTTCCTCCAAGTTGCCGTGATGTCGCTGTCGCCAGGAGCCAAGGAGCGTCTCAGTCTTGTGTTTGGCGTTGTGAAAACAGTGTTCCATTGGGGATTCATCCCAGGAGTTCTGTATCTCGGTGAGATAACCTTCAAGTCGTGTGCTTCCCAGATCATTAGCTCTTGTTTTTCGCTGCTCTTCTGCAGGCTTCACGAAAGGGTCAGAAGCTGGTGGTCCTCCACTCACATTCATGAGCCTCCTGTGGCAATAGACTGTTCGCTTGATGAGGAAATTCGGCCAAATGAGAGATTCACAGAACCCATCTGTTTCCACCTTGGGAGAACCTCTGGGCACGATGGATAGACTTTTCCACCAAGTCCGCCTCATCATCAATCTTTCCTGAACACATACATGGAGTAAATACAGTGTTTTGTTTAAAAAAAAATCAATGTTTTTGCGTGAATCTGTTTTTAGTACGGTTTAGTACTCTTGGTTTGGGACAAGTGGCAGAGTGTCCCAAAGGGAGGCGATTTTGACGGTTTGAACTCGTAGTGTGTTTACGTTTAGGCGCAGCGTCTTATTTCTTCAAATATAGTGGAAAATATGATTCTCGAAGCTCTCAGGCAATGTGGAAAGGAAAAGCTGATGAAAAGTGCAGTTCTGGCAAAAAGATGGAACAAATCCGCTTGGACCTTGACAGTCTACAGAGACATTATCGGTATGTTTGGCGATCGCAGACTGTTTCTTGGGCAATATCACTGATTTAATGGATTTCAGAGAATTTCCAGGTCCTGCGTTCCTGTATAGTACATGATATGATAGAAACTGAAGGGGAAAATGACATCCTGCAGGATGTGGTGGAGGAACAAAATGATACAGAGATCGTTGGTGTACTTTCTGAAACAGCGGATGAGAATCAAATTAGGTGACATTGATGATGTTATTCAGGCTGTATTTTGTCCTAATTTCTTTCTATTTAATGCCCAGAAATCCTGTGGTTATCTACCTCAGACCTGACATCAAAACCACCATCCAAGGATGCATTTATCACATCAATGAAAGTGCAATTGAGAACTTCTCCTTCAATTTCACTGAACTCAACAGTCCGGAGAAGAGGCAGAAAGTCATCTGGATTTTGGAGAACTACCGGAAGAGTTCAGACATTTCCATCGATAATGTGTATAATCTCTTAAATTTATTGAAGAATGTCAACAATTAGCTTCTGGGTAAGAATTTTTTAACATCAATTTCATGACCCGCTGTCCAGAGCATCATTTCCATGAATGTGACTTGATTCACTTTCTCGAGAATTGTTAAGTTGGGGATCTTCTTGCGCAAGTGATCGAGGATGAGTTGTCCTCTCGTGTGATAGCCAGAGAGCTCAACTGTTGCATGCCATATGCTGCTCTTCTCAACTATAGTATTTCTGGTGAGAAAGGTGGCCGTTAGCAGAGCATCGCAGGGCATCCACTCGCTGTACTCTCGGTAGCACTTCTCCTCGATGGGGTTCATGAATCTGGTTATTCGATTAGTGATCTCTCCCAAGACGTTCATTCGCCAATCCTGGATGGAAAGTAGTCATGAAATGTATTTTCTGAATGTAATTCATATTCACTTTGTCTCACCATTGTGATGAAGAACTTATCCTCGAGGCAAGACTCCCAGGGCAGAAGAAATATTGGGCATTTCAGGGCATCGAGAGCAATTTGAGCAGCTTCAGGGTCGTTGAAAAAGTTGAATTCAGCAGACGATGTGATATTTCCCACTCCCAAATGATTTCCACCCATAATGTAAACCTCTCCGATGTTTTCCGCCACATGAGGATACATTCTGAGGCAGAGACCCAAATTTGTGAGCGGCCCAAGACAGATGAGCGACACTTGCTTAGGATTTTCCATCACAATTCTCTCCAGTGCATTCACAGCGTGTTCTTTGGCCAGGTTTTTTGTGTCTGATCCGTCTTCTGAGTAATCTTCCAGATCGCCGAGACCATCCCTGCCGTGAAATGTGGCCTCATCGTCAAATGGTCGCTTTCCCAACACTATCATCTCATTGGCAGCTCCCAAAAACACTGGAGGCTTCAATGGTGAAATGCTCTCGAAGCTCGAAAGGACTCTGAGAGTGTTCTTAGCCACATTGTCAACCGTCGAGTTTCCTTTTACACACGTAATCCCAAGGAGATTGATGAGATTCAGCTCTTGCGCCCTGAGAAGCATCAATATGGCCCAGGCATCGTCCGACCCCACGTCAACGTCCACGACAACATTTCTCACTGCTGCTGAAGACATTATATTTCTCGGAATTTCTTTCTCCACACTTCCTTTTTTGCCACCGAACGTGATCTTTTTTATGTAGATCAACTTGACTAATTGGTATTTAGATTGAGAGCTCTTGCTAAAATTTCTCTTCAGCGGAAGACTTATCACTTGTGAGGCGTTGAGATTCACTGAGAGTTTGCGACTATTTCAGAGTGGCTTTTTATTCAATTCACGAAGACAGCGATTAGTATGACACAATTGATAAGAGACTGGCCAACACAAAGCCTTTAACACACTGACACATTCTTGTGGTTTTCCTACAATTTACCAATTTTCCTATAGATTACGATCACTTATGTTGGGTTTTCTATGAGACATTGGCAATATTTTTGCTGCTATTTACGAGATTATGCAGTGCTTGCAACTGATTTCCAGTATTTCGAGTAAATTCAGTGCACTCTGTGGGTGTAGTTGCACTGAGAAAGATCACGATCGCGTTTCAACTTGCTACGAATTATTGTTTACTTGGCACGAGGAATATAAATATAGAAAATCCTACTGACTTTTCACATTCAAGACTGAGCAGAGACTAAATACTCATTTTTTGGGGGAGAATAGTTGAAAATCCGTAGGAATAAATAGAAAGCATGTGAAGATGGGTACTCGAGAAGGTCTCCTCAGGCTTCTAAAATCGTTTTTGGGAAAGATTTATGACTTCATTTGACTGTATTATCTTTCAGCACTGTTGCCGCTTTCCGCTGATGTCTTTGCCGGTTTTTGTTGGCATTCTGATAAGGCACCTTCACAAAGTGAAGTGAATTTACGCAAAGTGGAATGAGTCAAGCATTTCTCTTTCTAAAAATACATCAAAAATGTGATTGAAAGAATGGAGAAAACAGCGCTGCCCTTTTGATCTTCCTCTGGCATTGTTTACCCAACGCAAGGAACTTGCTAAGCACCCACAAACTTCTGATCTCTTTTCAACTTGCACGGAATTTTCTTGGCTGTTCTCTGTTACACCCATGAAAAATGTATTTCTTCTGTTCTCTCTTCAGCACGGTATTCTTCCCGCGATGTGCATTAAGGGGGGAATTTGTGCAGTGTGTGTTGGTGTAAAAGATTTTTTTCACACTTTAGGTGTTAATGTTGCATGAATTTTAAGAATTTTGATTTATTCTTCAAATGTTATATGATGATAACTTCTGTTTTACACTGAAATATGTTTGATTAAAAGTCAAGATTGAAACACTTATGTTCGATTGACGTAATTTTTAATGTTTCTCTGCTCATTTTGAGTTAATTTTGAGTTTGTCAATGTTTTCAGGGGATTCTTTCATGGAAATCTTACGTTTTATTTCAACCATGAGGAACTCACACACTTGTTGTTGGGAACAAGTTCATGGTTTTCACACCAACATGCGGAAAATGCCATTCGACCGTCTCTCTTTCGCATACCTCTGGAGTTATTTGATCGCGTCTGATCGGGATCGTGTGGGGGAAGCATTGGAGTGAATCTGGGAGTGTGTGTGGAGCTATTTTGGTCTCCGATTCACTTCCAAGCTGTGTTTGTCAGTCGACCGAAAAGTTTCCTGCGCTACACATTGGATTTCTTGGAGAGGAAAACATAGTTTCCCGAGTGATTTTTGTAATCAGTACATTTGGCAATTTTTGTCTGACGTGGTAAAAAGGCAGTTTTGGAAGATTTCCTTTCATTCTGCTGTGTTGTTGGTCAATTGCTGAGAGGAAAAAGAGTGTCGACGAAGAGTCAGAAGGGAGTGTCTCGCGCCTAATTTTAGTATTCACAATCAACCGTTAAATTTATTCTTCTGATCTCCCGAGGGAACAACATTTTCCCAGCAAAATGTGAGTTTCGAATGCAGTTGTGATTTTCCATGGCTTCACTTGGCGCAAAAAAAACCGCCTGAGAGATTTGTGTGATAAAATGATGTCACTCTATGAATTCTTAATCAGTCTTCGTCACCGTTAAGTGATTACTACTTGATGATCATTGGAGAGGGACCTTTGCGGGCGAGCAAATATAATAGAGTTGATGAAATTATGCAAAATATCTGTGGAATTTCTTCGATTGAACGGATGGCGTGGAGTTTAGGAAAGAGATCGGCGTAATTGCATAATAGGCACAATTGGTGGCTTCTCTTTGCTTTGAAAATAAATGTTCCAGCCAAGAACACAAACAATGAAGTGCATTAAACTCTTTCTCGATCACCGCAAAAGGGGGAGAGAACGAGAAAACGTGTACCAAGAATAGTGAGAGAGAGAGGAGAAGTTGACGATAACTCCTCTGCCTTTACTGTATTTCTTGTAGCGTCTCGCGAGATTTTCTATTTAATCTCTTTTGGGTCACATCTTCTTTATTTTTATTTCATCCTCGGCCTGTCCGATGTTTACAACAGATGTTCAACATAGCCAGTCTTCGTTCGCAATCATCAGTTTGATATTTGCATTTGGAGAAACTTCCACAAATATTGTGCGCGCTGAGAAAACATCCCAAAATGTGAGTGACGATCGGTGTGATCGGGCAATTGATCACAGTTATTCGTTATCAGATGACTCGTCATACAAGTGATTCGGTGTGATACGGAGAATGTGATACTCAGCCACTCTTTTCGCTTATCTTATCACATTTACTATTGGACTGTAGTTTCACAAAAAAAAACACATTTTGCTCACAAGTTTAATTGCAGGGTGACGAAGAGAGGCATTTATACAGGAGATTTTTTCCCGTCAAAGAAGTCGGTGATAAAATATTTATTGCTGGAACGATTCAACATACAAGAAATGTGTGGAAGGTTATCGTTTCCGCTCGATCGCTGAATTTTCTCACTGTTCTGGGAATTTTCATAAATTGTATAAATATATATTTGAGATGCACTTGTGAGGCTTTCAAAGCCGTATTTTGAACATATATTCAGCGGCTTAAAGCTTTTAATTGAGGCATTCAGCGTTTTATATTTTTCCTCCCAGGAAGGGGATTTTAATTTATTTTCAAATTTCCATTGCCTCGCTTTATTTCATTTCTTATGCATTGGGGATTTTTTTATTATTATTCTATGACAGAAAAAATACTACTGTGCACAAAAAATGTACTCAAATCATTAATTAAGCTCATTCGTCTAAGTAGTGGTTTAGAATTGTATTAATGGATTTTTGATAAGATTCTACTAAAGATAAATTTTATGTATTTCTCTCGAGCTTCAATTTCTTGATACATGAAAACCCCCTGAGTGAATCGTGAAGCATTATCTCTCTATTATCACAATTCTTCTAAAAATAATTCACCAAAAATAATGGCGTTTGTGTCTCTTTTTTTCATCATCTTCGTGCCTTCTTCGGCCTTTGAATGTGGACATGAAAATCTGTAGCATGAAGAATCCACTGTGGTTTGTTGTCTGGCTCCTCATCTTGGTCTTCATTGCCTTCTTCGTGGCCGGTTTCTGTGCTGGATGGTAAATAGAGATCAATCAATATACTGTTGAATCTGTGATAAAACTCAATTCAATGTCACTCTTGCAGGTACATTTTCGTCTATCCGCTCACTGTTTGTATTCCAGCGCTGAGTGTAAGTTTTCATGCGTATAATTGCGATGATCAAGTGTTAATTGATGTTGATCTCTTGCAGCCCATCTCGGATTTGCTGCTTCAAGGCGCCCAATTCACCCATTATTGCGCCAAAGCGATGATGGAGTGTCGCTCCCTGTTCGGCTAAAGCATTTTCATCCCATCTTTTCTACTTAATTCTCACCGCTTTCCGGCTGCTGAAATGTCCCTCCAAATCTTCAATAGTGCTGCGCATTTAGATTTGTAGCTATAATAGATTGTAAGCCACGAATTATGCATTACTTTTCTGATGGATAAATCAGTTTCCTTCTTGTGTTCTTGCAAATATTCCTCCGTGCGGAGAGCTATAAAAACTAATTATGCTATTTAAAATCAAGAGTTTTTTTTTGTACAAACGTAAATTATATTAACTGTGCTGTAATAAAATAACAGTTCTCCCATTCATATAGTACAAAATGTTAGCAAGTATTATCATTTTATTGCCTTTCGCTAAGTCACAACTCTCAGTATTATTTGTGTTCTTTTTTTTGTCTCTTGGGTAAAACGCTTTGTCAGCCTCAGTTTCTCCATCACATCCGTACAATGGCTAATTATGGGAAGGATTTCCCCCTCCCATTTTACACCTCGATGTTAATTTCATCTACATCGCGACGCACTTTAATGTGAAGCGATCGGGATTTCTTGTGATGCGGTCTCTCCAGTTCATCATCAATATTCTGTAGATTGTAGTCATTGTAGGGTGTCAGTTTTGTGCCGAACACTTTCTCGGGATCTGCTTTGTAGTATTCCTCAGCAGTGACATAGTGTGGACCTCCGTAGTAGTCCAACACGCAAATCTGACTGATTTCCAGCTCGCAGAGGTAGAAATTGTGAGCTGGGGAATTTTTATCGAGAAATTAGTGAATTTCATTCGGCAAATAAGGCAGCTTTTACTCACTACTAATCCACTTTTTGGCCGCTGGATGTCTGCTGAACATGGCACTCTTGGCGAAGTCATAGTCTGCATCGTCCTTCGACAATTGTCTAGCCTTGCCGGACACCATGACGCGAGCACAGGTGGGCTCCATGGCGTCTGTGTTGTTGTCCGAGCAATTTCGGCTCTGCTCCATGGAGAAGAGTGCAGTCAAGCGATTCGACGACTGTGAGATAATTGAATGTAAGCCACACTTTCACTCTTTTGCCATGTACTTCTCACCTTCAGATCGATTCCCGTGAAGTCCAAATCAGTCAGGTAGAAGAAGATGCGTCCTGTAGACTTGTCTCCGCGCGCGCTGTCGGCTATTGAGATTACATTGACCATTGGGAAGCCCTTGATGGAGTTCAGAGTGGAAATTGTGCCCATTGCAGTCCAATCTGTGGCGATAGTAAACCAATTAGAGGGTAATTCTGATAAGACATGCATTCTGAGAAATGTGATATTGTTAACTCATCATTATTATGTTCATTAATTTCTGAGAAATGATTATGTTTGGAAAATTCTCGATTTCTTTTGGTCTCCAGATGCAACAAAAAGACTTTATTATGGGCTGTTTAAGCCCTAAAAGTGTCTACGTGAGTAGATTAGCCACTCTCACTTTCTTTGATAAGGAAACGTGGACTGAGCAAAAAAAAATGTGTTTGTCACCACTGAAGGTGATCATCTTACCGAGTTCATGGACAAGAAATCTCGCCATTGCCGGATAGTCTTTGTATGGTGGCACAAAGAGATCGTTCTCAATATCGAAATCATCGTCATCAAACAGTGCTGAATATCTTCCCTGGATCAGCTGCCTGGCAGGCACAGCCACGGCAAGAGCCAGGAGGAGGAAGATCACTTGAAACTTGATCATCGTTGCCACTTGTTGAATGTCACGCAGGAGACAATGTAGCGAACTGTGAAGTAGTGCGAAAAATTACTGTTGGATAATAAAAGATAAGACTGAAGAGGGCTCGCAGAAGCATAATACTTGAGAGATGATTTAGCTCTTAGAGCCGTCTTAGCAACAAAAACTCTGCGCAATTTATGTGTCAGAAGATATGGAAAATTTAATTCAAAAGAAAGAAAATCAGAAAAGAGACTTGCAATTGCTAAAATGTATGGACATTCACCTCGGTTGAGATTGTTGAGAGTACAAAGAATCACGTCAGATTTTCCACTTCAAGGATTTCCAATTGTCACTCCTGCAGAAAAAAAACACAATAAAATTAAATGGCAAGTTAAAGGGACACTTTTTGCACGATGAAGTGCAAGAAAAACCGAGGAAGACTCACAAGTTTCACTGTTGAACTGAACAGAAGATGTGTCTCCGATGTTTCTCACTATCACTTCTGGTGCTAACAAAGGTTGTTTTGCAAATAAAATCCACCAGTAGAATGGGTCGAGGAAAACAACACCAAAAATAAACATCATTTTCACTGACATTCGCGAGGCGCGATCGCCTCCGTTGGCTGCTACTCCCTCTCGTGGGCAGCAGAGCTGCGATGTCCGAGGCACGAGCACTTCTCACGATACTCTCTCCAGCCAGTCCCGGCAAAGAATGAAAAGCGCCTTTACATTTACCACACATATATTTATCAAATTTGTAATTGCCAATTTTACATTTACATTACTCTTTTTTCATCATTTTCAACTCGTCTTTCCTTGCAATCAAACATACATAAATTGTATTTTAGTGGTTTCACATTCTCAATCCCTGAAGGTATCATTAATGCATGCTCATAATTTTGTAGTTTTTCTTTTTCATAAATATATAAGTCCAATGAAAAAAGGGATAAAGATTTTTTTTTTCATCTCAAATGATTGACACACATACAAACATACACACATTATGCGTCCACTTATAGTGAAACTCCCATCTAAAGTAACACAGTATGTCGAAAATACTTGACTTCATCATACATAATGTTCTCTTATCTAAGAATATTTAATTTTCATGTTTTTTTTCTTCTTCTTCACTTTAACAACAGGACCCATTTTTTTTTCTCAACTACAGAAAATCTTACAATACCGTTCCACCGATCGTGTGTAATTTATTTCTGAATATAATTCCTCTAAATATACTTCTTCATCAATACTTTTTGTGTATTTTTACTTTAGCTTAAGCTCTTTTTGTTTATTATTCACTCACTCTCTATCAGTGATTTATCCTCCTATTGATTTTCTTTTCTTCCTCTTTAGATTCCACATCTTAGATACAATTTTACACAAAATGAAATAATCTTCACTCTCGTCCAAAATTCCTTTATACAGAATAAGTCATTTTTTTTTTAAATAGAGAGAAAGTTGGAAGATCAACCATTGGATCTCCAGGTAAATTTTTTTTCTTATTAAATTCTGGAATACTTTACATGTGCGCTTTGTTTTGTTGTTCTCCTTCTAATGCTCGCTTTTATCTTCCATATTTTTCTTGGGGGGGATCAATAGATTTTCATGGCTCATACTTTGTACCCTATATTTAACTAACACTTTTCACTCGCCAAATATTTCTACAATCTTGTCGAGAGCGAGCGAAAAAGAAGTTTCCTCTCTACATGCTAACATTTTGGGATTACTATTATTATATTTTATACATGGTTTACATTCAATTGGTGAAATTGTGGCTCATAGTCTTCTATTCTATACAATAAAAAATAGATTTAAATGCATTTAAAGTAACTCTTCTTTCGAAAGAGAGAGAAAAATGTCAATACAATATCACAAAAAAAGTATAAATGGTTTGAAGAAAATACGACAATAATAATATTAATTGTTCGTGTTGAGTTACAAGTCAATTTTAGTGCCATGTTTGGTGCTCTGTCGCCTAAATATTTTTCTTGAGTGGTGATTGAGAGATCTTGAGCAAAGAAAAGTGTTCTCCAAAACATACAATTAACGCTGTGTGTCTGTTGATGGTATCAATTAATGTCTTTGCAGTTATTATTTCAATTTTTTTTACGTGTAATCTCCCCGTTTTCCTCCTCACTTGTCATTAATTTAAAATACATTTTACATATTGTATCAATACAACAATATAACTTTACAGATTTCTTCATTAATGAAAACCATCTCAATATGAGGCTATCACATAGATTTTGTGATAAATTAAATCTAACATAGTTCCTTTCACCCTTTCTCTCTCACTTACATCTCCCTAATAACTTGTTTACTTCTCCGCTGTGTTCCCACATCTCATCCCCTCTCACATCTATTTCCGTGTATTTCTGTTTATTCATGTATTATGTGTAAGTTACTTGCTCTCATTCTTTAACATTAGGAGGTTTTAATTTATATCGTACGAATAAATAGCAGTTATATCCTATAAATTCTCTCTAGTTGTATTCTATTTTTACTACATGTAGACTTCCTTCCTTAACATCTAAAAAAATAAGCTAGACAATTGAATTAAACATCAGACATTGCACAGAAATAGTCATAGAATTGCGTGTCAAAGTAAATGCAATTGATTGTTAGGAAGCAAAGGTGGGATAACGTACAGAAAAATCTCTCTTTGGCTATTTTCTACCAACATATTTTACATCGCTTTTCCACTATATGCACACTTATGATAACATTGATGGAAATTGTGAACACAAAAATTACACTCTCAGATTTTTTTTTCTCTTTTGGAAAAAGAAAATCTCTACTTTTTACGAGTGTTTTGTGTGTGTGTGGCAGACACTTTGTCATTACAATTTTTTTTCTCTTGCTTTTCTCCCGCCAGTCGTTCATTCTTCACTAAAGAGCAGATTACAGTGTACAATAATGATCATGAAAATTTGCTGTATACACAAATTCAATCGAAAATAGAACCGAAATGATTCATAAATCAACTCACAGCAGCAAATCCAATTGGAAAATATTAATATTTCTGTAGAATTTCATATCACGAGCGAGTGCGCGATGGTGGATTGTGTGCCTGAAAGATAGAACACAGGGCAAATGTTAGTCAATTGTGAGGTCAATTAGTGTGAATGCAAATTAACACCAAGAGATGCAAAAGATCAAGTATTCAAGATACTTACGACAGAGTGAATCGCAAATGCTCCTCTTGATCTTTCACTTTTCCACCTCAAGTCATCATCGCTGAGAATATAATAATTTGCGCCGTGTGAAGGAATTCGCTGCAATTTGAACAATTTACTTGAGTTTCGGACTTAATGCTATCGGTTATGCTAATGCTATTCTTCACCATCGTAACAATGCTCTCCATTCACATTCTCTTTTTGGCAAATTTATTTTTTCTTCTTCTTTATATCTTAAACTCTGTGGGAATATTCAACGCCTTAACACCTGATTGTTGATTTGACATATATAAGTTATAATGTTCACCTTTTCAGTGTACAAGCAATATTAAAGCTATTTGTAAATCACACGTGATGATTAGTATTATTTTCCAAAATCTGCAGCTCTGTCTTTCATACAAATCAATTACATATCATTATATCGCTCAATTGTAGGGATTATTCATAAAGCGTAAATGCACAAGTATTATCAATGTGACTATTAACAATTGTTTGTTCACTATTATCATTAGAATCATGAATTTACATCTCTATCTACACAATTGCATGCATCCATGCTAGCAACTCTGTCTGATTTGGACATTTAGAATCTAAAGCCATCGAACTTCTTCTTTTTTTAATGTCTCTTGTAATTGAGAAAATGTGGATGAATATGTTTGCAAGTTGTGCTCGTCGTTTCATCATTTCTTCACTATAAAAATATATATTTTGCCTTGAAATCATATTCCTTATATTTTTTTTTATCTCTTTTTTTTGGTATCTTAAATTCACTCTCCTTCGTCAGTTTTTGTCCTCTAAAAAAATAATCTCTCTGACTTTTTTTTATTTGTTCGGTGTTTCCACTGATGTTGAACATCTTTGTGCATCATTAACAATTTCTGAGGATAACATCTACCTACGGCATCTCTCTGTCGATCTGGATTGCCATTCAGTTGTGCAATTTGTCCTTACGGCCGGCAGCTTTGCCGCCAGCCTTGTGGCATGAGGGTTTCGTTGAAGAGAGAAAAGAAAGGAAGATATCGCGGCATTTGCTGGGTATTGCCTGTGTGCCGGAATTGAATCACATTTGTCGATATGGCGAGTGAAGTTTAAGGTATTGGATGACCAACGACGGTCCGCCGGCCACCACTTCAGGCGGTATGGCACTCAATGGACAATTTTCGATGCTCATGATGGCGAGATTCTGACACAGCGCCAGCTCATATGGCAGCTTCACGAGGGCCACATTGTCGTTGATGTAGAGACTCTCGAGATTCTCCAGCGTGCCAATCTCCTCGGGCAGAAACTGGAGATTGTTCTCACCAACGGATAAGTATGTGAGATTCGTGAGGTGTCCAATGGTGCGTGGCAGTGTCTGGATGTGATTTGACTGCAGTATGAGCTTCTGGAGATCATGCAGGAGGCCAATCTCACTCGGTAGCGACTCAATGCGATTCTCCTCCAGGTCCAGCACGCGTAACTTCCGCAGACTGCCAATGGTGTTGGGGATTTTCTTCAGCATGTTGTTGGACAGGATGAGAATCTCGAGGTTCTGCAAACAGTGAACATCATCGGGGAGTTTGGTGAGAGAATTTGTGCCCAGATTGAGCTCCACCATGTGAATCCACGTCCCAATGTCCAGTGGCAGTGACGTGAGCACATTCTCCTTCATGTTGAGCTTCGTGAGCCCTTTGGCGCGACTGAAGATCCCATATGGGATCTTGTCGATTTGATTGTGCTCCAGATTGATGCTCGTCACGTTGGTAAATTGAGCTGGGCCCCCGCACGGGTAGCTGTGGAAGGAGTTCCGCGACAGCGTGATGCTGGTGAGCGAACTGAGACTGGCCAGTAGGCCGTCAGGGAGTTGGGAGATGCTGTTGCCCTCCACATTGAACTCATCCATGAATTTGCAGTTCTTCAGTGACTGTGGAATTGACGTGAGACGATTGTAGCGCAGTCCCAGGCGTGCCAGATTTGTCAGCTGGCCAATACTTTCCGGTATGTCGAGGAGTTCGTTGTGCTGCAAGTCCAGTGCGTTGAGATTCACGCACGCACCAATCTCTTCGGGCAGGTGCTCCAGGTGGTTGTGAGACACATCCAGTGTGGTGAGATTCACCAGATGGCCGATCCCTTTGGACAGTTCACGGATCTTGTTCTCCCGGAGGCTCAGCATGGTGAGATTGGTGAGATTACTGATGGCTCCGCCCACAATGCGGATTCGATTGAACCGCAGGTAGAGAGTTGTGAGACTGGTGAGCTTGTAGATGACATCAGGAATCTCTGAGAGCTTGTTGTGGCGCAGATCCAGCACTTTGAGTTGCTTCAGGTTCTGCAGGGACTCGGGCAGCGACGTCAGGCTGTTCTCATTCAATGCCAGCGTCTTTAGGTTGCTCAGGCAGCCAATCTCGGGCGGCAGAGATGAGATTTTGTTCCCGTACAGATACAACTCCACGAGACTGGTGCATTCCTTCACGGAGGGCGGAATGGTGGTGATGGAGGACTTACTCAAGTCCAGCCGTTTGATACTGTCATCGCGGCAGCGCTGGAATTCCTTCACCAAATCCACATCTGCCTGAATGGCCTTGCCCTTCTTTGCAGTGGGCTTGGGCTTGTTGGACTCGGGATGCTTCACCGTGACCACTTTGGGGCGCACCTCCGCCGGTTCGCTGCTGCTGCTGCTGGTGCTGGGGCCACCACTTCCCCCCAAGTTCATGACGGTCGCGGTGCAGTGTGCCGTATAGTAACACTCGCTGTTCGTCACTCGACCACTTACCTACACACTGAGACACATTTTCACCAGAGCACTTCACGAGCAAACATTGAATTTCACGAAAATTCCAATACCAAATGAAAATGGCGAACTCGATTCCACCCTTGACGTTCTGGGGACGACCACAATTTTCCGCAAGAGGGCGTGCTTCGCAGCTTTCGCCGCAATTCGCCACGAGAATCTAATCCGGCATATACAAACCACTAAATACTTTATTCTCTAATTTTCCACCTAAATGTACTTGAAAACGATGTCCTTCTTGTCAGGCACTGTCTCCAGCTCTAGTGTCACTGGGCAGTGTAGCCACCGGGCGAGCATCTCCTCTGTGTAGCCCAGAAGAAAGTACATTTTCTGCGCAGAGATGCCCTGGCGGATCACAGCGGCTATACGGATGTGGTTAAACTGCCTCTTGATGATGACCTCAGAGAGCACCAAACTGTGCCAAGTTCCCACCATGAATTTTCTAATGAACATATCTTCTACCGCTGTTTCTGAGGATCTGAGCCCATCCAGGAGGTTTGCTGCAATATCAAACACCGAAATTAGAGTCTTTTCGTAAAGTTTGAGTATCCGGATGAACTTACATGTGTTCAGCGAATTCCAGCTTTTCCTCACCGCAATGTGATGTGGTTTCTGGGCCATCTCATAGGTCAGAGGACGATCTCTCCTGGCAGTAACCTTGTACTTCCCGGTCACTTTCTTCTCCATCACCGTACTCACGTGGATGCATCGCTGTTGATTCAGCCGATATGCCAAGGCATGGCGGCAGGACTTGGGAAGAGAAGGGAAATCAATATGTTTTTTGCGAAGGACTTTTTCCTGGCGAAAAACTCCTTGGAAAATTACCTGCGCGAGGAGTGGCGAGGACATGTTTCTCACTGTTGCTGTGACACGGCGCTGCGCATCTGTGGCCAACTTCATGCGGTGCCATGTGACAGTGGGAGATTGTGCAAAAATTTTGTTGTCGCGTCTGAAATGGTGCATTTTGGTGGAAAATCGGGGGAGAATCTTGTGCAATAGGCGTCAATTGTTACACGCAGCTTTCTAGACACGCTGGGGAGGTGCTGAGCGGTGGAATTTGGGCGATAGAAGGTGCATTGCGGGCGCACGAAGAGTCACTTGTGTGACGAGCATCCCTGGAGGTAGAAGTCGCGAATGAATTTGCTGCGGCAATTGGTCCATTTCCGCAAATTATCTCGTTGAGACAGGTCATTGGTGAAGGGAATTGCGTGGCGGTGGCGAGTGTGTGCTGATTGAGTGGAATTTGGCGTGTGCGCGCCCGCGGGAGCGACTTTGGGATGTTGCTGGGGACTGTGGAAGGACGACACAGTTGACGAAGGAACGTGTGGAATGGAGTCATCGCCACGCAGTGCACTGTTTCGGGAGATCCACAAGAACACCTGGCTCAAGCGGATCACCAGTGACGTGAAGAAGTTGTCTGTTGGCGCTAAAGTAGGTCAAGTAGGCGGTGTGGCAAAATTGTCACACTCTCTTGGGCGCTTTGTCTGCCCCACTTATCGACATTTCTCTTTACAAATTCTTGCCATTTTCCAGAGGTCGGAGAAGTTCTGGGTGGTATTTTGCGTTCATGATGACTTCGACGCCCTGCTGGAAGGGTATGTGGAGCCCCGCATGGCCCCGTCGCACTCACCCGAGTGGACAGTCTCCCTCCAGCAGACACTCCACATTTCGCATGCTCTGGTGCCATTGGAGCAGGAGTACGAGTTTGTAATCACCCTGAGTTCCGACGTTGTTCGCTTCAGTGCCTCATCGTGGTAAGTTGTGTGTTGTTTGGCAAGTGAGAGGAAAAGTGTGGTCAGCTTTTGCAATAGCCCAGGTTTTCCCTAACACTTTCACTTTTCCACAGGGAAATTATGCAAGAATGGGTGGATACGCTGCGCTCGAAGCTCAGGGAGATGAAGATCCTCTCGCCCAGGGAGAATATCTACAGCAAACTGCCGGAGATTCGACCGCCGCTTTTGCCAACGAGAGATCCAACATCACCACTGCCAGCTCCGCCACCTGTTCCAGCCGCCCTGGTGCCTGGAATTGAGAGAATCATCCCGTCAGCCATCACAACAGTCCCCGTCACCACGAGCACGACTAGTGCGGTGATAACGGGCCAAAACACGCCCACGACAAGTGCGATGTCCAACACCCTCACGCAGAATCTCATTGCAATGCTCTCCAGTCCCATCGCGAATCTGCGCCAGCAATCGGACGAAGTACAGGCCTCGGGGAGTGCACCCCGGCCGATAACTTCCACATCTTCACCCCAAGGCAGCTTAACAAATGGATGTGCAAGTCCAGGCAAGAAGACAGCCACGAAGACGTCATCGAAGCCACTACAGAGTCTCGCCAAGACGTTTTCCGACAATGTACTGGCTGATCCCAACACGTGTCCGCCGTCCACGTCCACCCAGGACGTCCAAGCCGAAGGATCCTCGCTGAATGGGGTGATCGTCCCCTCTGAAGACAGAGAATCCGGTGAGTGGTGACTTTCACAGAAAAATTCCTGCAGCAGTGTGAATTTCCAATTCAAAAAAGGAAGACGCAAAATTGGTTTCGCCGCAGAGAGCAAGTGAAAGTGCCTCTAATTCGATGCTCTTTTATTTTATTATTTCTTGTACTATTGCGGAGAGGCTTCATTTCAATTAATCCGCATTACTTACGTTGGAATTTGATGTCTCTTCCAGATTGCAACAGTGTGGAGGATATGCCTATTGTGGCTGAACCCATTATGATTCCCAGGTGAGTTGATAACAAGCATAAGAATTCTGTTAGTCTGACCAATGGATGCGTCTTTCTCATGCGATTGCATTGACTTTTGCTTTTACAGACCCCAGACACAAAAGAGACGACAATCGCCCTCACAGACAAATCAGGAAATCACCACTGAAACGAGGGGATTCGAAGGTTCTCCTTCAACATCAGCTCCGAAAACGAATGTTACTATAATTCAAGTGACAAACACGACTAAATCATCAGATTCATCTTCTGAAGATTCTGTAGAGCTTTCCAGTGATCACCAGTTTAAGTGCAACGTTAAGATAAATCCGTCCAGTGACTCTGCCTCGTCATCCAAGGCGGAGACGCCGAAGAAGAAGAACTGTGGGACTCATGAGAAGGTAGAAATCTCATCTGTTCACATACCAAGCACCTCAACTGGTCACTATGGGAAGATTTGTACCCTATCCGAAGGACAGAAGGTCACAGTGACCACAACGAATAGTAATTTTGCGACTAACATCTCAGTAGAGGCTTCACCGGCAATTGGAAGCGTTTACGAGCAGCTGTTCATCACGACGACTTCTGCAGCTCCTGTCATTGTGAGTTCAGCCACGGATACGCGTGTGGTGAATCTTATAGCAAATCAAGCGCGATCAGCTAGTCATTCAGAGATCCCAGTGAATCGTCCAAAGCCATCAGAAGCGGGCAGTTCCAGTGGGACGCCGAGAAAGGAGAAGAAATCTCCACAAAAAACTCAATCGAGACCTGTTTTGACGCGCGGAGTAACGGAAGCTGTCCTAAGTCGACCTTCTAGGATTGATAAGAATGCTATTAGTCCGACAGCAAGTGTGCCGAAGACTCGTCCTCAAGTGCCTGGACAGGCGAGTGGGCAGGATCAAAGGAAAAGGAGTAGCTCAACTTCAGATGCTCAGCAAACAAGGAATGGGAGGCCTTCGACTGGAGTGAATTCGGCACCGGGAACCTCCAATCCGCCGAGGGGGAGTCAAGCGTCAGCTTATAGGCCTCCGCCTGATGGCAGTGCACAGCAGAATCTCGGGAGGTTGACTCTGAGGGAGCAACAGGTGATGCACATGAGGCGGGAGATGATGCACCCGGGAGGCGTGAGACTTCAGCTGAGGCGGAAGGATTGCCTGGGATCAATCGCTTGGGTGGACGCATTTGGGGCCGTTTGGTGAGTAAATTGATTGAAGAATAATGTAAATAGATTATTGTAACTAAGTTATTGTGGGGGTTTTAGGGTATCCGGATGGAAACAGAAAGAGCATCCAATGCTCTATAATGCCCTCCACGTGGGCGATCAGTTAATTTCTGTTGGTGGAGTGACTGTAGGATCAGCGGCGGATGCTAACAAGTTGGTGAGGAGCAGTCTGGGTCTCTACGTGAGTATTCAAAGTGAGAATTGTGTGGGAGGAGAATATTAACGAGTGTCCATTAATCAGGTGGAACTGATAATCAGGCGTGTTCCCTTCGGTCGCTGCTACGCCATTCGTCGCGATCTCGATGGTCAGTGTTTGGGACTCGTTCGAGATTGCGCCACTGTGGTGGATCTCGTGCCCAACAGTCTGGCAGCGCGCCACGGTCTGCCGCCAAAGGCTCAGACCTGCGATGGGCTGTCATTGACCTTTTGGGTGCTGACTGAAATCAACGGTCGGCCGTTGAACTTGTTCGCTAAGGAGACAGAAGTGAAGGATCGCCTCAATGCCGTGGGCAGGGACATATCGATATTGGTGCAACCGTCGGATCTCGTGGCGAAGCTCAAGAAACAGCTGAAATCACTGAGAAGTCACAAAGACTACATTGTGCAATAGATTTAGCGGTTGGGAGGGAAATGTCCGGATAAACGTGATTTATTTTTGAAGGGAGGGAATCTCAAGACAAAGACGACAAATCCGAAAAGGCTGTAGTGAAAGAATTCCAATTGCGATAAATTTTTGTACATATAGAGAGAGACATTTTTAGGCATATTTACAAGATTGAAAAATTTTGGAGAAAAGAATTTTAGGAAATCACTTTTCATAGAATTTTCTATAGACAGAGTGTGAGAGAGAGAGTGAAGGTTGACGAAGCGATCAGTGATTATACGTAATTATAAATCCATCTCCATTGAGCAGTTTTCTTGGTCTCTGCAGAACGATGACGGTGCCTTTTGTGTATTTTTTCTCATGAAAAATATAGACAATTCCTCCAATTTTTGGAGGAATCTGTAAGCAAGGAAGGAATCTCCCTGAGGCCATATCTCAAAGTATATACAGAGTGATGACGAAGAGAGCAGCGAATGTCTCTCGAGAGATTGTGCAACAAAAACATACTTAAATTCCGTAGATGTTAGACATTACATGCGTACATTTCTTACTAGTCTCTTTCACACTATCAATTCATTTTGCTCTTGAAACCGATTAAAGTGGAACTAGTTTATTACGTTGTTTAGAGTGTTTTTTTTTAGGGGATTCTTTTCAACACGTGAAGCGATATTGAAGGACGCTTCAGAGCTTGGGAAGATGGAAAGTGTTGCAGTTTTAGATGAGGAATTGTTAGAATTTCCAGTGGGTTGATCATACATTTTAGAGCCATGAACCATTGCAAATAACTCATGCAAAGCTAATGTGGGTTAATTACATGGCGTTGAATGATGAAGAAATGTTGAAGAAGAGACCGCGAAAACACAGCACGTGCGCGTAATACTTTTCCTCTGACCAACTCGAAGCAAGCCCAGTGAAAATTCTTCACAATTCGCGCTCACGAAAAGAATGTTTTTTTTTAGTGGGATATTACTCAATGCAGCTTGTTTCTCTTTCATGCGCCCGACTGTGTAGCATATCTGGGCTTCTCTTGCGTAGGAGAAGATGCAAAAAGTGGGAGAAACCCTCAAAATGTGATGTTTTCTGTAATATTAATGTTTTTTTTTAATTAATGTACCTTTTATCACTCTCATTGTATCACGAAAGAATGTGTTTTTTTTATTTGCTAATTCATATTTATAGCATTACTTTTTAATGATTTCTTCTTCATTTTTTTTTTATTATTAATAGCGTTTCATTAATATTTTAGCAAAATTGTACTGCAGCTTTGTTAATTCTGTTCTTCATCTCGTTTCCCCTTTAGAGGGTTTACTTACTGGTTTAGTGAGAAGGTTTCAGAAGACGATGAAGAGAGAATAAATGATATTTTATAAATGATGAATGCGTTGGAGTTATCTTTCGCAGACTGTGCCCTGGATTGCCTGCCACGTGTTTGCTGACCAGATGCGAATGTTGTATTCATTGGTGTCTAGTCTGGTGTAAAACCAGCGTGGCATTGTGTTGGTCATCACCCAGAGACGCCCTGAGGAGTCCACGGACAGGTCGCTTGGGTAAATGAAGGTGTCCTTGTCCTGCTTCACAGTGCCAAAGTTCTCAGGAGCGAAGACGTGGTGTGTGTTCCAGCAACCGACGGCGTTGCGTCCGATCTCAGCGAAGAAGAGAACTCCCGTGGACTCGTCGAAGTCATGTAAGGTGGATTGGCGATTGGCTCCGCGCTGTCCCAGCAACCGGAAGTCTTCACCGTGGTATTCTCGACGGGAGAGGGACTCATTGCGCAGCACTTCAGTGGACACGGCGAACTCTGAGAGACTCACCATCGGGTGGAAATAGGCTGTGCGGAAGCCGCGGGAGTTGCGACGTCCCAGAGCGATGGAAAATATTCCGTCATCCCACTGAAATTGCAGTCCTGCTATGGACAGATCGCCATGGTGGGGATCCATGTGAAAGTAGTTGTGGCTGAAGGTCCACATCCTATTCTCTCGGAGACTGTACACATATATGCGGCCGTTGATGAGATCGGGAATGTACACGAAAGCTCCTCCGCAGTCTCTCTCATTGGGAATATCCACGGCCAGACTTATGGTGCCGGATCCTCGTGCCAGAGCCTCCTCAGGGAAGGGGAATCTCTTGACGATGCGGTCGGAGTTGGTGTCAATGGCCCAGAGTGTCGGAGAGTGCACTTCAATGGTGAGATTCTGCTCCGCCAAATGCCTGCCGGAGTCTGCAAACCACAAGCGATCGCAGGAGTCCATGCGACTGCGGTAGACCGAGGTGATCCTCTGTTCCGGTGGCAGTGACGAATTGAGTCTGTTCAGTTCGAATGAGGGATAAGGGCGCAAGGCCGGACTCTGGGTGGTGAGCATGGCAGACAGAGGGATGACATTGAGTGTCGAAGGAACTCCACTGCGGCGTCGAGGAATGGTGATGAACAGTCGACCGTTGTGGTGAGTAACGCCCATTGGCATGCTGTTGTAGGTATTGTAGGCCATCTTCGAAGCTCCCACAAACACAAAATCCGAGCCTGCAATTAATGAGAAGATTAATTCTGTTCTTTACAACATGATTCATATCTTTGTGGCCGAGTCTGTGAGAGGGAAATTAATGGTTAGATGGTAATTAAAATGCATTGACTGGAGTGAATGGCAAATAAGCAATTATCAACCGTATAGGCTCGAGATTTGGCGATTTAAATGATTTTTAATATATTTCCTGAGTAGCAATCAGGGGCAAAGAGTGGAAAGCACGAGCTCGAGGGCGTCTCAGCTTGTAAACAACTCGCCAAGACTTTCAAGGTTGCGGAAAAACACTGTAGAAGAAGACAAGGAAGAAGAGGAGCTCACCTGAGGATATTTGATAGTCATCAAAGGACATTTGCTTCCACTTGAAAATTTCCTCGAGATCTGCCGCCAGCGAAACACCCAAAATGGCTAGGAAGACACAAATTCCTCGATATGGCTTCATGGCTGAACAGCACAACTGTCTCAGTCGCTGGATTACTCTAGACTGATTGGGAAATTGTGCTGATCGGAAGCAAAAGACACTCTCACATAATTAATATTCAAGGCTCCGTGACGAAAATCAGAGGGGATGGTGAGAAAACGGCGGTGCACTTGAAACCCGCGCAAATCACAGACTGCGAGAAAAGTTATGTATTTTTCTAAATTTCACACAGATAAGACTTTGCGGAATTTCTCCAATCACTTGCTTCACTGTCTGAGGTGTCTGTTTTATAAATATTTAAATTGTGTTTACAAATGCAAATTAAAAGATGAGACAAAATGAGGCGAAAAATCGTTTCTGTCCATCGCGAGACAAACCTAGTGAGATACTAAACTCAATTCATTGCCAGAAACTACTTTTAACGCAACAAATCATCAGCGCAATCAGTATTTTTGATGTTGGAAGGTCTCTCAAATGCAATTTCACGCTATTTCCTGAAAGTTCACATTTATCATAAAACCGTATTTGAAAATTGACTGAGAAAAAGAATGGATTTATCTAAAATCAATTTACTGTCCCTGTATTTCTGTATTCTTGCGTCTGGAGCACTCAGGTGGCTCAAAATCAATCTTCAAAGACGATGGCATCCCGGTCGACAGGATGGCACACGGTGTTAAGAGTGGCGAGATCTCCTCTCCCACGGACAATGTGGAAATTGTACTGCTCCGGATCCAGTCCACGGTAGATGAAGATAGGAAAGCGATTGGACATGGCCCAGATATCACCAATGCTGTCAATCTCCAGATCGTTGGGGTACATCATAGTCTCTGCACTCTCATACACAGTCCCGATGTTCTCGGGCTTCACCGGAGTGGCTGTGTTCCAGCACTTGAGGGAGTTTGTCTGGATTTCAGTGTAGTAGAGAACTCCCCGCTGATCGACATCGTGAATGGCTGACTGGGACTTCTGTCCTCTCACTCCCAACTCAGTGAAGTCTCCGGGAGCGTACTTGTTGGGAGACAATTGCTTGTTCCTCAGCACTTTCGACGGCACGGAGAACTCCTGCAGACTGGCCAGTGGATGGAAGTATGCCACGCGCGTGTTGATGTCTGGCGAGAGAGCCACTGAGAAGATGCCATCGGGAAAGCCAAACTTCAGTCCGTCCAATTCGTAGTTCATGTTCGCCGTGTCGGGCTGCATGAAGGGATGCGAGAAGCTCCAGATGTCATTGCGTCTGAGGGAGTACACGAGTAGATTCTTCAGCTCCAGGTTCGGCATGTACGCGTGAGCGTCGTCACAATTGTAAGCGTGAGTATCGACAGTCAGTGAGATCAGGCCCACACCCTCAACTCCGTAGATACCGTCGGGAATGGTGAAGCGACGGAAGATCCTGTTCTGGCGCAAGTCGAAGATCCATATTGAGGGATTCTGCACGACCGTGCGATTTCCCGGCGGGTATTCAAGAATGCCCGTGTCGACGAACCACAGGCGATTGCAAACATCCACAGTGGGTCGATAAACCGAAATGATTCTCGCCGGATTTGGCGTCAAGTCGGCCTGGTGGGGAGAAGAGCGTAAGATTAGAGTCGAGTATTACTCAAGAGAGTTATTAGCTAATATTTATAATGTGGTAATGATTTGCAGCCTCGCTTGCCGCTTTTTTACTGAATATTGATTGCAATATTTAAGAGTTAACGAGGTGATATTAATTGCTACTTAAGTGAAACGGTGGCGAGGGATAATAAATTGACCAAAAATCACTGTAAGGGAGTGATTTTTCTGGAAGTTCAGACAATGTGTGTAAAATGAATTCAACAATTATATTCACATTCCATTGTCATAGACAATGTGATATGACTTTGCCTTTGAAATACACGCCACAGAAATGCACTCAATTCAATTCAACTTGAAATTTGTTGCTCTCTTTGAAATTGAACCTCGTCTATTCTTTAAGATACAGTTAAATACTGTTTTTTGACATTGTATGGATTTTACGGTGACATTTTAGGCATAAAATCCAATTTCCAAGGAAAGTAAGTGTTCAATTTGAGCCACTTCGCACCTTTTTTATTCCTTTAAAAGCATCAGTATACTAATTGAGTAATAAACAACGAAATATTGTGGAAAATATTATCTAAGACGTGATTTGTGTCTAATCATAAAAGTGGTTTTTCACTGACCTCGAGTTCATTTGTAACGTAATCCGGATAAGGTCTGAGCTTGGGACTCCCATTCAGGCACTCATCCTCGTACACGAAGTTCACGGATGAGGAAATGCCGGGATTCCTGCGTGGGATTGTGATGAAAATCCTCTTGGACTGGGTGTGGCGAGAGAAGCCCGTGGGCACGTTGTTCTTCTGGATGTAGTAATCCTGGCCGGCGATCTGGTCTCCTGGCGCATGCGGAGGATCGCGGAAGCTGAGTTGCTTCCAGCGGCAGATCACCTCGAAGGGATCCTGCAGGGCGGCGGGATCGCCATAGTAGCTGGGCCTCGCGGTGTAGGCCTGACTGAGACAAATGAGCGCAGAGCTCCACAGCACGATCACAGACACTTTCGACTTCATTCTCCTCACACAGTTTTGCGTCGACTGACGATCGGTCGGTGAGAAAGCGGTCAATTTGTTGAGCTTCAGCCGAGTTACGGAGTCTCGCTTGGGGAATAAGAACCTCGGCAGAGACACACATATAGCATCCAGTCTCACTTTCTGGTGTGAATTTTTTCTCTCTAGTTTCCCATATTAAGAGACTCTCTTGACCATCAACACATTTTTTTGTGTCTGCGACATAAATAAACATTTTTACCACTGTTTTTATCGTTTCTATATCTCAACAACTTACCGTCAAGATCGCATACTTTCATTATGTATGAGAAATATTGGACAAAATGAAGCAAAAGTGGATAAAACTAAACGAGTTTTACTAACTACAGTACTTGAGGTTGATGAACTTTCGTGCAAAAAGTTTAAATTAGCAGAATCACATGAAACACGAGAAGTCCTTCAATTTTTGCCATCTTCAATGCACAACGAAAGAAAAAGAGCTATTATCTTCGTAATGACATCATTTCTCAATTTTTTTCTTCTTTCTCCCAATTAAAATTGCAAAGATTGAGTGTACAGTGTATCTGCAAACATATTAATGCACTTTTAAGAACCGTTTAATCAGTTTAATGTGGCAGAATGTGTTTCAAAAATCCAGGTCAGGTTGAATTTTGTGTTGCCAGCACATGGAAAATTTTGGTCCAGGACGATAAAAGTCGATATTTATGGCCTGCCGTATGGATAAATATGTAAATGTGATATAAATTCGCCACGAAATTTCTCCAAAAACTGAAATGATACTAAGAAGTGTCTCGATATTGGTGGAGTTTAATGCTCTCTTCGATGCTGCTATAAACTCGCTCGGGCTTAGTCTTTAGCAGAGGATTATTGTAACTAATATGACAGTAGATTAAGATTTCACTTACTTCTCGATGAAGATTAACAGTGATTTCAAAATACTGGAAAAAAGTATTTGATAATCACAAGCAACTTTATTGAATAATATGACATGCAAGAAATTAAGATCATTTGTGTTTCAAAACGTTTAAAAGACATGCGCCCGGAATTAGGCGTAATTTAATTCAAATAGTAATCATTCTGTATTAGATCAGCTGAGCTTTGCAGTTTGCAACACATTCTTGTTTTAAATTATACAAACTATAAAAATACGTTGGTTCAAAGTAAACATAGGAAATCTATTTTCTTTAGTTCATCACATGAAAATGCAACAATTCTTCATTGATCCTATTGATTGAATTAATAGTCACTGATTAAAAAATTAAGTATGAAATAGCAGAGCCAAAAAAATATACAGCATTAGAATAGTTTCATCGCTTTGCATTTCCAATCATTTAGCTCCAACTATAATGAAAGTCCACTACTCCTCATCTTTGCTAGAAATTTCCCATACACTTTTAGTTATAAAAGCCGTGCGAATGTTTTAAAATCGATCAGTCGGTTAAAGTCGTGTCAAGTGATGAATCTCTATGTGACCGTGATTTTTAGTGTTCTCATTTTGGGGGCCAATTCAGCATACTCAAGAAATTATGTGGAAGAAATTTTCAAATGGAAGAGCATTTCTTTTGACAATCTACCACGTCCAGGTGAACATAAAGCATTGCAAGTTGAGTTGAAATAACACATAAATATAGGAATTGTGTAACTTCCAGAAAACTCTTATGTCGGTCCTTATCGATACTACATTCCGGAGAATTTTGACATGTCTTGCATGTCTTATCACCCAGCTACAGGATTAATGGTGGTAAACCTCATTCGCCTGCGTCCTGGTGTTCCTGCGACTTTGGCAGCTTTTTGCGTGAGTGATTACAGCACAGGATCGAGTCCAAAAGTTTGGGGCTTTCCGAACTACGAAGTTAACGCTTTGAGAGCCTCAGACTTTACACAAGACGCTGGCAGGAGTTACCAGAGAAAACATAACAAATATTCGCAAAGCAGCAATTACTACAATCACTACAACGGACAACATTCATATCACAATTATCACGGCGGACACAACAATTACCACGGCGGACACAACAATTACCATGGCGGACACAACAACTACCATGGCGGACACAACAATTACCACGGATCTCATGGATATCATCACTACAATCACTATATTTACCAGAAGCCTTTTTATCCATCTCCAGTGACTCCTCCAGAAGCCAAAAAACCTGCTGATGACTTTAGAATCGTGTCAACTTACTATAGTTTCATGGATGAAAGATGCAACAGACTATTTACAATAGATGTGGGAGTCCTTGATTATTACTTCAATGATTCGAGAATAATACAGAAACCAGTCCTTTTGGTCTATGACATTCTTCCCGATTGCTGTCAGACCAGAAAATTCCCACTGAGTCGGAGAGCAGTGATTCCGGACGAAGCGACAGGATCAAAACCATTTACATTATTCTTCTTGAGATTAGATTACCAGTCTGATGATTGTAATGATCTCTTTGTTTATATAACGGGTCCTCTTGCTGGTTACGTGATAACTTATGATTACAAAAACGACGAATTTTGGTACTTCACTGGCCACCCATCATTCCAGCCAGTCATCGCCGAATCTCATTACTCTTTTAATAGGACTTTTGAATACGATTTGCCTATGGGAATCGGCGGATTGACCCTCGGATATGAGGATGCAGATGGAGATCGAACGGCTTACTACTTTCCAATATCAAGCACAGCTCAATACGCAGTATCTACGAGTGTCCTGAAGAATAAGCAAAAATCTCCGGACAACTACAATCCAGATGATTTTACTATCATGGGATACCGCGGATGCAACACCCAAGCGACCAATTTGGCGGTGGACTACACTTATGGTGTTGTATTTTACTTGGAATTCAATTCCCACCGGGTGTCTTGCTGGAACATGAAGAAACCTCTGAACCCTGATAATGTGGGCGTAATATTTGAATCAATAGACAAATTACCGTTCATGTTACAAATCTTTGTAGATTCGCGGGGTTATCTTTGGTTCAATTCATGTCAGGTCGTTTCCTTTTTCCTAAATAATCAACCAGTAAATCTGCAGCAAGTCAACGATAGAATATTCAGAGTGAAGGTGTCCGATGCAATTAGAGGAACAGTTTGTGAAGATGAAGATGATTTTAGAATAGCTGATTTATATGATTACAAATGAAATTGAGAAGTATTACTTGTTGAATCAATAAATAAGTGTATAATAAAGTAAAATGATGCAAAAGTTCAGCACATAACGAATCTTTTCCCCTTGAATCTGCTCTTTATCAGCAATTCCCATGTAAATGCACTGTTTCGTACGTCAGAATTTTCTCATGCCTATATAAAGCAAGTGGTGCGAATTTCACATCTCAGTTGGTGGATGTTGTTGAGAGCATCGAAGAAGTCAGCATGAAATTGGCCATATTAGCAGTGATACTTTGTGCTTTCATTTCTGGAGTAAAATCGGGGTATTCAAAAGCCAACGTTGAGACTGTCTACAAATGGAAAAAAGTCGTGTATGAAAATCTTCCAAAATCAGGTGGGAAAAGTGAGTGAATTGTTTCGAAAACGGATTTATTAAAATTGTGATGATCGTTGCAGAAAATTCCTTCGTTGGTCCATATCCATACTACATAGCAGAGAACAATGACATTGAGTGCATGGCTTATCACCCTGGCAGGGGTCTTATGATCATCAATATCGTGCGACTTCGCCCGGGAATTCCGTCATCTTTAGCAGCATTTTGTGTGAATGACTATCCTCATGGCTCGAGTCCTCTTCTTTGGGGCTTTCCCAACTACGAAGTCAATGCTCTGAGAGCATCTGACTTTTCAGATGACAAATTTGACTATTATGATGAAGGGAAATCTCACAAGAAGAAGCCAAATAAGCACCATAACAATTACTATGGACAGAACTCTCATCATTCTAACGGAGGACATAATAATAATTACTATGGGAATTATCATGGAAATCATCATTATATCTATCAAACTCCATTTTACCCGAAGCCTACACCGACACCAATGACAACGACAACGACGACTAAAAAGCCACATAAGAGTTTGAGAATCATATCAACATATATAACAGATATTGATGAAAAGTGCAATAGAGCTTTCACATTTGATATTGGTCTCCTTAACTATTATGGAAATGATACAAGAGTGATTCAAAAGCCAGCCTTGTTGGTGTTTGATATTCCTCCGGATTGTTGTGAGACAAGAGAGTTTCCCCTTATTCGACGATCAGTGATTCCTGATCATGTGGCGGGCTCAATACCATTCGGGATACTCTTCAGTACGTTGGATTATCAATCAAGTCATTGCGATGATTTGTTCATCTACACATCCAATCCATTCACAAGTCATATAATTGTTTATGATTTCAAGAATGATGAATTTTGGGCATTTTCGGGTCATCCAACATTCCAGCCAATTATTGCTGAGTCCAGTTTTGTCTTCGATAAGACATTTGAGTACGATATGCCTCTGGGAGTCTCGGCTTTTGCTCTTGGATATGAAGACAAATATGGTGATAGAACAGCATATTACATTCAACCGGCGGGTACAGGTCAGTATGCGGTATCCACAAGAGTGCTGAAGGACAGGAGCAAAGCTCCTGACAATTACAACCCGGATGACTTCAGTATAATGGGATATCGAGGATGTCAATCTCAGGCTTCGAATATAGCCGTGGATTATACTTATGGCGTAATGTTCTTCTTGGAAATGGAATCCAATAGAGTTCGATGTTGGAATATGAACAAACCTCTTAATCCCGATAATCTCGGAGTGGTGTATGAGTCGCCAGAGAAATTTATATATGGCACACAAATTTTTGTAGATTCTCGAGGATATTTGTGGTTTAACTCGAACAATCTTCCCGTAATATTATTGTCAGATCTGCCACTCAATCTTCGTCAAGTCAATTCTCGAATTTTCCGAGTGAAAGTCTCTGATGCCATCCGAGGAACCATCTGTGATGACGAAGATAGTTATAGATTGGCTGATCTTTATAATGGCTATGGATACTAAAAAACTATTTTAATAGAATGTGCATTACCAGTAAATTATTGAATAAAATGGTAAA